CCTGGTTCGCCCGCTTTCAGAGATGATCTGGGTAATAATGTTGTCATCACGAGTGAGATCTACTGTGAGAAATCCGGTAGAGAGTCGTAGGCCATGTCGAACGAGGTTTAAGTAGGTTTCATCGGTTGATCTCAAGGGAACTTGACTGGGAGACAGAGATCCCGTGCAAGTGGTATAGCTTTCCACATGATATATCAACGGCACTATAATGTTGCGACGAATGGTTGCTACTGCTTGGCTGATACTGTCCGCAAGGCTTGAGCTGAGGCCCGGCTGACCAGATGAGTCGGTTACGTCGACTGCCAGTTCGAAGGCATCGGCGGTGAATTCCAGCTGCTCAATATCCACATTCTTCTCACATACCCTAGAAAATGGTACTGACACTGCGGATGTGTACATACGAGATTCCACAGGCAACAGCGACAGTGGGAAAGATGCGTGCTGGCTGTTAAGTTCTGCAATATCACCAGTGATAAAGGCAATGAATCGAAGAAAGTCTCGCTGGACTCGTTTCAACATTAAGAACGGAATTGGAGTGTGTGATCTAGGTTCTGTTCGGTGTGGCGGTGATGAGTTGTCGCTATCCTTGGACAGATCCTCACTTCTAGCCTCTGATAGGTTGAAAAACTCGAGATTGGAGCATCCTCGATATATCGGGCCTGACAGTTCTAGGAAATGTCGCACCTTTTGCGTATCCCACGCTTTGAGATACGACTGAATGCTCTCTGGATCTCGAATAACGTGGATAACAGGATGTGTCTGCGCAAATTTCCTAAGGAGTCTTTGGCCATTGCGTTCCATCGACCCGGCCCCACACGCTATAACACATCCCTCTTTGTTATCTGATAACATCGACTCAAAGACCCGAGCCTCTTGTTGCCGATATACGGATCCATCATTTTCCTTTTTGAACACAGCACGGGAACATCCTACACTTTGTTGAAAGTAGCGGTCTGCGTCGATCAATCGTCGTCCAGATGTCGCTGCGAGGATGACTGCCAGGCTTGACTTTCCTGTGCCACGGATTCCAATCAATACGATGGATGCCTTCGGGTTGAAGGTCCGCAGGGTTTGAAGATGGCCATGTTCAAACAGAACCGGGGATCTGCGGTTTGATTGTAATTTTCTCAACGAGGGTGGACGCGAATCTCCGGATGCTTCTCTAACTTCACTCGATCGACGAGAATGGGTTCGGGATGTATTCTGAACAGTAGAAGAGGCAACGGTGCCTGAGCTGTACTTTCGAGGTCCATCGTCCAAAGTCACGACCTCGTGAAGCTTTCGTTTCGGTGGGCCCACCAACATGGACATGGTGCATCGAGTGTCCCACGTGTTGGAAATAAGATCAGGAGCAGAGTGGTTGAGGACCCATCACCACAAATGGAAAGGTATTGGAGGATGCGAATATAGAGGAATCGGAGATAAAGAGAGAAGAAACCGAGATAGGTAAGCGGGATTTCCCAAGTTTTGCGGGGGAAAAAGAATATTCTTGGAAAGCGCCCGGGTCTGATACGTTCTTACATAAGGCGGACGAGCACTCACCCGGGGACTTTCGGTTTTCCTCTTCCCCGCGGGGGATTTGCGCTTAGATACGAACGTGCAAAACAGTTGGGGAAAGTAGAGAAATTGCTGTGGCTTAGTCTGAATCGCGCGGCTAGTTTGCCCAAACGTCAGCTTCGAATCCGAAACATAAGGCCAAGCCCACACGCGATCATCTTTTGGGAGACAGTGACTAGCTCACCGCTAGCTGGATATCCAACCTTCCCCGGAAGAACCGTGTTGGCAAGCACCTTGCATTTTGCTGCACCTACCCTCAACACCGCGCTTCAGCCCCAACATCTCTCCCCGACGGCCATAACATACCTCTAGTGGGGCTCATTTACATGGCGTAATCGCCAGCTCGTCCGTGCAGTCACCTGTCGGCAAAAGATTCACAAGTATCACATTGCGGGAGCATGCGTCCGAATCCTCCAGGTGGATCGCCATATCAATCACCATGAGCGCTGAACAGCGCCAGGCCGCGGGCGCTAGTAGCAAAACCAAACGACGATGGACCGACCCAGAAGATGATGGGAAGGCGACGGGGGAACCGAAGCGTCAGCGAGTCTCACGCGCGTGTGATAGTTGCCGGTCTAAAAAGGACAAATGCGATGGAGTACAACCAGTGTGCTCGACTTGTGCATCGCTCTGCCGACCCTGTACCTATAAGGCCAACCCGAAGAAGCGAGGCCTGCCCACCGGCTACATTCGCTCGCTGGAGTTGCTATGGGGGCTGGTCTTCCAAAAGATCCAAGGCAGTGAAGATGTCATGCGAGCTTTGATGCGATCGGTCAATCTTCCGAGTCATTTGGCTACGATGGGCAAGGAAACGGAGGGGTCCGATGCATTGCTAGCTTCCTTCAAAAATAGCAAGGTTCTCAGAGACATTGAACGCATTCTGATAGTACTGGAACAGCCGGAGGAGGAAAGAGAGCGAAATCTCCAGACACATGGCGAGGGAGAGACACCTCTAGATGTCGAACGGATTCTTTCTTCCGCTGAGGCACAGGAGTGGCAGATCCCGGAAGGCATAGAAGCTCGTGAGACGCCATTGCCAGGATTATCGCCGACTCGAACCGCGGTGGGTATCGCTCCAACGCAATATACCGGACCACGCCCGACTACAGATTGCGGTATCCAGACAACTACACCAGACGACCGACTCTTGTCCTCGTTCACCCTCCCATCCAATCCTGATTACCCTCGATCGCTCTCCACGAAAACCTTTCTTCAACTCCCCTACAACGCATGGCCCCTTTTTGATGTGTATTTCTCCTATACGCAATGTTGGTTTCCCATTCTCGAAAAGCATGACATCCTTCGCACCGCTTTTCACTATACCGAAGGCGACGTATACGCATCGTGTTTAACTCCCGGGTCTGGGGAGCACGCAGCCTTGTGGGCTGTTCTCACTCTCGCCTCGCTCCAGTATGCCTCTATCTCAGCCTCCAGCGAAATAGAGGAGCAGCCAATTGATCAGATGACGCCATCACAAATGTATTCCACTGCTCGGCAATTGATTCCGCCTGAAAGTGGGCCGCACGAAATCGGACACGTGCAAGCATTATTGATCTTGGGTCTGGTCAAATTCGGACAGCAAGAATGGACTGGCTCCTGGATGCTTGTTGGTCAGGCTGTTCGGATTGCGCATGCACTAGGTCTCGATCAACCGTCATATCCGTCATTGTCGAAAACTCCAGATCAAGAAAAGCAGATTGGTCGAGCAAAACATGTGTTTTTGGGTTGCTTTGTTCTCGAGACCCTTATTGCAGAAACAATCTCACAATTCCCATCCCTGCGAAAGGGTGACTTGGCCAGGATAGGCTCTATCAATGAGGACGGTCTTGAGGAATGGCATCCTTGGGAAGATCAAACTGGGTTACGGCCAGCCCAATCCTCGCGAACGTCTATGCAGCGCGGTCCCCTTCACGCGTTGAGCACTTTCAATCGCCTCGTAAGCGTCGTATCGATTTTGAATGATCTATGCTGTTGCAAGCACGATCCAACCATATCTCGATCACAGCTGGAGCAACTGGAGTTACAATTACAGCGCTGGGTAACAGAATTGCCAAAGAGCTACCGTGTCAATCTGCACAGCCACCCTGTGAGACTGGCTTCTCCGCATATCTTTGTGTTAGAGATGACATATGAAAGCGTTGTCATTGCTCTCAGCTCTCAAATTGCTATTCGTGAACATGATCAGAAAATTACTGAACCTCCTCACAAAATCCGTGCCACAGAAAGCTCGAAAAGGCTTTTGCAATTGCTTCAGGCCTATATGGAGACATACAGCTTTTCAGCCACTCCACCAACCTTCGGTCTGATGCTTCAATTTGGCCTCCCGCGGTCCAATCATAGGGACCTCCCGTCAGTCCTTGATGCGGGGTTACGAAACAACATTCACAATTTTTCCTCCCAGCTTTCTGTTTTGTGGACCATGCAAGACCAAAAAGCCGCCAGTCGAAATGTACCAGAAAGATCTCAACTACTGGCTCCTTCTCCTGCGGTTTCACGGCACGTTGATGCCTCTGCCGGTGGAGATATGACAATCCCCCTATCGCTCTCAATAGCCACACCTTCACATCTTCTTCCTACCACACATGCGACACATGCTCCCCAGAATACTATCAATGCCGCGGCTGTCCCTGAACACCCATTCCTCTCCACACCTTGGCTTAGAACCACACAACACATCGAAGATGTATCTCTTCTCCGCACGCCTTCATCCCTAACCTCCGTTGGGGGCACCTCCGATGTTCCTCAACATCAGGGTCAATTGGATAGCTCTCTCAACTCTGGGCTTCCTCATCCTACATCGGTGGCTAGCGAATCCCATTATAGTACCAGGATGCTTGTCGATCTTTCGCCATCATACCATCACACTGCACAATACGATCCAACGGCATATCACGACCCATCGGTCAACATGGGCACACTTATTGACATTGATGGCTATTCACGTCTGCGGAGGCAACGAATCGCTCCAGATCTCGATGCATTATTTGATGAGCTGGCGTCATTGGATGGTGCCGAAAAGTAAGCCTTTATCTCTTTTTTTTTCTCCGCAAGATAACTGACTTTGACCCTCTGTAGAGCCGACAATCAACCAGAGTTTATGCAGAACCTAGGTTTTGTCTCTGATGTGGGAATTCCTGAGCTCTATTCGTTCCCCGGTCAGATAGAGCATTTCTTGCTGGCACAAACCCAGCAGCTAGCCAACAACGGCGCTTCTTCTGGTATACGACGAGAGTCGCAGCCTCTTAACATATCAGGAGCCCCCAAGTGATGATGTCTTGTATGGTCATTCTATTTCGATGATCTAAATGTCATGGGAACGCCTTGTCGCCGCTGGTCGGCCTCATTAGCCTCTACAGCAAGACTCCACCCACCTGAATCCAAAGAAAGCGTTCTGTAAAGATGATAAACCATCACCTCTCCTTCCTTCAGCCAATCTTTGCTGATGCACTACTAGCATTGCAGGAGGTCCTCGAGCTGTAGCTAGGAAAAACATTATATTCACCACGCGTCTATTGGCGTATCATGATAGGTGGATTAGATACGAAATATAGCCAGGATGAAAGTTATTTCTTCACATGTCAAAGGTACAGTCAGAAATTTTGAAGAAGCCTAAAATAGTTTGATGGGAGTATTGAGGAGGTCATGGGCATCATCCGGAGCGTCAAGCATGTCCATTACAATTTCATGGTCTCATCAAATCAGCTGTTGGAGTTCAAGAGGCGAGTCGAAGAGAACATACAACTACTACTTCTTCCTGGAGGGAGGTGCTCGAAGTCATGCTCGTGCCTGTGTGAAACAACCCATCACAAAAGAACCCAACTCAATCATAGCGCAGCCTTAGCCTCCTTCTCCAGCTCCTCAAAATTAACACAAACATGCTCAACAGCGACCTTATACCCATAAACCCCGAGACCAACAATAATGCCCGCAGCCTTATCGCTGAAGTATGAGTGATGTCGCCAAGGCTCGCGCGCATGTACATTGCTCACATGGAGCTCGATGAAGGGAATGGCGACCCCGAGCAAGGCATCGCGGATTGCAACGGATGTATGAGTGTATGCGCCCGGATTGATGATGATCCCGTCGACTTTGCCACGCGCCGCCTGGATGCGGTCCACGATAGCGCCTTCGTGGTTCGACTGGAAAGATTCAAGAACGGCACCATAGCTGGCGGCCACCTCGCGGCTGTTCGACTCTACATCGGAAAGTGTTGTGTGTCCGTAGATGTGCGGTTCGCGTGTACCCAGGAGGTTCAGGTTTGGGCCATTGATTAAGAGGATGGATTTGCCCATTGCTGTGTGGTTTAATGTTGGTAGAATTGGGGTGATTTGGTGGTTTTTGGTAGAGTGTGGAATTGAAAGATTTAGTACGGAATATTTGGAAATGGCATTCACTGTAGGCGTGTAAAAACTATTCTTTTTTAATGCTCTTCTTTGGTCTTGTTCTCTCCGCATCTTGCTCGGCCCGGCAGAGCGCTTTGCCGTGGATTTTTGTGGGGACTTCGGGGTGGTGGGATGGGATTTGGTCCTGTTGCCTATTGTGTTATTGTATGGGATCATAACCTTTGGTGCAAATTTGTTGATCTCAGTGAAATAAAAATTATCGGAAGGGTACAATGGTGCCCTGGTCAAATCTATACCCTGGTTTGCTTCGCACCATATGTCAGCACATACCAGGATCGACGGACGAATATCTCAACTTGATACACAACGTTGACCAGGACTGCCCGATGTTCTTTATAAGCTAGCCAAGCTGCTGAATTGAGTTGGAAACAGGCGGACCTGTCATTTAAAGCAGTACAACCGCATGTTAAACCCACACAGCCAAACCATCGCCGTCTACGCTGGCATCTCAATGGATACTTCACAAACACTCAAAGGAACCGCAGGACATATCATTAGTCTGCATAGTTTTCCGTTCCACAAGCTTACCAGTGTCTTTGTGAAACACATCTTCCCCCACTACAAGTTCAATCTTCAACTGATGGTGAACGGTAATTCCCTTCGGCATTTTGCCCGTCGAGGAGAAAGAAAACTCTCTAGGAAGACATGGTGAAGTATGGCCTGCCCCTATCGGCACAGATCTCATAAGCTGCTGGGTCAATCTCGTTCACGATCTTTGCCTGTTTCGGAATTGAGAATTCAAACGGAATGCAGGTGGCTGATTTTTCTTCTCCCTTTCCGCAGAGATTCTTTCCGTTTGGTTGTTTAACGTATGGATTGCAACTAAATCCCCAGTACCCTTTCCTGCCTCCATCACACAACTTGCGGATCAACTGTCGTTCGCGGATGGAAAATTTCTCATCGGAACTGCTAGGTTGGCTTATGATCCGGACTATCTCTTCAGCATACCATCTCAGCTCTCGCACCACAAGATGACGGAACTCTGCTTCTCGGTTCGATGAGGCTGCCTCCCAATGAGTATGAACTGTAGCTGTGAATGAGATCTTCGACCCAGACCTCGATGTTGAGTTTTGTGAGAGAGTCATTCCTTAAACAGTGTTCGTAGAAGTCGGATTTTGAGATAAGTTTCCCTTGAGAAGTTTCAACCCCCCTTCCTCGGACAATAGCGGCAGAGGAACAGACCTAATGATTCGTTCAATCCTTGAGTCCGACTGTGGCGATTTGTTCACTGGATTGTAGAATGACGGATAAAAGATCCGCCAAGTGGTGTTACTGTCGGTTGTTAATGTTACAACCTGAATAAGCCGAACGTGGATCTGGGTCACATGGACCAGAGGTGAAAATGAACTTGCTGAGAGAACGGCATACCCTGCCAAAGCAGAACACTCACGCTTGTCATAGCACTGGCTATTGACATGGTGTGTAGAGGGAGCAACGAGGTTGAGATTAAGAGAAGGCATGATGCCGTCCGCAAAACGATGGTGATCCACGTTTTGATTGCTACGCATCTAAATGGTCATGTTGATTGAACAGAGAAAAAAGGAGTGTCGTACTGTACTTCTGTGTATACCAGCGATCTTTCCTTGCATAGGTAGCCAAGACGGAAGGAGTTCATCACGGGGGAGCCTTTTTGATGTTGAAGCTTGATGTCTGCACATATTACTCGGTATTTACATATCATACGCCAAATCTGTTCTCAGAGCTACAGAGGGAAGAGATTGAAAGGTATGGCTTACTTTGTTAGGTGAATTAGTTGTGTAGCTAGGGCTAATCACTCACCTTAGAATTTTGTTCCCTACCTCTATTTGGTATAACTCGGAACATTCGGGCACCACCATTCCGTGAGGAGGAACTCCAATGTAGGTAGAAAGATTCAATGTACGGAGTATTCTGTTCAGAATCGTTTATATTTGTGCGTGGGGTCCACTCGAGCGGAGAGCGCCAATCGTACATTTAGAGCCCGGACAGGTTTAGTGGAATTTCGTCAAAATCATCCCAGTTATCACATCTCACACTCAAAAATCTGTGCCCATACCAACGCCCTTGTATTCCAAGATTCTCTGTGTCCCCTTGTAGAAAGTCGAATGGAATAGACAGATGTCCGCAGGTTCTACGGAACAGTTGGCTGTTAAAGGTATGGATCTCACCTCGTGCTTTACCGGGGTCCTAACATCACTAGATTGTCCAACGTGTCAAAAGCGACGTATAAAGTGCGATCGGGGCATTCCCACCTGCCGTAAATGCGGGAAACGCAATTTAGAATGCCCAGGCTATGGCCTGCAGCTCAAATGGGTCCAGGGCGTCTCTAGCCGCGGTAGTCTGCGGAGCAAAGCATTTCCCTCCCTCAATGCTCCCATTACAGGATCAGAATGGCCTCCTTCGGAGGTCTTATCAGATACTCGTACAACTGGTAACGGAATAAATGCTCTGGACCGGTACTGTTCCATGACACGTTTCTCACGGGGACCTATTCCATCACCCGCTTCGGAACTGTGCTTTTCGCAAGCTCGACCACTGCATGTTTCTCGGTTGCTCTCCTGGTTCAACGACCGAGTCGCCCATCGGCTTGCGTGGGTTCCGCAACAAAATGCATGGCGCCATATGATTCTACCAATGGCGGAGAGCTCCGAAACAGTCCTTTCTTCCATTCTCGCTATCGCTGCCCATGATCTGGTATCGGAGTATTCTCCCAATGACCTGGGACATGGAACGTTCCAGCAGATGTCGATCAACTATCAAAATAAATCCCTTGCCCTGTTGGCTCAAGAGTTGAACGGTCTTTCTACATCGTCTACGTCGGCACTGCAAGCGAGCACAACATCTGCCTACACCCTGGCATCTGTGATTCTTCTCTGCAATAATGAGTTTATGAAACCCCAAGGTGCCGGGTGGAGGGTTCATCTCTCAGCTGCGAAGGAGATCATCCTAGCGGCAGGGAACCGACCATGCCAACACCACCAGCTAGCCTGCATCGAACAGTTTCTCATGTTGGAATTCTATGAGGCTTCGGTGTGGGCTGATTTGACGGCTTTCGATAACTACAACATGGCGATCAAATCTCCTCCGGCTAGCGCCGAGAATGCAGTCTTCACCGACTTCATTCGGCTAATAGACCATATCACCCGCCTTGAGCGTCTGAGATTTTGTTCTGAGACAATCGAGCAGGCTTCATCATACGGCCCGACCCAAGACGTCCAGTCGCAGATTGAGTCAGCTAGAAACAACTTGATGCGTCTCAGTGATTCCATTCCCTTTTCCTCCGAAGCGGATCAAATTGGCTTTGAACTGGTAGTGTGGATGTACTACCACGCAACCATCATCTACAGTCATCAGGCTTTATCAGAGGATGCTACTCCTAATGATGACGTGCGGAAGTCTCGGGATGAAATCCTCCGCTATGCACAATTTCTCTCCGAGACTCGGGACGGCACGTTTGCCCAGGACCTTGTCTGGCCACTTTTCATGGCAGGAACTGAGCTACGAGGACATCTGACCGGTCAAAAGGTCATTCAGGAATGCTTTGGAAATGTCATGCGTATCAGCCGTAGTCTGGATAGAGCGCGTGTTCTCTCGTTCGTTGAGACCTGGTGGAACGACCCTGGTACTTATCCATCTTGGATTGACATGGCTCGAAAGCAATCCCAATCTTCGCAGTGTGACTTTCTCATTGTATAATAGGCAGTTAGACATACCAAGAGATCGTGGCGATGATTGTTTCTGCGGATTATGGGTTCAAAGCGCAAAATGCCAACAGGGATCGTGGATGACTTGAAACTGCTTGTTTCGCAGGCTACCAACTTCTATCCCGGCTTCGAACAATTCTTAGGACATTCCGCGCGATTCACTTTGAGACTGGAATCCAGGCTCTTGATGGAAAGACCTTCGAAAAGTGACAGCCAGCTCTTCTTCCTTTTTGGTCCGATCTTGCCGTGGCTAGATAAGGAACGCAGTTTCTTCACATTTCGGACGAGGATTAGTAAGATTGGCTGGAGGATTGGCTGGAGGATCGGCTTCTTAGAGTCCAAGCAGCGTTTTGCGCGTGGCTTAGACACTTTTATAGCCACTAGTTACCAAATTCAACTCAAGCTGTTTTCAGTCGGGACATTCACTACCTTGTTATCTGTTGAGTCGAACTTGGAACCCTGTAGTGATCTAAGGATCATGGTTAGCAATTCATTTGGGAGTGGCTTCACTCTCCGCAGTGCATTTGGATTTTGATCAACCTAAGGAGAAGCGTCCACCCTGGGGCCAATAAGAGGGCCAAAGAGCACGGGATGGGGCCGAAGGCCAGTCGCGCGCTAATATACCTCATGGCTTGGACGCTCTGTCACCCATCACCGCTGCTCACCGTGTCAAGCGTGGTCTTGACCTACTTCTTTCGCCTCCAATTTGACATACCTCAGCCTATCAGTGTCTGCTCCTGCGCAGTTAACTATTTGGCTCATCCAAGATGATACTATCACCCAGGAAGCAGGCAGGGGTTCAACACTAGCAGAGTGAGACGATCTCTTGGAGCACTTCACGGGAAGGATAGACAATGCTCAGCCGCAAGTGACTGTCCTGCCGTACACACCTGCCGGGCCCTTGGTTGTCGTCCTGACCGGCTCAACCGGCATCTTAAGTATCTTCATGCTGACCATCCGGCTAAAGGTCCCATTGTCGCCCATCCATTGTCTGAATCGCAAAAAGGACAGCGCAACGAAGAAAACAACAAGAAAAACCAAACCAAAACCCCCCCCAAAAAATACAAATTCTACCACTAATACCACTAATACCACCACTACCACCTAAAATCCACTCTCGATCCAAATCACCTTCAGGCACGCCGACCTGACCTAAGCAGACCTAGGTCTCCATGAGAAATACCTTTACTCTATCCAAAAAATAACCCCATATCCCCGAGCACCTACTCTCGCACGCTGTGCAGATGCCCTCGGTAATCGAGTCATTCGTGCGCGTCGCCCAGATAGCCGGGGCTATACGCTCCCCTGGCCTCTAGGATAGAATTGAGTGATCCCTGAGCGTGGCGAGGATGTGTGCTTTATTGGAGATGCTGGGACCCACTTTGGGGCGAGTGGATTGGGTCCGTATCAGATTGCTCGCGAAGGTTTTGGTTGATCTTGGAGCTTTGGTCGGGTTTGGATTGACGCTGGCGCCGTTGAGGGCGAAGGCGGTCTGTTACTGTTTCTCATCCGTTGAATTTGTTTCCGTCATCATGGGGGATTGTTGCGCCTCTGGTTGCCAGTATGCTTTTGTGCCTTTAAAGAAGATTAGGTCTGTTGATCTGTCTTTGTCTGCTTTGGTGCAGCGTGTTAGGTTGGATATGGAGAGTTCTGGGACATCGGATGGAGCTAGGCCGAGTAAGATCTTGGATGAACGGGGGAGATTAGTGGGGGGCTTAGGGCTATTCAAATAGTAGGGAATAGTTATATGTGTGCTGGGTGACTGAAAAATTAAGAGAATAGTGGGAAGACACAGTCCGCTGGAGGAGTATTCAAGCTGAAAAGGGGACGCGATATATATATTGAAGCATTTTCCCACAACTTCACATTTTTGGGGGCTTTTCGCCACTTGCTTTGATTTATAACGTAGCCATAATGAGAATTCAAGTACTCAGTATCCTAACACAATATCTACACCATCACAAGTTGGGACCTAATCTTCGAGACACCAGCGTCGAGTGACAGATTTTTTAGGACCAAGCTCACAGCATCCCAAAGACTACATTACAAGTACAGCCTGGAACAAGGGAAATTATGTTTGAGACAAGTTTATTCAATTAAAAAAAAAGAAACGAGAAGAAAAATTAGGGGAAGAAAAAGAAACTACATTAACCTGGAAAACACCCCAGCTATGACGCGGTTGAAAGACAACACCAAGAAAAATTCACCACAGTGCAAAGAGACAAATCACCATCTTTATCGATAGACACCAAGACTTTTGCCCCAACACTACATTGCAATCGGAGTAGAGAGTTCCTCTTTTTTTCTTTCTCTTTAATTTTCCCTTGGATTAGACCTGTTGGTCCAGCCTCGTCTGTGGTCTTGGACGACCACAACATTGATTTGTTTTCATCAGTTAAATTCGGGTTCAGCGTAAGCTGGCTCTGAGGAAATTGTTGAAGTTCTGTAGTGCCAAATTGAATGTCTCTTGCAATCGCAAGAATGAGGTGAAGGGGTAGGTGTGATTGCGTCAGGATCATGAATTGATAGCGAGGATTAGTTGACGTCATTTCGTAGGAGCATGAGATGATCGGATTTTGAAAGGGAGAACTGCGAATGGCATTACGCCTCCGACGCCCAGCGAGACTCCCGCAGCGGCATCTCCTCGCCAGCTTGCTTGCGGCTCCCGTCCACCTCGCGTTTCCATGCGTAATACTCGCCGAGACGGGTCTCAGCGTAGCTGGCATAGTCAAAATCGATCTGGGAGATTTGCGCTTGAATGAGTGCCCAAACGCCCCTGGGAGATATTTTTAGCACGGTACGGTGATGGCACTATCTTTCTAACTGGGTCCACTGAACTCACCAGTAGAGACCGGGGATACCACGGAAGCGATCAACATCCTCATACAGCAGGTCGACAATCTCAGCCTGGGACGAAGCGTCAAGGCCGCGTTGTTCACAGTAGCTCTTCGTGTAGTCAGTGAGGAACTGGCGGCGCACAGACTTTGTCGGCATCATGTTGTAATCGCAGTCGTAGCCACCCCACTCAGCAAGGTGGTTTGAAATATCGAAGGCCGCGGGCGCAGGGACTGCATATTCGTAATCGATGAAGTTGACAGGCGCGATGCCGTCTTCGGGAGTCAGAACGCCGTTATCGCTCGGAAGAACAATGACGTTGGCACAGAGAAGATCGCAGTGCGAGAAAACCAGCTAGAAACCCAGCGATTAGCCAATATTCAAAAAAATGCAATCCCCATTTCCAGTCAATCAAGGCCGGGAGCCACATACCCCGTCTTCACCAATTCCCTTTCCATCATCTAGAATATCCAAAGCCCACTGCAACTCTGCTTGCAAACTCAACCGACGAGCGCGCTGCTCGGGCGTGGTGACCGGTAAAGCCAACACCCACTTCTGCAACACCGCCCACATAGACGGGCCCGCGCGCCGGGGCTGGATTGCGGCGATCTCGTCGTCCTGGATGTCCGCGATCTCGGCCACAGAGGCTTCCTCAACGGACGTGGCTCCGCTACTAGGCAGGTTGGCGTGCCACTGCGCCAGGCGGCGGGCGACACCGCGCCAGATGGGCGGGGATACTAGATCCAGGTGACCACATGGTCGGCCGCGGATGAAGCGGTAGAGCAGGCCGTTTTTGAATCGAGCGAGGAGAGGCGGGGCCAGGCCGCGGCTGGCCAAGAGTGCGTGAGACTTCGTTTCTCCTATGAATGATTGATCTACTTCAGCATATGTCGCAATGGGCAAGGGAGGCGCGGTGGGGCTTTTGTTTGGGTTGAGAAGTAGGGATTTTGACGAAGGTTGTCCGTTGGGGGGATTTTGCTCGTACTTTCGCGATCTATGAGGATCTCTGTGCCATTTCCGTACGCCCTCATCAGCACTGCCTCATTGTCTATTTGCTCCTCCGTCAGGCCGGGTCTCAGGTTGATGATTTTCAAAAGCTAGGGAGGTGTTAGCCTCAATTGGATTTTGACGACCTGCTGGTCTCGCGGGAAGCGACATTAGGAAAGAGAGACGCACGGTGTTGGTGATGCCGTCGGTGAATCGCACAAACTCAATATTGTTGCCAGGTCCCTCCCAGTCGGGGTTCAGGGTCAGGATAAGCCTGAGAGCAGATGCCTGAGAGTCGGCATGGCTATATGATAGGGGAATGTATCGGAAATCAGGCGTGGTCTTCGTCGAGCCCATCTTGGAGTTGAGAGTAGAGTGGAGGTGGAAAGGGGGTACGGGCGCGAGTTGATTTGTGTTTCAGGATAATCTTGTGCTATTTTAATAGTCCACAACTGCTTGAGAGGCACCGGCTCTATATCAGTGACGATGTCCCAAGTTCAAGATTCAAGCAATTGCACAAGGCTAAGCTGCTAGTGCAATGTGCGAATGGAGATCAAATTTTGGAAAGGAAAAGAGCACAATGTGGAAAGGCGGATTTTGTAGTATGGCGAAGGTACAAGAGATTCAGGGGCGAAGAATTCGAAGACGCTATCGATGGCGGGGAGGTTAATCGAGGCAGCGGGAGGTCTCGTGCTCCCGACCCGTGATTGGAAGAAGTGATTATTTGCTGGGGCCCAGGGTACTTGAGGACAAGGAAGGGACTTTTCCACCACTACTACTAGAGGTACAAAGATGTATAATCTTTTGGTTATTTGTGATAAGAACCTATTTTATACCTATAGAAAGATTTCCTAATGTGGTATGCCTTGTTTCAATTGAAGTTCGGTGGCGAAATGGTACGAAAGTATCTTCTTGACTGTACAAAAAAAAAAGTACAACATACATTGCTTGTTCTAGCCGTTGCAAGGCACGGATGATCACATGAAAGACTGGAAGTCACCTAAAAGAGGGTCCTAGGTCACATGGACAGGTCAAACCCTGAGGCAAGCCCTACCTGCCCAAACCGATACAATCTCTCAACCAAAAAAAAATTGAAATTAGTCATAAAATCCATTATTAGTCAACGAAGTGGAAAAACATTTACACCGAAACCAAATTAGCTCTAGCGTATATCGACTTCCAGACATATAAAACAAGCTTCTTGCCCGCGCTTTTCCTCTTTTTTCTTTTCTCTCCATCATCAGTAGAGGTTTACATAACTTATGTAAATTTCAACGGGGCTCCACAATGTGGCTTGCTGAGGGTTATCCTATGGTTTCGGCCATCGTGGGTTTTCTTCCGTTCCCGGCCCTGGAGAGTAAAGGCGTCTCTCTTTTTCCCAATCACTTTATGGCTTTGCTAGGGTATCCTTCGGGAAGCCCCATGGGTGCTAGCTGTGGAGAGGGCGTCACATACCATTTTTCAGTCACTGATGTGTTCTGAGTTGTCACTGCCTCTGAATTAATTTAGGTCAGAGGTTAGCGAGCACAGGTTAGCGAGCGTAGCATCGGAAATCAAGACTTTCCCAACTGTTAATTCGAACGGCACTAGAGTTGCTTCGCCTGTTGTGTGCGGCCTATCGCTGGAGAGCTTCAGAAGACTCGCCAATTTCGGGACTTGTCAAAACGCCTGACCTTGCTAAGACTAAGCCTACAATTTGCCGTTTTTCCTTGCAAGGACATGTCGAGCACCCTTGAGTTACAGATGTACGTGCCACAGCCACGCGTCAGCTGAGTGTGTACTGCATAGAGACGAGATCCTGATTGTCATCACCGTCATAACTGTTGAAATTTTCTATCGTGCAACTTTTAGATGTTCCCAATCAAGCATGTCCAGCATTGCCAATCTGGATGCGCTCTCCCGTCCACTTGTCATCACTGCGCAACACCGGCCAGCTAGCACCGTCGGCCTTGATCAAGCTCAAATCTAGCTTGGTGCCCAACACGCGGAAAGTTGATTTATCTGCGTCAATAGGCGCAAAGAGGCTGTATGTATCCTGGTAGCGCTTGTTGTCCGTGGTAGGAAGGTCGAAGATAATCGAGTTGGCAGCAAACTGAACCTTGGCTCGTTGCTTGTCAATCTTCTTGAGGTATAGGGAGACGTTGACGGCGGTGGGCGTTTGGTAGAAATCGTTTCTGTAGAGTGCGAAGGCAAGTAAGTTTGCGGTTTTCAAAAACAAAACAACATAGCTGGTCTGCCTGTCTTGTTGTATACACACCTGACTGAATCCACCTTCTCTTCGCCCGCGGGCTTGGCCTTGCCAACAAACATGTGTCTCGTCTTCTCTGTGCATCCGGGGATCTTCAGGAACTCATCGAACTCGAGCACCCGACGTTTGCAACAGGACCACCCCTTGCTGCCCTCGTGGAAGACCGGCTGGCCCGGGTGGTGGACGCACTTCTCCTCATCACGAGCAGTAGACCCGGTGTAGGACGCGCCACAACTCCTCCGACGGCATGTTGCATTAGCGGGGATTTCCACATCGGGATCATCAGACTCAGGCTCATCGATGACTGGCTTCGCAGGCGGCGCCGCAGTTGCGATAGTTGGGGTAGCGGAGATGGGTAGCCGCTCGGACTTCCTCTGCTCAGCCGGTGTAGGAGGAGCAGTGACATCCTCAGCCTTGGGCTCGGGCGCTGGTGTGTCGTCAACGGTGGAATGCTTGCCAGTTGTGCATGGCGGGATGCCGAGGAATTCCTCGAAGGTTAAGACGCGAGGCTTGCAGCATTTCCAGCCTGAGAAGTTAGTGGTGTTGCGAGGTAGAAACGTAGCAGAAGTTAGAGACAAGATCAGGTGTCACATTGCGTTGCCGCAATGGTCCACCGTGAACCGGTGGTGAAATCATGGGACACAGATCTGGCATAGCTTGATCACCAAGGTACTTACCTTTCTGCCCCTCGTGGAACACTGGGGGACCCGGATGATATACGCAGTCTTCCTCCGGGTCGGTGAAGGTCTTTCCACACGCTTTGTGGATGCACTTGCCTGCCATGATTGTATAGCAAGACAAGTTATAAGGAATTGACGGGACTGAGTCGAGAGAGAAGATTGTAAAAGTCGCAGATTACCTAACAGGGTTTAGCGGGGAAGCTCGAATGTTCCATCGCGGAGAACTTTCTGACCGCATTCGCGTCACGGCACCGGCCACCTCGAAAACCCGTGGTTGAATTCATTCCTTCCATATTTACTCTTCTCTCATGTTTTCCACGCGTGCCCTTCTCAGCCCAGCCCGCTTGACTTTGTTTACGCGCGCAGGCTGTGGCCTTTGCGATACCGCCAAAAACACCGTGGTTCAGCTCCAGAAACGGCGCTCCTTTGAATACGTCGAAACGGACATCATGGAACCGGGGAACAAATCTTGGAAGGATGTTTATGAGCTTGATGTTCCAGTTCTCCATGTCCAGTCAGTTCATAACGGGCTGCCCAAGGAAGCCAATCTCTCCGATGCGCGCAAATTGTTCCATCGATGGACAGAGCAGGACGTCGAGCGATCGGTAGATGAAGCGGAAAAAGCAAATTCCAGATGATTTTGTTTTGGATAGGCATTGCATGTCCAACCGTGCGGATTGCTCTGGTCCGCTGGCGGGAACTTCGCATTTCACAACGGGGGGACCCTCCTACATGGAGGCATTGACATCGTGAGACACAGTGATGCTCGTGGCTCTTGTTCTACTATCTCTGCATAATCGCTTCTCCAGTCCTACTGGCAGGACATAGCAGCCCTGCAAATTGGACAGCGAGTATACTTCTGTTTGTATCTGATGTCTTTGACCGGCAGGTGAATGATGGCAGACCTGCTCATGATGTACTCAGATGCCACATCATTGTAAAATATGTGTAGTCCCTGTTTCCCACGGACATCTGAACATTTCGATAATAAATTTGATCTACAATTCCAATCAGTTTTGCCACCCAAATTCATCCCACCTGCCTATTTCGTACAAAAGCTCTGATACATATGGTATTCACCACAGCTCATTCATTCTCTTTCATCTCAAATAGCTCATATCAAATAACTCGGGTAAACTGACAATTAGAAAATCAATTCTCACATGCACACCTTTTCAAGTTCGTCTCGTACTTCAATGTTGTAGGTTGTCCATCGAGCCCGGGGAGCATGTCTGACTAGGCGGTAAGGCAACGACCACCCCTAGTTAACTAAAACCAACAACTTAATCTTGAAGTAGCCCTTTTCAGGTATCATTGTCACCACGAAATACGATGCGGCGAATCACTCAGGACATTTGATCTGGTGAAGCGACGTTGAACTGGATCTTAAACTCTTCTTGTCCTCTTTGAACTTCTCATCGTGCTCCGAGTTTCGCAATCATCTGCAGTCGTGACCCTCACGGTTCTGCCACGCGCCTTTACGCGTTTCCACTAATTTTTCCTCGGCGAATCATTTCAGATCAAGAGAGCATTGAATTTTATCGGTAAGTGATTCATGAAACCGATCTGTGGTGCTGGTGCTTGTGCAACATCTTTCACATCGCATGGTGCAAAAGGTTGTTCTCACTTCACTGTGAACTGTATATGTACTTCGCGAATTAACCAATCAAAAGCTAATCTCTTCATCATTTTCAGCTCTTTAAATACTTTTAAAAAACAACGTTTCAGATATTGGTGAGTGACTTTCCAAAACGCTCTTTGTTGCTCGCTTTGTAGGGGGCTGTACGATATCTATCAAGCTACGGTCAACTCAGCCAGGCGAATTATGTCATCTCAAATTCGAGTAACGCAGACTTATACGGTTACCTTTATAGATCATCGTATTCAGCCAATTGATTCAGGGTACTTAATCTGTGTCAATGGCCGACCAAACGCCAATGGCGAAGGACGCTGACACTTCGTGGCCACAATCGGCTCCATTGTCAACAACTTCTTCAGCACAGTCAAATCACCCCTTGGGATCTTCTTGTATGAAATGCAAGGCAAACCACAAGCGTTGTGATCGTACTAGACCAGGTAATCACCCCGTGACATGACAGGTCAACGAGTATTGCGAGAAGTTTGTTGATGATTGACTATGCATACAGCCTGCCAAGCCTGTCGGAGCATGGGCCTTGATGCTGAATGCAAATATCCTTCTGCAGACTTAGCAGTGTATGCTTATTTTTGAAATCAGCTTGGCCGAGCCAAAAATACTAATTCATGCCATCTAGTACCTCGAGCAAAAGAGCCGGGAACAGAATCACCAAGAAAACTGGTGCTCCAATCTCAGGATCAATGTCCAATAATGACCCTGCGTTACCTAAAACAGGTGAAAAAAGACCAATATGTGCAGAAGATTCTTTTGAACAAGTTGAGCTTGTCAGAGATGTGGTTGGAATAACCATGCAAAATGATCTCAACCACCCCCAGCAGACGGAGATAACTCAGCAGTCTCCTTTGAAACTGCAGAAGATATCCGAGCCTGGCGCTGGAAGTGCTGCTGGGAAATCTGCTTTGGAACGAGGTCAAACTACACCACTCGACGCCGGTATGCCCAGTGGAAGTAGACCATCTCCTCCCCTGTGCGGTATACCTCCTACAATGCTTCAAGATGAAATGGAGCTCCGATGCAACTTGACTACCGAAATAAATGTCCAGAGAATGAAGCATCGCAATCTTGCTGCAGGGCCTCTGCGCAACATCGTGAAACTACTAATGAAAGCCAGGGCTGAACGCCCAGCCCCTGAATCGAAAATTGATGGATCGAGTGCTATGCCATTGAGTGACGAGTGGCGTGAAGAGGATGACCTCATGGAAGTTGCAACAGTCAAGCTTGAGAAGGGTGGCCGATGCTCTCGTGCTCTTCTCAGTCGCTTTGAGAACTTCTTGTATGGCCCATTGATGAGCTCCGAGGAGAAGAAGATGCAAGAGCGTATCATGTGCGTTGAAGAGTGTTTGTCAAGTGCATCAGCGCCTCCGACATCCGATCACAACTACCTGTTCCTCCATCGCCTTAAAAGGATCATACTTCATCCCGATGCCTATGGCTTGGACGAGAAAGACTCACGCATCGGCTTCCTTTGCAACCAGCTTCTTGCAGCTATAGCGACCAACTCGAAGTTGACTCCTTCGAACCGCAAGAAATTTGCAGAGCTTCTAGACCCAGATGGAGAGATTGCCAATGTCAGTGCAGATAATCCAGGTGTTAAAGCAGAAACTCCAATCTCAACAAGGAAGGCGTCACCCAAGCCCACCTCTGCACGCGTGCATTCCTCACACACGACAGAAACACCTTCAAGAACGATGGCAACACGCCAAAAAAGCTCTGTCACCTCTCTGTCTCCTTCGCCACCCCATCCTCCTCCTCTCCCCTCTCGTTCTTCAACTTTATCACTAACATCTATTGAATCAATTGATCTAACCGATGACGCCATGTCATCGTCCTCTCCTTTCATCGTAAAGCGTACGCCCAAGAAGCATGTCGCTTCTGACAGCCAATCGTCGCAATCCAACAACACTGCGTCATCTTCCATGGAGCCGTTGCCCAAGAAACGTCCTGCTTCGGATGGCCAGTCAAATGACATGATCGCTCCGGCTCCTAAGCGTGCTGCCTCTGGCCGCCGCTCATCGAATCTCAACAACATCATCGCCCCACCTCATAAGCGCTCTGCTTCTCGCACCCAGTCATCGCAGCCTAACTACACCATCCCTCAGGTTCCAAAGCCTGTTTCTTCTAGCAGCCAATCTCTTAATTCCGAAGCGCCGAAGAAACTCTGGAGCATTTTTCTTCTTAAATGTGGTCTACTCCTCCCAGCTCTTGATCTGGACCAACTGACGGTATCTTTCAACGTGGCTGTGAATCACGGCAAGCTCGCACCTAACGTTATTGATCCAATACTCGGTTTCTGCCTTGCAGTCGCAAGCCACCTCACTCTTGAACGGAGTCTTTGGGAGGGCCGTAAATGGAACGATGCCGCTCTATCCACACTGAGGAGGGAAGAAAATACCCCCTCGCTTCAATACTTCCACCGACGGATCCTTCAAATCGAGTATGTTCATATGGTTGGATATCTGGAAAAGGGCTGGGAAATCTTATCTCTCGCTATCAGCAAAGCAGAATATCTTCAGATGCACACGATGCATGGTGGATGCCTCGCCGTTGACAAAAAGTCGCTGGAGCAGGTTCGGGTGATATGGCAGTCTCTCTGGATGAAGAAACTATCTCTCGCTCTCCAGCTTGGTATTGTCAATCAATACCTCGATGTTTTCCACTTCTCACCAATGCCGATGCAGTCGCAGATGCAGGAGACCATGGAAATATATGGTGGCAGACAATCATTCGTGGCGTCGTCTTTCTTCATTGCTTCTGCCACTCTTTTGAAGAACACTGATGACCTGATCAGCGTTGAAAACAATCTACGTGTGACTCGCATGGAATGTCCAATCAAATGGTTTTCCACCTTGGACCTGCGTCCTTTCCAAGACTTGAATGAAAGTTTGTCTAGCTGGAACAATTGTTTACCCAATTGCCTGGAATGGAAGGGAGCTACCGTCGAATTTGCTATCGAGAAGGACCCCATCGTCCGCCGCATGTCCCTTCTGGCCCACGTACGTTATGCCTACTTCCGACTTCGACAGCACCGGCCTTTCTTGATACTAGCCTTGCGACTTTCCAATGCGTGTGCCTGTGAAAATAATCCGCACATGACCGGCAAGGAGATGGATTCGATCAACTCCTCTCTTCTTCTCGCCCTGGTGTATCATGGTGCTATCAAATGTCTCACCGCCGCCCAGGACGTTGTCAAAACTCTCTCTATTTCCTACGAAAAGGAGAATGACGATCATGCTAAGTGCGAGCAGCTAGACTATCTCTACGCTTCTGGCCTTGTTTTGATCGCGGCGATGCGGATACCTTGTCTAATGGATGGGACCCAGCACTGTGCATCTCCCACAGCCGCAGTCGATAGATCGATCAGTATGATTGCGAAGGATTTGCGGCGGGTTGAACAACTGCTTCGATGTTATCAGGAACGGTGCGAACAGGCAACAAAACTGAAGCTCCGTGTTCAGCGCTGTCGTGATGCCATTGCGATTATCCGCTTGCAATCCGTATCTTCGGATTGTCTGATCACGGACCATGAGATTACATTCCATCGGAATGTATGGCTACGGATCTATGATCGATTAGGCTTGGACCTCCCATTCCCGAGGTTTTGCAATGGCCGGGCCGCTAATGATAAGAGTGCTGGCCGTCGAATGACCTTCGGTTGGCTTGAAAGCCTGCCATTTGATCTGGACAGCCAAGGTGAGTAATTGGTCCACAGAGGGGATGAGGAGTTGTAGCTGTAGGCATGTTGTTCTATTCAAGAATAAATTCTGCTGTCTCTTAAATTTACCTGACTTAATCTTCGTGTTTCTCTACACCTCTGTAGGCCCTTATCACGGGCGTAATCCCCACTAAGACTTCCTTGGTTGGCGTCAGACTTAACCAATGCATTGCAAATTTTCTGTGACAAAGTAGGTATTTATATTGGCGAGTGAAGAGAAGAAAAAATCATCCCACGATATTCGGCCCAAGATCGTGACCTGGGCTGCCGGGAGTTTTTTTAGTGAGGGGATGATTGAGCAGGATCTTGACTTACGGCCCTAGAGACCAGAGACTGGCCAGAGGTAGGAGCTAGGCTTAAGTAGCATGGCAGTGGAAAATAAAAGGGATGTCGTGGAGGAATCGAACCCTGACATGTAGATAGGCAGGTTTCCTAATGAGGAAACAGGACCTCATATAGGTAGGGTAAAAGGCTTCCCAACTGCCAATCTTCCCCGGTTAGCTCGGTAGATGGGGCGGTCTGAGATAAATCTTTTAGATGCTGAAGATGTCACCTTGCCAACGCCGGTGCCATATTCATTAAGGCGGACTTAGGGTTATGGAGGCAGCCCCCACACCACCTTGTAACTATGACACGGGCCCTTGTCCTGGAGGGGGCGGTGGTCCTAAAGGGACAAGGTTGAAAGTGGATTGAGCGACTCTTTTTTTTTCAATTTTTTTTTTTTTCAAATTGTCACTTCAATAGTCCTTTGTCTTCCTCGTGTAGGGGATTTGGTTTGTCTAAATGTAGATGCACTCAGGAAGTTCACCTTAAAACTTAAGTTTGACCACGGGTAGTTCTTACCCCGACATTCTCCAAGGTGTCCTCTTAATTACAGTAGGAGGTATTCAATAAGTGGTTCCTATTGATGGTGAAAATCACTTGTAGTCAAGATCAAGCCGCTCTGATTAGAAGACTATTGAGCAGGAGATACAAGAGACGGGACTACCTAGCGTCAGAATTCGGGGTCTTAGACAACAAAGTAGGGTAGAAACATAGTCATCCTGTGTGCGGAAATCGAACTCTAGTCAGTAAAATTGATGTGTCCCAATTAGGAAATGGTCCTAGATAGGCCATTTTGGACATGTCAATCAACCGAAGTTCGATTAATCTGTTACAATCTAACCAGTTGCGTACAACTGTGCAGATGCTTCTTCCATCCGAAGCAAGAACTCGAGTCCACAACGCCGAGTCGAGATTAGATATTGTAAATCCCAAGGAGTGTACAAATACTGATCGTAAAGAGTGTGGAATCAGCCCATTCCTGTAGCCTGAAACCCCATAAACCATAGGCCCATACGTAAGAAATACATCTATTATGAAGTGCGCTCTTCACCTTCCAATCCCCACTTCACCCTCTCTCTGTAACTCCTTCTCTACTTGCTTTTATTCGAGGTGCAGAGATCTTGATTCTATTGCATCTACTTGGACTTTCGTGACTAACCTGATTATTGTTAGAGCCGACCACGTCCTTGCGCTCAATGGGCGCTGCCTGCTATCATATCCTTCTCTTCAGCCTAGGCTTGGCTGGCGAATCAGCTATTACCAGGTCATGCTTGATCCTTTACACAATACGCATGCAACAAAGAGTGAGCGCAATACAACAGTCTCGGACAACGGTCTTCGCACCCCACCAAGTGCTGCATATCAGCTCAAATTTGGCCGACCTATCTGAAGAGACTTTTCGTCCAAACCACAGGAAGCACTTGATTATCCACCCTCCAGTAGAATTTTCCATTGCCTGAAATCAAGGAAATCCAAAAATCCAATTCCGTGCCTTTGGTATTGTATTTGATCCCTAATCATCATGCTAAAGAGCACGGAGCAGTATTCAAGTTACTCGGAATGCTTGTCTTTCTGCCCTTCTAGGTCCCCTGATTCTGGCAAGCCTCAAAATCCAGTTTTATCGGCTGCGTTGAGGGAGGATCTTGGTCAAATCATTGTCCTAGTTCAATAGTAACGGGATAATGAAATTCAATCCCATATCCGGTGATATACTCGACGAATCTCATTGCTACCAGAATGACAAGGGAGTTTGGTTCTCCATGGATTAAATTTCCAAATTGGATTTTTATTTATCAAATCCTCCTTTCAGTGGTGGAGGGGTGAATGCAGCTAAAGTATCGTTTGTCCCAACTTGTTCTTCTGAGCCCCGAATTGATTCTATTCGCTTTGCTCTCAATTACGTTACAACTTCGGATGAGATCTTCACTCGACACGATTAGAATATGAGTAGGATGGAAGCTAGCTGGCTTTGGTCTTGGTTTTGTGCGTGGCATAGCTCAAGTCGGACGGTAAAACTTTTAAAGACGAAGAGGCGGAGGGAAGGTTGATAGATGTTCACACAGATATTTAAGGCTGTGTCTTTCCAAATAATGTTTGATCCTCGAAATTCTACATTTCGGTCTTAATCCTTCCAAGAAATTCGTCTAGCTATCAATTTGACAGCATATACCAGGCCCAACAGTACTGGAACCTCTATGAGGGGCCCAACAGTGGCAGCAAGAGCCTGGTTACTATCCGCACCAAACATCGCCACCGCAACCGCAATTGCCAGTTCGAAATTGTTGCTAGCAGCCGTAAAGCTCTGCACGGCGGCCAGTTTGTAACCGAATCCCAATTTGTATGCGACAAGGAGGGTCGCAAAGAAGATGATCAGAAAATACACGATGAGCGGTGCTGCGACTCGAACCACGGAGACAATTTGGTGCACCACATGGCGGCCTTGCGAGGCGAATAACACAAGTATTGTGAACAGCAGGCCGATGAGAGACCATGGGCTCAGCCATTTCAGAAAGGTATCATCGTACCACTTGGCAGAAATTCGTCGGAGCACGAAACGCGTGACGATCGCGGCTCCCAAGGGTATTCCGAGAAACACCGCAACGCTTTTGGCAGCTGTTGAATATTCGAATGTCACTGGATCACCACTGATGACGCTGATGAAGAACACCCCCAATGGAGCGAAAAGAACTATCTGCAGCACTGAGTTGAGAGCGACGAGGATGGCACAATATTCGTTGTCGCCTCCGGCTAGCCCTGTCCAAACAAGCACCTGATAGAAGCTAGGTCAGCGCCATCTATTTTTCAAGGACCGATTGCTGAGGGGTTGAGGCTTACCATAGCAATACAGCGTGCCAATCCAACAAGAATCAGTCCCTGTCGTAATTCTGGCTCGTCGGGCAAAAACACCCAAGCCAAGGCCAACTATTGAAGGCCAAGTCAGTGGTAACTCCGTGGCATGGAAGTGTTGGGGCCACAAACCATAAGAAATGGGGCAACTATCCAATTCAGAAGAACGCTGAAGGCCATCTGGACCCAAATTTCTTTTGCACGGAAAACATGATGCAGAGATTCGAACCGGATCTTGCACAGGATGGGGAACATCATAACTAAAAGGCCCACGGCTGGAGATTTAAATTCAGTCAGCAAATACTGTGAAAGTCTGGGGCCTGCTTGCTTGTACCAATAGGAATAGAGACCCCCACAAAGTTCCCCCTTTGTAGAGCTGGACCTGTGGTTGGGACAAAGTTGCCCAGGATGATCCCAACTGCCATGGCAAGAAAGATCCATATTGCCAGAAACCGGTCAAGAAGACCGAGACTCGAGAACATGGATTCTTTTCTAAGTGGCCTATCTGAGGAAGAGGTCTCACTTTGCTTTTCAATGTCGCATGTTTTTGTTTGCCCGTTAGGAGGATTGGAGGATGTATGCAAACATGCCCGTTGTTGTGTTGAAGCCATGGCGAATAATCAAGCCGATTCAGGGAAAGCCTTATTAAAAGATGGTTGTTGGAATGCAGGCGAAGGTTACTCGACAGCAGGGGTTTGAACTCTTATATTCGTCCAGAGCCATGAATATTTGCATAGATCTAGATGGAAATCTGGATGGGAATGAAATGTCACTGGCGGGTGCTGATTGGCTGAAGAGGTTCAACTCTAGAAATTGTCTCAGCCAATCAGAATGCGGGAGTGACATTCCTCTTACGCAGAGGCGGTCTTCGGGGTAATATCTAGCTGCAGAGTCAATAGTCTGAAAAGCGTCCAATCTCTTCATTTTCAAGTTTAGCATCTTTCTTGACCACTATGTCAGCCGAGCTTCCATGGCATGCTGCATATCCATCACCAAGGGGCGCGGCACCTTCCATTTCAAGAGAAGAGCTACTGCAGTGGATTCAAGAGGGGAGACAAGCAGGCAAAGACTTTATACTTGTTGACCTACGTCGCACAGACTATGAGGTAAGGGTAGGTAGAGAAAGAGTGAGATCCTCATGCGCTAATCTGTTGAAAGGGAGGAACAATCCAAGGGTCATTGAACTTGCCAGCTCAGAGTTTATACCCCATGATTCCTACTTTATATTCGCTCGTATCGAACAGCCGCGTGAAAGATGTGATTTGGTACTGTGGTGAGTCTTGCGAAATAAATATGACTACGACTTCCTCAAGTGCGAGTTCTAATCTCTCTTCAGGGTCATCTGCTGGTCGAGGCACTCGTGCAGGAGGGTGGTTTGCGGATCACCTCGAAGATCACCATGATACAGAAGTCAAGAGCTGGGTCCTATCGGGTGGCATTAAAGGATGGGTTGCAGCCGGTCCTGACTATACATCCTGGATGGATGGGTACGAGGCCTCTGTCTGGATAAAGTAGAAGTATTCAGTCGAAATGGTCAATTGAACGACACGAGGTTTGGTGTCAACTTCCCAAATAGATTTGAAAACACCATGCTTTACCAAAAAAAAATCCCCCCATTCTGATCCTTTGACATGCTTGACCACACCCTCCAATCTGGCAAGCTGCCTCGAAGCGAGAAATACGTACTGCCGGCCGTGAGACTAGTGTCTCACAATTCTCAGGCAGTCCTTGATCGCTTTTCTTCATTGGAATTATCATTATGTGTTCAATAGGAGTTTCCTAGATGTCAAAGGTAAGCAAGAGTGTAATCCAGCTCATGATTAACCTAGTCGGAAGATCCAGCGGTTAGATATGCCTGAACAACTTTACAAACAGCCCTAGCCATATTTTCCTCGGGGTACCTGATCAAGGCGAGGTACTGTTCTCTGTTGAGGCTAAGAAGGTTGTTTTTAAAGCTATTGCTACCTGGGAACACTGTCGCAAATTTCCCCAAACATGACCGGTGGACTCCGGGAAATCGTTCTTCAGTCCGTTAGCCACATCGCCATTGTCATAAAATAGCGACATAAATTGGGCTGGAGCCAGTTACCTGCTTTGAAATCATTCAATTGTTGCTGAGATGAGGGTGCGAATGTGGCTCAGAAAGGTTCCTATCGAGGGATTCGTGGCGCGCTTCTTCCTCCTCAGTGGTGAGTTCGACCGGGCCTGGAGCAGCGACTTCGCTCAAAGCGCCATAAAGGTCATCATTTGTATTATCATCTCCAATTTTTGGATGTGGCTCGCTTATTGTGACGGGAGCTGAATGTTTCTCCCGGCCACAGGTAAGCATTCGGCGGAGTTTTGAGGCAAGTGTCATCTTCTATTCCGTCATGAATAAAATCCAGGGCCACTTATTCATACAATGTGAGAGACAGCTTTCGATAGGCGGTTGGTATCTCCAAGACATTAGTGACTGTTGCTCTTCTTAGGCGTTTGGCCACTTTGCTACGTCATGAATATCAAGGGGTGAAGAGATTCTCGGACCCGTTCCCGAGCTGCCCAGAGGGTCAATCAGAGATAACTCAGAGAATTAGCAGAATCATTGAAAATATGTTAAAGGAATCTTCAAGAACGACAGATGGACAGATCAGCTCGAAAATCAATGTTGTGCTTGCTCATTCGGACCTAACGCTAACTCCGGACTTGGCATCGGACCACCTCCCTATCTTCCCGCATCTTGCCGCTTTGTTCCCCTTACGGCTATTGAAGATGACTCTCCAAATTTATCAACAGCCAGCTCTCGAGCAAACTGGTACAGATTACTCGAAAGACATCTTGGACCCCGTGGCCCGGAGACGACTCCAAAATCGCCTCAATCAACGTGCGAGCAGTGGGTGGCACTCCCCTTCGCCACGCCCGGCATCGGAACTACCAACTGTGCGGACTAACACTTTCTACAGGGAAAAGGAAGGCACTAGAGGGTAAAAAGCAACAAAATGTGCCAGACAGAAAATGGGTTGTCTATATCAACGATTCACACATCCCGAAAAAGAATGCTTTCACAGGGGCAGTAAGCCCTCAAGTTACTCAATTATCGTCGCCTCCCCGCCAAAGCGAACATCCCTTGGGTTGCTTCGATCCTTCGCAACGCAATGAATTTACGAACCAGCCCCATGCAACAGCTTTGCATATGATTGAGAACCCCATTCTCTCACCCAACCCCACCTTTTGTGCCGCCCAGTACAATCTACTTCGCGCTATATTAATCAACGCCGATCTGCTGGGCCTCACATTGGACCTTCTCAATGAAGACCTCGCATCCCAGTTCAACCTTTCTGGACCATTGATGTCGGCAGTCCATCTCCCAGCAAGCCTGTTTCCATCCCAGAAACAAATAACAATAATCCATCACCCCTGGATTGATTTGCTTCCAATTTTGTCTCTGCGGGAGGCGGTCTTGGCCAGGACAGGTTTGATTGACGAAGATGAACTGTGTGCTGACTTCCATGGGGCTAATGCGTCCTCGCAAGAAGTCGCGCTTTGCGTTTGGGGCGAAGCCTGGGACCCATCTGCCTACGAGTTCTCGGAGGCGATTTTAAGGAAGTGGAGTTGGATTGCAACAGAATGTCCTGACATAATCAAAGCATCAAATCACTGGAGGAAATTGCGAGGGGAGAAGCCTATCGTGCTCAAAAAGATCAAGTGAAATCTCTACATGTAGATAATCATCCCCTCGAAGTCCTTTCAATCTCACAACGAAAGCTTCTCCTGAGTCAGGCTCTCGCTCAGCTTCCAACGTTTGGTCCAATTGCCTTCGTCATCAATATGAGTGTGCAATTCATGGTCTGAGACTGCGTTCTGGCCGAGGTATGAGCCATTGTACCCTGAAAGGAGGCGTAGTTATTAAATTCGATCAAAGATACGGGTTTAGGTGCGCTCCAATTACCTGTGATCATAGGGTTCACTATCCCTGTAATGATGGGCGTGGCTCCTTCGGAGGTAAGTAGTCCACGGGGGAATGTCGATTGGCTTTCCATCCAGATCAACCATAGCTAGAGAAATCGATTAAACAGGAACAGAAAAATTAACAAGTGGGTAGCACATACCTGCAGCTTTTTCCCCTTTCGGCAACCTGGTCCAAAAATTCGGGAGGGCAGTGTCGCTGCAGACCAGTTTGAACAGCTCAATGTTGGTTTGCTAGATCCTATGGTATGACGAAAAGACATACCGCCAGGATCAAGACTAACAACATGGATTGGATTGCCCTTCAACTTTTCCTCCTGCCTCTTGACAAACATCACTCTCGCAGCATTCGTCTGGCCATCAGCGACCACAAGGCCCAAGTCACTCAAGTCCATGCTGAAAAAGCGTATTTCCACGTTCGGCTTGGATGACTTAATCTTCTCTCTGATTCCAGTCACCTTTGATTCGGCGCGGGCACTCAGGATGAGGAGCTCTGGATTGGCGGTGGAAAGCTGAAGTACGAGTTCGCCTGCAATCGAGTCGTTGGAAGCGCCGGTGATGAGCACTCTTTAAGGAAGGGGATTTTGTCAGGGCATCTCTTCTTAATAAGTGATAGGAATTCGGGATTCCCTGTCTTCCCAGCAAGGACGTTGCCACACTTCTCCAGAACGATCTTAGAGCGGAGGACATGTTGATTGTTGAACCTTTTGAGTGACGGTGGCTGGAAAAAAAAAAGGAGTGGAGCAGTGCCGAAAGCGAGAAAGACTTGATAAAGGTCTACTCCAGTCAGAGCACCCGCAATGGTCCATTTGATAGGTTTCCTCTCGGTGGCATTGTGATTCAGTGTTCTTGAACTGCATCGTTGAGATAGTTCGGTAGGAGCAACAGGCGCGGATATCCCCACTAGAGCACATCCCTTACTACATCGGGCTAGTCCGCTGTCATCTCAAGTATCAAGTCAATCAGGTTTGTTCCTTCAAAGGGGTTTGATGGCTGGTTTTAGCAGACGACAACACATGCTAAGAGTGGAGTTGATGCAAATAGTCACGGACATTAAGATGAAAACTCCGTTAATACCTACAAGCTGTTACGTGAGATCATGATGCAATTCACCTTTTATTAGACACAGCATGGCAGAAAGTAGGCCTTCCGCAGACACTTTCCTTCTTATTGAAAATAACTGCCCCCAAAGATGTCCAAATTAGGAGAGTTAAAAAGGGGCAAAAACGCACAAAGCCGCCAGGGTCGCCTCTGTCGGATCCTCCCTTGATTGTGTGACTGTAGATCGATTGCTCAATGTACTTACATACTGGGTCGGGAGGAGAAAATTGCCTCAACCTAGGGAACCCTTGAGGAGAACCGCCGTGTCTTAGGTTGAGTCGATGGGCGCAAGTACCGATTCCGAGAACAAGCAGAACTAGCGAATAAGTAATATGCTTGAATGTCAACGGGTGCATCATAACTGTGAGTCTGCTTTATCTGCAGTGATAACCCAGTACAACACAGGACCTATTGGCAAAAGAGATTAGACACATAGGGACGGGAAATGGTAAATGGGATTATTAGATTCCAACAGGAGGCGGAACCAGAGCCACCGGCCCAATGGTCTACAAAGAATTAATACAATGCGCCAAAACCAAACAAGACAAGAAAAGTCATCACACATATCACACATTTCAGTGGAGTAGCAGTACCCAGGACGGCCTACTCTAGAACCACATGATGCCTGCAACAAGACCAATCACAATGGCCATGAAGCTTCCATGGGGATCCTGCGAGTGCCGACCAGCGGCAGTGTCGGTGGAATCCTCAGCCCCAACTTTTTGTTGGGGTGGTGCTTGCTCGGATGGGGGGAATGGGTCTTGATCTGAGACGGCGTTGGGAAATGTGGGGTTGGGTATTAATAATGGGGGAGCCCCAGTGATCCACTCTGGGAGGGAGATCGATTTCGCACAACTTGCTCCATGGAGTCCGATGCGTTTTCCAAAATCAATGGCGACGTGGCAGGCCTGCTGACACTGGTCGCGGAGGAAGGCAGGAAAGCGGGCAGGAAAGCGTTGTATCTTTCCTTGACTGCCATTGGATGAATTATTACATGACGAGATGCTTGAAGGATATTGGTCGTCGGGGATTGGGATCGATTTGTTCGTGGCGATGGTAGGATTGGGATGCGTCGAGTTTGCAGGTAAGGTCCAATTGGAGAGTGACGTGAGGAATGAGTAGTCGTCTAATTGCTGAATGAAGTAGGTTCTAAATGCACGAGCTCTGCGACTGAATGAAAATGAGGATTCGCGGATTAACGATGAATGTCGACTTTTGTTTGCGATGGCGTTTGTTTCACTGGCGGGGACGGCGGCATTTCCCACCAGCGCGGTCAGCGGTGCGCGATTTCCTCGCGATCGATGTGACGATGTAAGAATCCATAATTTTCGAGGCTCCTTGAGCGGGAGTACTTTGGGTGCTAATTCGGTGACACTGTTTCGAAGGAGAGGGACCTCTGGACAGTCCGTTTGGTTAGTTGACTCGAGTGAGCTTGAGATTGGCGGAAAGGGGAGACGTACGACGAACTGCACCAGTGTAGAAGCTGAAGTCCGCGAACTTCGAGTGGTAGAGATTCGGCAGTGATGGCACCAAGGTGAGAAGCGAAAACGCAACAAGGATCAGGAGTGGGAGAGCGCCAGGTGTATCCAAGCCAGACCGCATTGTCCCTGCTCCCTGACTCCGTCTAGAAGCTCCCAAAGGATTTGGCAAGGTTCAGGCTTTACGGGAATCGAGGAGAAGCAAGAATGACGAATTCAAGGCCATGGAGGGAATAAGCTCGGGAGTTTCGCGTTTCAATACAACGTTCCGCAAGATGCAGCGTTTGCTGCAGAGCGACGCGCACCGATGCGCAGGGGGGGTGGTCTGTCTGGAGGGTGGCCACGAAGATGTGTACGAGCTTGAGGAGTGAGAAGATGCGAGGAAATCACAGATGCGGCGGGTTCAAGGTGGATTCGACGGGTAAATAGTCGAATGAAACACGAGATGGAGCCCTTGGGGTAGGTGGATGCCTCTTGACCCTTTTTTTTTTTTTTTTTTTTTCTACAGACGAGTATGACGTCGATGACCGTCTTCTGGAACGAGAACTTGGACTCTGACCCCGTTTAATTGGAAGTGTACAGAAATCCCCTCGTCATGTTCAAACGTCGAAGAATGTGTCCCACGTTGACCACATTTTGACAGGAAGATTTCCCCCCTAAGAATGTTGGCCTGAGGTGTCCCTAGCAACATGTCGATCACCCCCAAATAGGAAAACAGGATTTTCGAATGTAATCTCAGCCGATTCTTTCAACGTTTGGTTTATTATTCTACAAAGCACTATGACTCGAATTCATCGCTCGAGGCAATCGATAAATCTTCGAGCGTCACGGCTCCAGGACTAAAAGTGTTGTCAACTAGTCCTACAACAAACCATCCATGTATAAATCCTCACCTGGCTATAGCAAAGCACATAGTGGGATCCGCCATAATATGCGGGTTTTCGTTGGCATCAAAACCCCTGCCATAGAGTCTATACGACCATGAAGTATTGTACTAATGATGCTGGATGCACAGTTTGACCGTCTACTTGTGAAGCTGGTAGTTCACACCCTCGCTGGATGCTTTTTTGTTTTCTTCGCTCGGGTCCTTTTGGGGATTCGAAACCAATGATTGGACAGTGGTTCTCTTGGCTTGGATGGAGTTTTCTTCCGTCTTGCCGTGCAGGGTCTGGACTGTATTTCTAGATGTTTCTGTTGGTCGAAGATCAGACACTCGAAAGGATACTATACACTGTGGTCATCTTGTCCTTCTGATGGGTTCGTATAGGCCTATATTTGGAAACGCAGATCGGTAGATGGCTAGGACAACCTTCCTAAGGTGATTGGGTCATGTGTCCGACATAGGGAGCGGAAATCATTAACACCTGGTATTGATCAGTAGTTAGTTAAGACCGTAATCTCACACATTAAACAGAGGTATCGGTGATAAGAAAGGAAAAACGTTGTTTATGCTGTTGAAGCACATAGATGAAGTGATCCAACCGGTCAATGTGATTTTCACAACAACACCGTGAAATGTGCAATAGCAACGCTTCTCGTGCATAAAGTGATCGCCAAATCGATCGCGGCACTTAGGCAACATCCAATAATCCTAGCAGCTGATCGGCATCAGGTCCACGTGCAGCGCTTCACTGATACTATTTGGTACTCAACATCCTTGCATCGAGCTTACTGCGCACGGGTGCTGGAGACACTTGTGCCTGGTCTATTTATGCAGCACGCCAGGTCTCCCTTTCTACCCCTTTTGTGACTGTTGCCGCTTATGGATCGCTGAACAGATTTTCTTTGAACTGTCTAAAATGGGACCCGGCTGCGGACGAAGGAGTTGCTGAAAGGACCAACAAATCGAAAATGTTTCATCGAGACACAAGTCTGGAATACATCATTGTCGACTTGGATCCCGAGACTGCAATTACACCAACGCATTATTTCTGTCATCCGCCCCAACGCCTGTGTATCCATTTCCCGGTTTTCATTGAGCCTAAGACTGCACCAACTTGTCCTTAACCTCTTCTCTGTAGCATGCTGAATTATGGTCAGCATCAAATGTGTTGACAAATCCCTTGCACTGGGAAAAGGCGATCATAGCGGTGGTGAGTTGCTTAAGGTGTAGTATTTCACCGTTTCTCTTTCCCGTCATCAGAAAGCCCAGCCTAGTAGCCGGGGGCAGGATTGAGGCTTGGTTCACTTCCAGATTCTTAGCTCGAAAAGAAAGAACATAGTTTTCAGAATTGGCGGCGAAACGAAGGTGTTAAAAGGGAGTGGTGTGTGAATCGAACATCATTAGTGTGCGCGGTACCGTCAACCGCGAGAAGTAAGCGTAACCGCAAATTGCGCAAGACGCCACTCAGTTGTGTGATAGTTTCTCCCTTCGTGTCAATTTTTAGTTATCCCATGCATGTTGAACAATTAGGTAGTGAGATCGATGTCGAGATCAGGCCCACGATTCCCAGGGTACTTCCAAGATGAGCCTGCGATCTCAGATGAAGTTGGAAATAGAATGTAGACCGAGTCTTACTAGGCTAGATTCTTCGAAGTGTCAGCAAAGATTGAACGGAAGGAACCAAATTTAAGACCCACTTACAAGGTTTCCGCTGTTGTTGCCTACTAGGCTATGAGCGTTAGCAAAAGATTTGAACAAAATATCTAAAGCATTAAACGAGCATAGCTCTTAATACTGCTACAACAGGGCGTTCGAAGTAAGCACAACTCGCGACAGAAACGATACTGAGCACGCAAATAACACCGCACTTAACCAATTCTGTCACAGATCATAGGGCAAAATTGCCAGGGCTTGGATGTGACCGTATCACAAGCGCAAGTGCCAGGTGCCAAGTGCCACGAACCGGTTCAGAAGTGACTTTTTGGTAGAGGCGTCGAGTTTTCTCGAGCTTTTGGGATTCTTAAATCACACATCTCGCAGTCAAGAGTAAGGATCTGTCAGCTGGTGGTCCTCGCCATTGGCACTGGTCCGTCGGTAAGTTCTTTGCAGTTGATCACACCTCCCAGGTGCAACAAGAAGGATCAGCAAGATAAGGAGAGATGATTGTGAAAGTAAATTTTCTATCCGCTCATCGGATTTAATCTTCATCCAAGAGCTGGCTACCTTTTCGGTTAGCGTAAGTTTCTGAACTAGATCTCGTCCTGCCGCGGCTAGGATTAGCATGCAGGCAAGGCCACGAGCAAAGCACCGTCGGAGGGAGCATGCAGACTCTGGCAATTGTAAGAGCCGCTCGATTCGCTGTGGCAAAGAAAAGTTCTAAAACGACACCACCAAGACAAAGTAGATACTGGATTTATTCAGTCTGAACCGGGTAAACCGAAGCGCGGGGTGACGTAGCAAGCTCGAGAACTGCCCAAGGAGGCATTCCGGGAGAGTTGGTTGACTCTCCTAGCCGCTGGCGACTGATCATAGGATAGATGAGACGTAGATAGTGCCTCAGGGATTCAGGATGGGGATCGGTTTTGATGGGACGCCATGGTAATGAGCAAGTCAGAGAACTCCAAATTCAAGCGTCGTCCTGCCGCAGCCGTCAAGTGTGTGGCGGTGAGTGACAGAATAATCAGCCGACCAGGGCTTAGGGTCTCGGGGTTGTCCTACCACCCTATCGGATTTATAGCACATCTCGAACAGAAGTGAGACTTTGAATACATTGAGCTTGACAGCGGTTTGGACATCAGCTGCACCAGGGTTGTGGCACCCAGTGGATAGAAGCTATGTTGATTTCGGAGTCCTCTATCTTAAAAGTTAGACAAGTGATGTAAAGATCATCATTGCTAGCGACGTCGGACTTTGGGATAGATCTTAAGCAGACACGGAGAAGGAAACAAAAGACGTGATACCTATCCTACCTTCCCGCCGCCTTCAACAACACTGAGATGTGGAGATGGGCGAATCAGCAAACCAACACATCTAGTGTTTTATATCCTTCTAACAATTTTTGTATGTATATAGTGCAGTGAGATTTATAGCCACTTCAACAACCTATATATCATGATATCATGAACTGTTAAGAGCGCAAAACATGTCATTCCCTCGTGAAAATTGAATCAAAGTCATCAAAGCGTAGCGTGTATCTACAAATGTCAAAAAAAAACATGCACACCTTATATGTACATAAGCTTGGTGAAAGCAGAAACCAAAAGAAATACAAGACATTCCACGCACAGAAGCGCAACACGCCGAAAGCGATAGCAGGAATTAGAGCATCGGCGTTCCCTTCATGCACGTTTCCAGTCGCATCACATCCGATTTAACATGGGAGCATTAGGAACAACGGGCTGGGTCACTCCCAAACGAGCTCCATCTCCAGGCGTAGATTCAGTAGCCGGCACACTGATACCCAGATGGCGAGCCGAGCGACTACTACGACTGCGTGAGACACCCCCGTGGGAGATAGTGCTCCCTGGAGTGCCAGTACCGGAAATCGATTTCCCACCGCGTCTAACCATCTTGCCCAGCACGCTGACAATCTCTGCGGCGTCTTTGAAGCTCTCGTCGTCCATGCCTTCTTGGGAGTTGTAGACGTCTGCGATGGTCTGTTTTGCGAGATGAAAACAGGCGATGGGGTCTTGAAGGCAGTCGTATAGATAAGCTGCGTATTCGAGCTTTACGGAAAGGCGGAGAGGGTGTGAGCCTGGTAAGAGTTTGTCGGAGAGGCTTGCTGCGTGGTTGAAGCACGCCGTTGCTGTGGCTGTATAATCTAATGGAGGGAGGAGGAAGGAAGGGATGGGCTGCGGTAGCTGCGGCAGCTGCACTGGCTGCATGACTGGTAGGCCTGGGGGTCGGGATAGTGGCGGGGATGCCATATTCATCTTGGACTTGTAAGTGTCTGAGATACCAAGAGCGGCTAGGGCGTCGGCGTCGTATATAGAGTCATGTTTGAGGCGGGTTGGTACATCAGTTTCGGGGATGAAGATTGGGCGATTGTGGAATAGGACGAAGATGTGGTAAAAGGAAGCGCGAAGTTTGTAGGCTAGGACTTTTAGCTCCACAAACCTGTCTACCTTTGGAAGGATGTAGCCCTCCAGTAGTAATAGGCCTTCGCGAGAGAGCCAGATGATGTGATGGTACAGTTGGAGAGATCTTGTTTCACGGGTTGTGTCGAGGCGCCGCAGTTTGCGGGCTCTAAGAAGCCTTTTTGACAGCATGACAGAGACGCCAAGAACTTTGTAGAGCATCGTCGAGAGCAGGGGGTTTTCGAGACCCATGACGGCCGCGAAATTGCCCAGGGCTTTCTGGTCCACTTCGGAGGAGGCCATCCATAAATCCCACGACCCAGGAATTGGGGAATCTGGGCAGATAGGGTCAGCCATATTGGTCTTTGGTCCCAAGCAATAGGCGGGAAAGTTCGGAGGAGGCCGATGATTGACCAAAAGAAAACTGTTGCGAAGCTAGGGACACCTCAACAATGAATGGAATAGACGAAGGCAGATTGAACATACCAAAAAGCGCGCAAATATAATTTCAAATAACGGTCAAACGGAGTGACTGAATCACGCTCCAATCACGCGCGATCTCTCAAGCTGCGGATCTATCGACCTGCGAAATCCAGAGCTTGGCGTACAAAAAGCTCAGACTGTAGCAACACGCCGAAATGGAAAAGTCGAAATCCACGGAATATCCGAAACCCAGAGCAGCAAGTTTAGCGCAATCTGCAAGGTGCAGCCAGACCCGAGGCGGCGATGGTTCAGACTGCGGAGTAAATTACAGCCTATGGCTTTTGTTCCTGGCGCGGGTATCAAATGCAATTCCGACAACCAAGTATATGATGATCGAAGTGTAGACAAAATGCGGAACAATGCCGTCCGACCAATCGAATCAAGAGTGCCAATATTGCCTGTTTCGGTCTAGCGACGGCTGAGTTTCGACTGCCGTTTTCACGCTGTATCGTGGCTGGAAATTCAGCTAACAACGCAAGGAGCAGACAATGAAGTAACGGAGCTCGTGGCTGGATTGCAAGTGAGCTTGACGCATCGTGTGGCCGGCAAAGTAGGGGGTAGAGTGCGAAATGCGTCGATTTCTGGTGTCAGCCAAGTAAGTCTGTGCGGAGAAGGAATTGGGAACTGAGGTGTGTCTCGGGTGTGAAGCTGCTAGCCTGGGGCTCGAGCTAGGAACGTTAGGCCAGAGCTGTTATCTATAATGTTAAGGTGCTTTTATATAGTCGAAGCCCATGGATTTGGGGAGAATTCGAAAATGGACAGATTTTGCCAGAAATGCAAAGTCATGCGACCTGCGTGGAGGTTTCCCTGATCCGACGAAGAGATCGGGTTGGAGGACATGCGTATGGATGGAGTACTGTCTAGTAATTGTTACTAGCCTGTCTTGCAGTCCCACAATAATCAACAGAACTGCATGAAGCACAAAATTGGCCACAGAAGTGTTTGGATTGGGGGTAATGGTCTCTTTGTTCGTCGCCTCAGGCTTATACAATCTTGATCCTCAGAGGCAACCCATAGCAAAATCGATTGAAAGCCGTGCTATTCTGCTAGTCGGAGTTTCGCGTGCGATGTCAACTTCATTCGGTCAACTTGGCTATGACGGGCTTGCTACGTGGCAGCGGCTCAAGGCAAAACAGAACCGGGACAGCATCGCAAATTTGCAGGGAATTTTCTTTCGGGATCATCCCCAGCTAGGGTGCCCGGGCCAGACTCTGTAGCTGGGCATCTAAAACTTGCCAGCACGGACTGCCACGCTGGCAGTGGCTGTGATGGCTGTCTGGTGGTTGCGATGGAAATTCACCTCTGTAATGGAAGTGAGAGATTTGTTTAGTCCATTGCGCAGCTTCCACGGATGTATCTTAGACATCGAAGACGAGTGATACATCAATGGTGTACTGCACTTGTGTACTGCAATTCTGTACTGCAATTCTGTACTGCAATTCTGTACTGCAATTCTGTACTGCAAATCTGTACTGCGATTGTGTACGGAGCAGTTGACGTTGTGTTCCCGAAGTTACAGTATTCCAGCTGTTTTACACCGGTGCCCTTGCTGATCACCCAATCAGACAATTCCATGGTATCATATACGGGTAGACGAATGCGAAACTTGGTAATTTGGTTTTTTTCTTTTTTGATGGTAATTTCAACTCCATTCTTGTGAACTCGGGTTCCATAAACAAGAGCTATCGTCTAGAATGACACCATGGGATAGCAGTCTCCACTGTATAAGCCTGATAGGCAAGCTATGTATTGGGCATGCAAAATTATCCAAAAATTAAAGAAGAAAGGCAAAATTGCCCTATTCGTTTAGGTCATCAACTGGGAATCCCACAAATGCGCGCCTCAAAAAAGTCCGCCAAACGTTGTTCACTGGCTTCTTTCTCCTAGCAGCGGCATCAACATCTTGACTACTGATGTCATCAAGGTGCTTGTCGTCGACTCCTTCATCGCCAATTCTGGCTGCAAGTTGGAAGAAGCTGCGTACTGTGAGGTCTTTCATTTGATACACGTCATCATTTGTGGTGTACTCGACCTCGTAGTCGATACGAGGATCATCGCCTCGTTCACCTGCCGCGATATTTTCATGAAGTTTAGTTAGATTGGAGTAGTATTGAGTGTAGCCAAGCAATGTGAAGGGCTGATTCGAATATGCAGGGCCAGGAGGAGCGGTTGACGAGGGGGGCTCGGGGGCTTTGAACTTGGGTGTCTTCTTCTTGTCCTTGCCTTTCTTTTTCTTCGTTTGAGTCTCAGGGGACATCAGAGAATCGTCGCCGGATTCCAGCGTATCAATCGCGGCATTCTCGACTCCGGATTTTGTGTCGTCAACTTCGTATGTGAGGAAATCCACATCATACGTGACACCGTCCAATCCCGTGACATTGTAGTCGATCACGCGTAGGCTGGGGAAAAAGTTGGGGACCAAACTGGGAGCAACTAACGATACGCTGTATCGTTCTGCCCAGGGGCCTCCAATCTTGTCCAAGAATTTCTGCTTCTTCTTGTCCTTCTTTTTTCCCCTCTTGTAATTCTTCGCCAGCTCAACTCCCGAGAAGTCTCCTGAGTTCAACGTGGAGTCAAGCTCCTCAAAAATGCCGGACGGAGGAGATGGCAATGAGGACCATTGGTTTCGGAGCGACTGGAGGTAATTGGTTTTTGAGCTGGTTGACACCATCCTATCAACCTTTGAATCAATGTTGACCTTGTTGCTATCCTGGAGCATGAAGTGGTCAATGTTCATATGACCGTAAAAGCTGCCGACAACGATGTCACGGTACTGGTGCATCCAAAGCGTATATTTTTGCCAACAGGTCTCATCCCAGTTCTTTTTCTCACTTGATCGGGCCGGGGGCACATGACCCATGAGAATAGCTTTCATGTTGCGACTGCGCAGAATTTTCAACTGCACCCGCAGCCACTCCATGTGCTCGTATCCAGGTTCCGACTTGGCGTTGCATCCATCCACCGCGCTATTGGAATCGAAGAAGTACATGGTGTTTAGGCTGATGACCGCTAGCCGACCGGGAACCACCTCCGTGGTGAACCAACCGCCCTCAACGAAGGTATGACGCTGATCTTCTGGAATGAACTGGTTCCAGATCTCCGCAAAGCGCTTCGTCCACTTGTTCGGTCCCTCCGTGAAGATGTTGTGGGGCATGATATCGTTGTTACCGAATGTCGGGATCACAGGGATCAACATCTTGGGCACGGTATTCGAGGCCTCACGATCTTCCTCCTCGCCAAAAATGCTAATCCATTTTTGAGATAGGAACGCATTCAACTCCATAATCTCATCTGCCGTGCGAGGGAGCTTTTCGTCATTGTCGTGTCGGACAGAATCACCGGTCCAAATCACAAAATCAATCTCATCCTTCAAATTTTCTTCAATCCAGCGAAAGGTCTCGTTCACAAGGGCAAGGGGTGCATCGCAGTCTGTGCCCTCAGCTCCAAAATACCCTGCGGGGCCGTTCCCACGGTGGCACGAGCGATCGATCGAGGTTCCGGGCTTGTAGAGGCGGTCGGGATGAAAATCTGTTGGTCAGCATGGGGTTACACCACAAAAAGCATCAAAGTGGAGAACTGTGCCCTCACCAGTTATATGCAGGAATCGTCCGCGTACAGGTTTGCGCAAACCCTCCGCCAGCTGCCCAGGCAGCTCTGTTGAACTGGTGTGGCCCAACGGCTGTTGCCCCAAGGAACTGGCGGAGATGGCGTCGGCAAAGAGGCCCAGCAGCAAGACGATTGACTGCATAAGTCCTCTAAACCAACTGGTACACCAAGAGAGGAAAGTGGGTGAAGGCAACGCAATATGTTGGGCAAAGATCTTATCTGCGCGGTCACGTCACAAGGCGGGTACGGCAGCCGAACAACTCAAACGCACAACCAATCAGAGGCGGGTGTTCAGTTTTAGAAGAACTGCCCCGGTGGGAAAAGGGAGGACTGTGTAAATTTTCTACTCTCTACGAAGTGCCTTTGGTCATAAAATCCACACACTAAGTAGAGATGGGCTGCTATCCTTAGATCGACATGCTCACGCGACAGCCAATGACTCTATCACGTGTTCCTGTGGGGACCTTGGAGGCGGAGGTAGAAACTCAACTTTAAAAAGGAAACTTGAGAACGTCGATCCTCGAGACAAGTTGGACTATTTGTTGCCCGATCGTACGACGAATTTTTCACATAGTTACTCCCATCTCCTGCGATACTTCCAGTTTGACATATAGCCAGATATCAACTAAAGCACTATCAAGAAATAGGTTCCAAAAAGACATTAAGAAATGCTTCTTGCGAGACTCTAGAATGAATATCCAACAAGGATATCAACATGCTTCCACGTTGTCTTACCAATATAGTCCCTTGTGTGATCAACAGCTAGAAAAAACTATGTTTTTGAAGTCCTACGTCTTCAAGGACAAAGGTCCTACATGCAGCTTAATGCTCTTCTGTCTGTGATCGAACCCTACATGTACATGGAAATATCACGAAAACCAAGAATGGGTGCCGCATTTGCCTATACAGATATAAACGATCAGGTCAAAGAATAAGTTTGGATGGTCTACCTCCCTCTGTTGTCCCAAGTCCTAGTCGCAAAAGCATTTAGCAGAATTCCCGAGGTGTGGGGCTCCCAAAGTTTTCTTCATCGTACATGAGCTTGCTGTCAATCCAGAAAGTTCCAGCGGGTTTGGCTGGCCTGCTAGGCTTCAATTGATAGCAATGGCTTCGCTAAACCCACATTCAAACCCTGGCCCCTAGACTGTTCTCGTTCACTCTCTGCTGATAAATTTGCTAATCTCATATCTGGAACAGATCACTTTAGCTGTTCTATAAGTAGGTGGGAAGATCTCAAGTGGATGTTTTCAGCTTACCGTGAAACTGAACTGCGCCGCTGTCGATACTGAAAGTTAGTTATAGATCCCATAAGAAGGTTTGTTATTACCTTTTTGATTAAAAAAGGTAGAAAGCTCTTGTTGCTGTGAAATCATGGATACAGCTTCGTAGAGACTGTAAGTTGGATAATGGCTACCGCAGTTAGGAAGGAATATCAGCAAGATGGGAGTCACTCAGTATAAGGTATGCTTCTTGATAGCTCACGATGGCAATAGCGGGTTCACAGTATTGAGCACCTGCTCTTAAGCGACCAAACGATTGATAATTCAGTGACTTTATCACACAAGGGACTTTAAGCCAGAAATACCAGCCTCTAGTTAGCCGAGGATGTGAGCCGATCCTTATCTCCGGTTAGTGTCATTCACGACTCACATTCAATTGATGAGAGATGTACCTGAAGCTTATCAAACCAGAAGGAAAGGCATGGTGGATGGGGATTATTTTAGAAAGTTTTGAAAGTGAGAAGAACCGGAAAGATGAAGATCATTGAAGAACTAATAGAAGGAAGAGATGGCAGTAGGAAAAAGAAAGAATGGAGGAGGGTAGGAGTCGTGTATATCTCCATTTCAATAATCCGACGGTCGTTGGTAGGCTCCCTGACGAAGAGTCAAGGAGGGACTCTTCTACCACCTTGCTCGTCGGTCTATAATTGATAAATTGATAAATGTGCTCTTTACAGAGACCGTGTGCTTCAAAATTCTCAACTCACCTGTCAAGGATCTAGATCCAGTCTGGCATTGTTAGACCATGTCACTCGTTTGCATGGAAAATTGACATGTATGAAAGCCCAGAAAGATCTGAATTCAAAGAAATTTCTTTAAGTATATCCAGCCTTTGCAAGACCAATCTCCAAAACTAGCATGGCGTTGTTGATGATGAACATAGATGAGCAGATGTAATATACGCGGGGAAACCAAAAGGAGCGAGGAAGAAATTACAAAGATCGAGAATGCTTGCAGCCATGAAGCTTTCTATATGATTTCAGAGATCACGAAAAGACCACTAAGTACGACAAATAGAAAGTCAACAACGGATACAGGAACAAGGGCACAAAGAACAAACTACCGAGAGAGCATATGGAACAACTGTCAGCAGAGCACAAGCTGCCCCCAAGACTGTAAAATTAAAATAATACGCTGAGCAACTCCTAAATGGGATTCTTTGAAGCATTGGTTTTCCCATTTCATGGTTCCAAGACACCAGATGGAGTTTTTCAATCGTCCATAGCCCTGTGGCTGGCGAATTCGATGCTTCACAGCTAGATCGATTTATTTAACAACACAGACGACCCCCCCCCCCTCCCCCCTTTGGACCCTCCCTTGACAACAAAACCCCGTTTCTCAACCAAGTTGCAGGATACATTATCAGGCGATTGTCGATTTTTAAAAGGTTCTTAGCCGGATCAAGTCAAACCCCTGTTATCGTTAAAATACATGCAACCCAGAGCAAGCGTGGATTGTAACCTATCAGCGTCCGAGTGCATACCCGACCCCAGGACTCCAGGATATCCCCCCACGGGATGTTCTTCTGTTCAACAGGGTTTACCACAACGTCTTTTAATGTGCGTTTAAAGACTTGTGAGTTGAGTTTCGGAAAAAAACGGCAAACGGTCTACAAATTCCCCAGCCTCCTTGTGGGACTCACCCCCTTTTTAACAATTCCAGTCATCGCCACTGCCCCAAAATCACGGGTGACTCACGAGAAATGACACGCTGGTCCTCCGTAGGGAGGTCTGGGTGGCTGAACTGACTTGAAGCCCTTGATGGTCCATCTCCGTGGCCTTCTCCGTTCCCGAAATGTTGCGTCCAGAGTATCAGAGTTCGGCCCGGAGCTGTGAAATCAAGGCTTCTCGTCTTTGGTTGAACCTCCAGTATAGTGGCGCTGTACCCAGCGAATTGCGATCCATCTAATGGCTGTATTTGTGTTTACGCACACCCAACGCAACGCACGGCCAGTCCTTTTGGAGCCAGTAAGAATTCCAATGAGCGTTTGATGGAAGACTCGGGTCCAAATATTTGACGAGCCCAAGTATCGAGGGAATGGCAGAGTTTTGCACCAGAATCAAAAGGCATAAGCAAAAGCAACAGCTCCCAAACAAATCGAGCTGACCATAAACAGTTTAGTGGATTGTGGGGGAAGCACCCCAGAGTCCGTGAGGGATCCAGCACGGAGACGCCTCCGCGCCGACTGTAGCTCCGTGTAAACCTTTTGAATTTGCACCCTGCAAAATAATGGAATTGAATGTGGAGGTACGGAAGGCATTTCTCGAAAGGTAATGTATGGAACACGCGATCTTTGTAGAAGTTATCAGGTTGCATCAATAGACAACCCCTAAGATGATTGGACACGTCGCCACTCACACTGCAAGGCGTATTCAGATCAAGCAATCATGTGATGGGCATGTGAAAATGCACATATCGCTGGTCTAGAACCGTTGCTGTAGTTCTGGTCTTGAATTCGACTCTAAGACTAACTAGGTACATTCGAGAAGAGGCTAGCCTCAACTGCTTTTATCGTTTCGCAAGATTCGCTGGCCTCGCTAAGCGGGATACAGGGCCGATCACCCTCTGTGGCGGGGGAGAATGAGATGGTTGGGGAATGTCCAATTCCAGTCAGGACGCGGAGGCATTTGAAAAAAAAGCCACCAACTAAAGGTGTCGATTACTGGCGAGAACAGGTGGCCCCGGGGTCACAAGGTCTGGGGAACTGGGGACTACCCACCCAATCGTTTCCAACGAAGATGATAGTCGCTTTCGTACTTGTTCAGTAGCCCCTGACCATATAAGAACCACATGCTGCTTCGCTGGTCATGAAACTCACCATTAATCACGCCAGTCTCAGTGATCACCCACTGGATCAACGATCAAGATCCTCGATTCCAATCCTCGCACCATATGATTTCTGACAACAAAAAGGCAGTGGAGGAGTTGTACGGTATCACATCCTCTGTTGAGGACCGTTCTCGAGTTGTCAGCGGGTATGGTGAGACTATCAATCATCACGGGGCAAAAACCAAGGAGGTCCAAAATGTTAGCGAATTTCCACAGGTTTAAGCGTGCAGAAGCGATGGTCTAACCTAGACCTCGGGAATCACATAGGCCGATCTTTTCGCTGCGATTGAGGAGACCAAGATCAAACGATGGAGCAAGGAGTCCCTGCACTTGTACTGTAAGTTACGATCGTTCGACTGAGGCAGCAAAAAGTTGCCCCAACACTGACAATTTGGTGTGACTATTGCAGTCTGTATTTTTATCGCATTCTGCTGTGCCTGTGCCAACGGTTATGACGGTGCGTATTTCATCAAGCTCAGAACAAGGTAGATGGACTAATCAAGCATAGGTTCTCTGATGGGATCGATTCTGGCGATGGACCATTATCAAAATGTCTTCAAGACCGGAATGGATGGCTCCAAGGTCTCCGTTGTTACTTCGCTCTATACAGTGTAAGATTTTCCTCCGCTGTGTATAGACAATGGCAGCTAATCTGAATCGTGCCCAGTGGCTCCATTGTCTGTACTCCTGTCAGCGCTATCATTTCCGACAGGCTTGGTCGTCGCAAGTGCATGTTTATTGGCGGATGGGTGATTATTATCGGATCTGTCATTATCACCAGTGCCATGACACTAGCGCAATTTGTTGTCGGTCGATTTGTACTTGGTCTCGGCATTCAAATCATGGTCGTCTCCGCTCCGGCCTATGCTGTTGAGATTGCCCCGCCTCACTGGCGCGGTCGTGCCGTGGGTGAGCTTACAAAGGAGAGATCAGGCCATCTATGAGTTCTAATGCGAGAACAGGTTTCTATAACTGCGGGTGGTTCGGTGGCTCCATTCCTGCCGCCGCTATCACATACGGTACCAACTTCATCGATAACAACTACCAGTGGCGCATTCCCTTCATCTGCCAGTGCTTAGCCTGCGTGATGGTCATCCTCTCTGTTTGGTTCATCCCCGAGTCACCTCGCTGGCTCATCGCCAACGGCCGAAATGAAGAGGCAGAGGCGTTCCTGGTCAAGTATCACGGCAATGGTGACCCCAACGCTCGATTGGTCCGTCTTGAGATTGAGGAAATGAAGGAAGGTATCCGAATCGACGGTATTGACAAGAGATGGTGGGATTGTAAGTTTTGCAATGCTGGTTTCATCAAGACCAGTTGTCGCCATCGCAACTGACCCCCGTTTCCAACCCGTTAGATCGACCGTTCATCATGACCAAGAGTGGGCGCTGGCGTTTCGCACAGGTTATCATGATTTCCGTTTTCGGACAATGGTCTGGAAATGGACTTGGTTACTTCAACGCCACAATCTTCAAGGCTATTGGATACGAGGCCAGCTCGACCCAGTTGTTGCTCAACCTTGTCAACTCTATTGTCTCGGCTGTGGGTGCCTTAACGGCCGTATACTTCACCGACAGGATGCGCCGTCGTCCCGTTCTCATTTTCGGTACTCTTGGTGCGTCTCAGCTGTGACCTCGGATTGAAGCCGGACCAGCCCAGCTAACCAACAGACAGCATGCGCTATCGCCCTGGGTATTAATGCCGGTCTCTTGCAGGAAGTCGCCAATACTGGTGTTATCGGCAAGAACAAGGGCAAGGCTGCTCTTGCGTTCTACTACCTTTTCAACGTGGTCTTCTCATTTACCTACACTCCCCTCCAGGGCGTCATTCCAGCCGAGGCTCTGGAGACAACCACTCGCGCCAAGGGCTTGGCTTTGTCGGGGTTCATGGTTAGCAGCATCAGTTTCGTCAGCCAGTTTGCGACGCCTATTGGTATCCATAACATTTCTACCAACTACTTCTGGATCTTTGTCGGTTGGGATGTGGTCGAGTCCGTTTTCTGGTACTTCTTCTGGTACGCTACCCTATCGTTCATTCCGTTTCGACCCCTCTCGTGTGTCCCTTTCGAGCTAACTCCGGCCATGATAGTGTCGAATCCCAGGGCCGAACGCTGGAACAGTTGGAGTGGGTCTACCAGCAACCCAACCCCGTCAAGGCTTCCCTGAATGTGGACAAGATTGTTGTTCAGGATGATGGTACCGTAACCGAGAAAATTGAAGCGGATGCTTAATCAACGCTTGTCCCATGAGGTCTATTGGTATACCGCCCTCGTGGGTTGGATTTGCTGCCGTGGAAACGGAACTTCCCTCTCAGGTGGTCTCAGGTTGTCTCAGATTGGTTCAGTTGTCTTACTTATCCACTTTTGGCCTTTGGCAGAGGGGGCGGGGAAAAGCTGTGCGTCAAATGGGAGGTCCATCTGTTTCTCGAGCAATTTCAGACGATACCCAACGAATCTTTATCCAACGTGTGCGCTGAATCTAGCGCCACACCTTTTTAATGTCCAGACCCTGGTGTCCCTCATTCAAGCCCGCAACGTGTCCGAGTATGGGGACTGGCCTTAACTACGGCAGCCACCCGAACGGGCATGGATTCCCCAACGACGCCACACCCTGAGTTCCAAGATCTCTTGGCGAAGAGGGCTACAGATGCTGTTATGGCGAAATATCGGGCTGTGTGGACGTAGTCACAATGACATAGACCATAGGGAGGGGATAGGGACTGAGATCCTATACCAGCCTGCGGCTGTATCAAATTGGAAAAGTGTGATGATCTGGGCAGGAAAACGGAAATCGCTAGCTTCACATCGGGTCAAGGCGAAGTCCTGAGATTTATACACTGGCACTCGAAAAGGCAGCACACCATACACGAACCAGCAGATTGTTTTTTTTTTCTTCGTTACCAGCAAATGTCTCGAGGTATTGACATCGTCCGACTCGTTCAGTCTGACGATTGAGTTCCCCCGCATCGACTACAGTCACCGAGAATTCGGATCAGCTCATTGACGGGTCTCAATCGAAACGGAATCAAGAGGCTGGTTCATGCAAGTTATAGGCAATTTCTCCAAAGCTAACTGGTCTTCGCATCGTTGTCCATTTGAGGCTTAGCTCAGCACCCCCTCCCCTCCCCCTCCCCTCCCCCTCAAGTAGTTCAGCCCGAGTGATTTTGTTGACACCACGTCGAGTTTCTTTTCATCGTAGACCCGAGAATGTTCCATTCGAAAAAAAATGGCGAATTTTCGGAAGTGCTTTCGTTCTGCGTCTTCCACATCCCATACTATAACCTTCCTGCTTTGAAGGAGGATCGAGAGCTTCAAACATCTTCAATGGGAAAGTGTGGGCCATGCAGCCTACCAGATGGATGCTTCGTCATTTAATCTGCTCTAGCTTCACTCCCTTGATATATATAAAAAAAAGGGAGAGTTAGGTCTTACCAATTCTCGGTCCATCGCCCCCGTAACTTCCACTGGGGGCCAATCGCCCCGACGGAAGGACTGCGATCGTCATCTTAACATGGTGAGCGTCGACTCTCAATCTAACTTTACAAGGGGGACCCCAAGTGGTTTCTGATTTCCCAGCTACAAATGCTTTTATACGTTGTCTACTTGGAAACTAGATGTTGCCGGTACCTTGTTATGTTTTCACTTCTCGTGTCGATCCCTTAGATCATCAAGTTCTATACATAGACTTGTGCCGAAGTTTTCGAGTCGATCCTCTCGTGTTCTATATCAATCTCAATATGATGCCCTTCCAAGATATCATCCGCGCTAGAATGATCCTGTATACGGATCATCGCCTTTGGGGTCAACCTCCGGGATCGGGGCGTGGGCACAGAGCTTCCGGTACATGGTGAACTCAACTCGTATGCGCTTCGTCCAGTGCCCGTTGTCCCGCCTCGGACCGATCGCATGAGCGATCGGATGCAAGGTATTGATGCCGTGATGATGACGACGTAAGCTTCGATGTATAGCCAGCGATCGTAGTTGACGGTTGCGGTAGTTGGATCATCGTGGGCGTGGGCGAGGACTCGAGTTTGTACTGCTTTCATGATGGATGCGGCCATTGCACTGGATTGATCATGACTTGCTAAGCTGGGGATCGCTTGCGATAGGGTCCGAATCAGGGACTCACAAAATACCCAATCCGAGGAGAGTGACCAAGCCGATCTTGACCCGTAACTGCAAATTCAAATTCCAGAAGATATAGGTGGAAAACACGGCCAAGTAAAGGTCTGTGGCCGAGTTCAACGCTGTGGAAGTTGATAATTAGTCTCAATCAGACATCGACGAGGGCGATAAATGGAGATTCCGTACAGCCCTGATAATAGCCGTAGTATGCTTGGATGTGGACATCCCAGCATTTTCCCCCATCCTTCGTCCAGATTGCGGACGCATGTCCGGGACATTGGACAAATAGAATGATGATCAACATCACGTTGGTCAGGATTTGTAACAGAACGATAACCCACAGTATCACTCTATGTGATCTTCTAGTGCCAAGCAGCCCACTGATGAAGAGAATGAAGGAAATGCGACCCATCGTACCGCCCGCAATACCGAATGTCTGTGTCAAATAGTCGAACATGATCACTTTGGGAACGACCGTTGTGGTGTTGAGGTCCCAGACATGGCGACCGAACCCATATTGAACACACACGGTGATCAGAGCTGATCCGACTAGAGTCAGGACCTGAATTCCCGGCATCAGGTTAGCGTTGATCTTCAAAATGTTACACGGCGACAGACTAACCAACGCGGACACCATGAGAATATCATCCCAGTCAAATTTCCGAATCCTGATTTTCGCAATCACCCTCAAGGCGACTATGACAATGGCGATGGCCGTAAGCGCCCAAATCTCTCTCAGAAGCCTTGGACCGCGGTCAAACATAGCTGATCGAGATGAAAGTGTCATCTCAGTTGAGAGTGTGGAAGTGCCCAACCCTGAGTACAACAAAGATACAAGATAGACAAGATAGACAAGATAGACAAGATAGACAAGATAGACAAGATAGACAAGATAGACAAGATAGACAAGATAGCATGGCGCCAGAGAAACATGGAGTTCCCGATCTTCCCATTCATTGAAAATGGTCTCATCGGAGTCCACCCGGGCATCGGAACTCCTTACTCCGTACGGAGTACGGAATAGTTCAATTCTAGGGCTGGGTTGTCCGATAAGGTGACGCTAACCCCCGAGACTGAAATCTCCGCTAGCATGCAGGTACATACAGATAAGAGACTTGACCTATCAGATCTTGCAAAGAACCCGGCTTTAAAATAGTAATAAGCCCACGAGAGCAAAAAAGTATTCTTCCATGTGGAAAATATTCATCGAGAAACCGATAACCGGGAGATCGCTTCGGGAGATAGTGGGATATTTTAAGAGAGATATCGTCGGCTAAGGCGTTATACGACAATGGTAAGGTGGGTTTTTCTTCAGTTCGATTTTTCCACTGATAACTCCAACCTATTCGGCTATCATCCCCGAATGTGGATGAGGGGGTGGCCTTTTGGATATCATGTCCGTGTCTCCTGACCCCTTTGATCTCCTGAGTTTGCGCGAAAAGACAGCGTGAGATCTACTCCGTAACAATCCCCATGATAAACGTGGCCAAGTGGGACCTAAGGGCAAGTGGACCTTCCCCAAAACAAGGGCCGCGATCGACTGCTTGGCGGCAACTATCACGAAGAGCCTGCTAGTCAAGGTTAGCGTCGACACCAAGACCTACTAGCTCAATTCCAGTGCCGGCAACGAGAATCAAATTGACGAATCCGGAAACTAGCTCTCCAATTATCTATGATACACAGCATCATACGTGGTTGATTGCTGAGCCTTTCGAAGTGTCCTTGACGAAAAATGTCGTGGCAAGAATGTTCGGTCGGAATATAGTCAACAGTCGTCAGAGAGAACGGGATTTTGTGAGGAATTTGATGCCTGGAATGGGACATGAATCAAGTGGGGATAGTAAAATTCCATCGCTCTGTTCGTTCAGAATAATACACTGGTGTGCCATCGACAACATAACCCAGATTTGGGGAACCACCCTCTTCAAAATCCCCCTTCAAACAGGTCATGTTTAGAGCTCCCAGTCTTCAAAGCCGATCCTACCGCGGTGTTGTCTTTTGAATTCCAAAATCCATCGCCAAAGCCGCCGCTCGGTAACAAATACCTTCTCTGTATCTCGGAGGCCAGCTAATTTTGTTGGGTCGTAGTTGTATCCATAATCTGAAATCATTGTCAGATGATGCGCCAAAGATCGCTCGAAGGTGAAAGGTTGTGTGAAAAGATCATTCTCGGAATTTTTGATCTGAGATACCGCCAGGTCATCATGTCTGAGCATTCTGTACTGCTTTCGATAATACGGTTGAACTCTTTGAGAAAAGACATATGACTCGAGCGTGTGTTGCAAAGGGTAGACTGATTCCCACATGGTACGAACGAGGGAAATGTCGTCGGTGGAATCAAAAGCTAGAAACCTGGCAAGACACCAAGCAAATTCGCTGTTTTTGACACACTCAAAAGCTTTGGGGATAGACAAGCCCTCTGATGGACTGTGTGTATTGGGTCCGGCTGCATCTTTAAAGCCATCTCGGAAACCAAGGCAGAACCTCTCGTCTAACCTGTGCCGCGACTGAGGAAACCCAGGGGGCGACAAAAGCAAGGGAATGGGCACGGTGGTAGAAAACGCCCAATCGATGATGCAAGTAACATTATATTGATCATCGACGAATATGTTGCCCATGGTGAGATCTGGGTGGCAGAGTGCAAAGCTGACCGGATTTGTGATACCAGACCATTTGCCCGTATATTCAAAAATCAAACGATTAACAATCTGGGCAGCAATTATGTAGTCAACTCTATTCGCAGCTCCGTCAACCTTCTGTCCAATTGTGACGAATTGATTCCAAAGGTCGCAGGCACTCTCCCACAGATCCTTGTTGGGGTAGTCATTCTTAGCGGGTACCGGTGCCGTAAAGCAATGGTGCGTCAACGGCAGCATTTCGGCGTGCTGGATCAAAGCCACTATGAGACTGAGGAAGAACTCTGTCTCGCTGGAAAAAGGTCCACGAGGAATGCCGGCCAGAGAGTGTCTCTTGTGTTGTAGGTGGCCTTTGGATAGGCATTCTCCAATAAAGAAGAATCCATTTTCTTCAAATAGAGACCCAATTTTGTTAAACCGGACTTGTGCGAGTTTCCATGTAATGTGGCCCAGTTGAGACATCACTTTGTTGATTTCAAGTGAATCTAGACGGTGGGGAATCTCAGTTCCCCCCCACATGGTTTCCAATGTCTTGCCCTGCGCCTTGTTCATCAAAATGTATGGGATCCGGAGAGGATTATTTGGATAGGCACTTCCGAAGATCAGCTCCATGCTACGGGATTTCTTTTGCAACTCGCTTACCAGTAAGAGTAAACATCAGGAACAGGTATGTCTGTGTACGCTCTGAGATATTTGAGCGTAGCAGCTTCGCTTGAAAGAAGTTTCGCGACACTACTATAAGAAAGCTCGGGGTGGTTCTGCACTGGCGAGCGAAGAACCCATTCGAGGCCATCTTCAAATATAACAAACACGGCCCAGTTAAAGCCACCCCGTTGCGGACGTTGATTCAAGTCGCACGTGCACGCGAGATTCTGTCGCATGTCACTCGCGAGTTGACAGAGGGCGGCCACGTCGAACTCATTGTACCTAAAGAGTGGGAATTCTTCTTTTCCCGACATCTGATCCATGACGCTTGGAGCGGGAGGTTGCTTTGTTAGAGACAGTTTGAAAACCACCCGAATAGTGATAAAGCTGTCCTTATGCAAGAGGGGAGTAGCGATAGAGATTAGAATCCCTACCGACAACGTTATTTTCCGGGAGGAAAGAACAGCCCTCAGGGCATCGTTGCCTGAGGAAAAACATCAGATCTATACACGTGACCAGTCTCGGTTGGGAGGAGATGTTCAACTTAAATTCTCCGCCAAACGTTTGTGTGGAGTTGGAGAGTGGAAATCCAGAGTTTTGATTGTTTAGGATGAAAGGTAGACACAGCTCATCCTACATAGGTCGAAGGAGACACTGACACCATTCATTCGATTGTACTGAGACTCGATGCAGATGTAGGTCCCTTCACACGGAACAGGGATCCTTGCAGATGCATCCACTGTATGCACTAAACTCAGGCTGGCCATTCGATTTAGGAGACTGGCGGCCGGTAAGTGATACAAGTATCTTACGTTGCACAGTGCATCAGATAATTATATAAAAATAGGGAGCCAATCTATGCCATAGGGTGCAAATTCCAGTGCTGAAGATTGTCGAATGCCGAGGTACGGATGGTGAAATTTTTGTATCTCCTCAAATGCCGGGTAATCTTGACAGATATACAAAGAGTAGAGTCTAACCATTGAACGCAGAATTTGACGGCATGATCCTTTTTTTTTGGACAACAGATTTTCCGTCAGTATAGTCTTCTCATTTGGCACGCAAATATGGCGTACTTGGCTGAGGGTTCTTTGAAGGTCAGCCTTCCAGGCATCCAAAACTTGATGTCTGTCGGCTTTTCTAGTTGGAGGAATAGAGCGTGGTTGTTGTAGATAAATGCTGTCAAATCGCCGAATTTGGACAATGCGAACTGCTCTTCCGTCTCCGTTTCCAGTTATAAGCCCCCTTTTTGCCCTTGAAAGACTTTCTGGTGAGCCATGGCCGCTATTCTTTTGGTGTGGATAATCAGCTTCACAATTTCCTAGGGCATCATAATCCGTACCAGACTAACAAGCCCTAAGCTTTCCTAGTTCCGTACCTCCCAGTAGCAACGGGGGATTCTTGATAGCTTGGAGCATATTACAGCATTGACATTCCGTTGTTCTCCACTAGTAAAAAACGTAAAATTTGAGAGGAGTCACACTGGCCCAGATGAAACTGGCTGGTTAGTCCACTAGAGATGCACCGATTTTGTATCAACGTTTGAAATTCAATCTTTATACTAAAGAAACAAGACGAACAAAAAACGAAAAAGGGTGTAAAGTACTTGCAATTGCCAGAAAATGACAAGATATCAATAGCTCACGGGATACATTCTCAATCAAAGATTGCACACGGGGAACATATTCACAATTGACTGATTGGGCCTTCAGCCACATCAAGACCCCACACAGCCTTCAGGTCCGGAGTAAGTAAACCCGATTTGTTGAGGATTGTGTCAGAAAGAGCAGGGATGGATTCACTGGTTAGAATCTCCAGAATCTGAAGATTAGCTTCCAACTCGCGTGAAATCCAGTTTCTGATCTCAATGGCAACCAGCGAATCCAGGCCATAAACCGTAATAGGCGCAGCAGGATCAAGATCTTCCATCGGGCGCATAAGAATGCTAGAGATCTTCTTGAGCACGGCAGCTCCAACGACGGCTTCGGCATCTTCGTGAGTCTTCGATTGGCGGATGGCAAGTGCCGGTGGAATCTCGGTGCCGTTCTGTGCAGACTCGGTCAATTCACCCGCGCCAGCGAGAGTGGAGAGGCGCAGCAGGTGCGACAGTTTGGTATCGGTTACCCAGAAAGGCTGTTCACTGGCAGGGGTGGTTTTGACGGCTTCAAACCCAACGACGCAGTGCCCCTCGCACGAAATGTCAAACTCGTTGCGGATTGCTGCAGTCACAAGACCACGAATATCTGTTGCACCGACAGACTCAGTGCCGAGCTGTTTGGAGATTGCCTCGCGCTTCTGGTCGTCGGAGAGATATCCGACTCCGCGTACAATGGGTAGATCGATTGTGGAACAGCGCATCTTGGCTGTCTCGGGGTACTGAGCGAGCGCTGCCATGAAGGTTCCACTGGCTGCGTAGGGGGATTGGCCCATGTTGCCAACAAAACTGGCAGCGGACGAGAGGTTGATGAAGAAGTCTACGCTACCATTAGTGCCTGTCAATGCCCGTTGAATGTTCCAGATTCCATGGACTCTGGGCATCATCACGGTCTGGTAATCCGCGAAAGTAAGCTTTTCAAATAGGGTATCCTGATCGAGGAGTTAGCGGAGGTGCCATTTGATGCTTGGAGTTGAGAAACTTACCCGGAGAACCATAGCGCCGAATACAACACCACGAGCAGGAGGCATGCGGGTGAGGAGAGGAACAAGACTTTGCTCGACGCTTTGCTTATCCGACACATCGCAGCAACAGACTTCCACGTTGATACCCTGGCGAGAAAGGTTCTGAATAGTCTGCTCGGCATTTTCAGTCTTAGCACCACTTCGAGAAACCAGGATTAGATTTTTGGCCCCTCTCTCTGGCAGCCAACTGGCGATGTTGAGACCAATGCCGCCGGTTCCGCCAACGATGATATATGAAGCATCTGCGCGAAGGAGATTTTCGTCTCTTCTAGCAGGATGAACCTACAAACCGAGTAAGTGAAAATCCTCTTCATAAACGATTGTGTTAAGTCCGAGCAATCATACCTTGACTAGAGATTCATCCGTGACCTGGACCACCATTTTGCCAATCAATTGTCCACTTTGCAGCGCGCGGAAACCAACCTCAACATCTGAGATTGTAATAGTGGTGACGGACCACCTTGACTGGGCGTCAGTTTCGACAAATAGCTTGAACACATCACGCAGCAGCCGCTTCGTCAATTTCGGACGCTTCTCTCTAACAAGTCCCAAGTCGACAGATGCGAAGGAGATATTCTTGTTGAAGTGAGCCATCTCCAGCCGAGAGTTAGTAGTAATGTCCCGCTTGCCGAGTTCAATAAAGCGACCAAAGGGTGCTACACACTCGAACGTCGCTTGTAAGGCATCGCCGCTAAGCGAGTTAAGAGCAACATCTACACCCTGGCCAGCAGTGGCGTTCTGGACACCTTGCGCAAATGATAAATCCCGACTGAAGAAAATATGATCTTCCCTCAGTCGGTAGGTTTCTATTAAGAAGGTTTTCTTCTCGAGACTGCCGACGGTTGCGAAAATATTAGCTCCAACGCTCTGGGCAATAATAATTGCGGCTTGACCAACGCCTCCTGCAGCGGCATGGATCAAGACGCTCTCATTTTTAGCCAACCGTCCAAGGTCGATGAGAGAGTAATAGGCAGTACAGAACACCGCTGGAATGGAAGCTGCAGTCTCGAATGGCATATCATCGGGGATTGCCCAGGACCCAGAGGCCGGGCAGCGAGTAAAAGTTGACAACGAACCTGGCGACATTGCACAGACTCGATCTCCAATCTTGAAGTCGGAAACAGCAGCTCCGACTTGGGTCACTACTCCACTACATTCCTGGCCTAGCCTGTCACCTTGAAGCTGGCCCATGGCCATCAGAACGTCTCTGAAATTAAGGCCTGTGCTGCGGACCTGAATCTCAATATGGTCTTCCGGCAAGGGTCCGGTGATTGAAAGGTCGTCTGTGAAGTAAAGCTCGTCGAGACCCCTCCCATCGCCAGCAGCAAGTCGCAAAGCCCGATCTTGTTTGAAAAGCTGCATCTGCGGGGGTGCATCTGGTGTCTCTTGCTGGACACTGAGATTCAATGGGTCGTTGTCAATCAAGCGGGGCACGCAAACATGACCATTTCGGACAACAAACTCCCAGTCGTTCTGGCTCAATTGCGATGTTTGGCAGAAGACTCCGTTGAAGACATTGAGCATGTGCCTCACGGCCTCGGAATCGGGCATTTTCTCCCGTTCTCCCAGATCAAGCGTGACGAATTGGAGGCCAGTCTCTGATCTCACAGTGCGAGCAAGGCCGATTGCCATGTTCGCGCCAAGGGATTCCAGGTCAGATTTGGTATGCCGAACGACCCACAGCAGACCTCTAGCCCGGCTCAGAAGGCGCTGCAGCGTCTGGAACTTTTCTTGCGTGAGATGCGACAGGATCGAGCGATCCATTCCTCCAAGGAAAATACACCATTTCCCGGTGACATCAACCTCATCAGGGTCAATAGCAGTGATCGGGTCAACACCGGTCGTCTTCCGAAGACCATGTTCAAGGCTAAGGGACGATACGCTGCCGAGCGAGTCAATGCCGAGGATCACGATATCCCCGGCGTTTGTGGGACCGTTTATTGGGCCGGTAGCAGTGGAGGTCATAAGACAACCGGATTGGAAAGATTCTCCGGGGTATTCCTCAATACACAGGTCAACTCCAGAGAAACCATTCTCCTTCATCACGTTACTCCATCCTTTGACGGTGAGTAGTGGTCCTTCGTTACGGACTTTATCATTGGCCAGCCACCATCCGGGAAGAAGGGCGAATGGGAAGTGGCGTGCCTTGGAAACCGTTTCCTCGATGAGTAGAATCTTACCACCAGGCTTCAAGAGAGTTCTGATATTTGACATAGTCTGGCTCATATCGGAAGTAGCATGCAGCACGTTGCACGCAATAACAACATCATAAATGCCATCACAAAAGCCTTGGCTCATGGGATCGGCGGACACGTCTAGGGTCTGGTATGTCATGAGATGTCCCCAATTTTCGAACTTTGCCTTAGCTTTCTCAAAGAAGCCGGGGGAGATGTCAGTGTAGGTGTAGTGCCTAAACCGAGGCGTAGACCCCTCTTTTCCGCCACCCAGACTCTGCAGAATGGGCAAGGTGGCACCACCAGTTCCAGCACCGATCTCAAGGATGTTGAGTTCGGGGTTTTGGTGAGCCATCTTATCGACACAGACAGAGGCGTTTGCGTAGGCCTCTCGAAGAGCGTCAAGGTCACGATAGTGTTTGCCAATCCCGTCGTCCTCCAGTAGTACAGTTAAGGCGTCTACCTTGCCCCTGAGAATTTGAGGAAGCAACTCTCCCACTCGGAATGTCAACTCACCTGCCCCATTGACGGTGCTGTTCTGTTCGAGAACTTCAAGGGACACGGAATTTTTGACACGCGCGTTTCGGCAAGTATTCTGGGCCCAGCGATAGAATTTCTGGTGGTGGGGTTGAAAGGTTGACACCTCCTCTTCTGTCACACACTTCACCATCTGTGCGAGGTAGTGCTCTGCCACAGATTCGAGCTGGTCCATTCGTTCAAGGCCTTGCGCCGTGTCAGTTTCGGGGCGAGGAAGCTCTCGATAATCTTCGGCAGAGAGGAACTCGAAGCATGGCTCGTACTGAATCTTGTAGCAAATCTGATCAGGTGAAGTGTCCTTTGAGCCTTGATTATCGTTTGATACCGGCACCAAAGTGACACCACTGATATCGATGAGCAAATTCGCTGGGTCGCTTGGGAGAGTGGCGAAAATGCGGTTGGTCTCAGGATTGCTTGCGGATCCATTTCCTGACTTGTGACCATATAGTTGGAGTACAGTACCGGCATTGAGCTCGTGGCACAACGAGACAGATATCTGCTTGACATGCGACGGCACGTGGGTAACTCGTGGCCCAGGCTCCCCGTAACCACAAAGAATCCACATCACTTGCGTGCACAGATCAAGTGTAACAGGGTGCACAAGGCAGGGAGTCTCACACATGTGGGGCATCGCTGCCCTCGTGTCTGGGATGCAGAGGGTAGCCATTGCTTCATTATCCCTACTCACAGCGACATCGGCTAGTCCTTGGAAAAGAGGACCGTAACAGACACCTCCATTAGTGATGTTCTCGTATAGGAACTTGCTGTCCACGGGTACGTTGCATGAGTTTCGCATGTTCAATACTAGGTTCGTGAATCGTGCGGTATGTTCGAGCTCTTGCCTAGACCCATCGACTGGGTTGACATCTTTGGCTTCTTGTACCATAATGAAGCCATTACAGTGCTGATCCCAACCTCGACCTTCTGCCCATGAGAAGACTTTAAACTCGTGCCAGCCAAGTACTGATTTGCTTGGAGCCTCCGTTCGCGATGGTTTCAAGCTGAGCATTGTCTCCACTGATGAGTTGTCGGGGATGGTGAGGACACGGCTAATGAAGATATCACGGAGATTAATCTTTCCAGGAGTAATATTGTGCAGAGAGGCGTGTTGTGAGATAGCCTCCATGGCCATAGCCAAGAATCCGGTCATAGGATACACAGTGCGGTCATGTACTCTGTGCTCACGGATCCAAGGATGGTCTTCTACGCGAATGAGATTCCTCCATCGAGGCTCAAGGTCAATATTCTCCATACACAATGAGCCAATGAGATCACTGCGAGGGAGTTGGCGATGGAAATGGTTATCACCAAGCCGTGAGGTAAACCAGTATCTTTCTGAGTGGTTCCACGGGTATCTAGGTAGATTTGTCAAAACAGCAGGTTTCCTACTCGATGTTCTCAAGTTTGGGAAGTTGATGGCCTGGAAGTCAAGGTTCATACCCTGCGTGAACAGCGAGCCAGCAAGGTTTTGAACAGCCTCGATATCATCAACCTTCCGTTTCAAGGTGTAGAGGTATTGCACATTGGAGTTCGGGGCGTACTTCTGGGCAATTTCTTTGACAGCCGTTTGGAGCGCAGGGTGTGGGCCGATTTCGACCAGTGTGCTGATTGATTTATTTCCCTGGCTATCAGTCACAAGATTTTTAAGACCCTCCACAAACTCCACACGGGAGACCAGATTATCGACCCAATAAGAGGCGTTCAGAGCGCTTCCTGGGACCAATTTTCCATAAACCGTTGAATAGAAAGGAACTTCGGAGTCTCGTGGCGCAATCTTCCCGAGCAGCGATCGATACTCCTTTGAGACAGTCTGCATGTGGTGAGAGTGGTAGGCAACCTCAACCTGCAGTCTGCGTGTGAAGATTCCTTCTTTGTCCAGAGCAGCCTGCAAGTCGCCGATAGCTTCCGCATCTCCAGACAGAGTAACACTTGACTCGCTGTTCACGCAGGCAATAACAGCCCGGTTCCCTCGCATGGCATCCAAAATTTGCTGGATATCGGAGGCGCAGGCTCCGACAGCCAACATGCCTCCGTCAATAAACTTGTTGTTTGCAACCATATTTGCTGCGACACCTCGAGAGTATGCTACACGAACACATTCTTCGAGGTTCAAAATACCTGCAGCATAGGCTGCTGCGATCTCTCCGCTGGAGTGACCGACCACTGCCTTGGGGCGAATACCCCAGGAGGAGAGCAAATCAACTAAAGCTAGCTGTAGTGCTGTACAAGCGGGCTGGCTCATGTAAGCGGCAGAGATGGAGCTTGCGCCGGGATCAGTCAAAAGCAGTTCCTCTGTATGCGAGGTTAGAATCTGGCAATATCGCAGTGCCCAGTGTTGGATTTAAGTCATACCTATAATTGAGAACGCAGCACCGAGCGATTTCAAGCAAGCATCCACGTCTTTCATGGTCTTGTGGAAAACCGGGTAGGTGCTCAGAAGTTCTTTGCCCATACTGTGCCATTGCGCACCTTGTCCAGTAAACACAAAGCCGAGAGTGGGCTCTTTGGTAGAACGAACTGGCACTGCGTTGGTAGCTAGAGAGGCAGTCAACTCCTGCCCAAAGATTGCGGAAGATGCCAATCTCCATGGCAGGAATGTACGTCGCTGTCCTAGTGTATAGGCCATGTTATCCAGAGTGCTGTCGTTGAAAACGACTGGGTAAAGGTCGAGATACGCTGCAATGGATTCTCCAAGCTGAAGAGCTGCTTGTTTATCGTACGCGGAGACAACGTACAACTTGCGCTTGAGAGGGTCATTATTTGCTGCCAGTTCGCCTTCGTGCCGGGGACCACGTTGTAAAATAACATGAGCATTGGTCCCGCCAAAGCCAAAGTTATTCACGCTTGCGTATGGTTTGCCACGGGGCCACGGCATCAGCTTTTTGGGAACCTAGGTGGATGTTTAGCTAGGTTCGTTCATATCAATTCAGTGCTCCATCTCACCTTCATATTCCAACTTTCCATGGGTATTTCATCATTCGACTTTTCGAAATTGCAGTTTGGGGGGACGAAGCCGCGCTCAAGTGCCAGTGCCGTTTTGATCACAGATACAACGCCACTCGTTCCTTCTGTATGACCGACATTGGACTTGACAGATCCTACAAGCAATGGCTGACGTGAAGTCCGCCCTTTTCCAAAAACGGCGTTCAGTGCAGTGGCCTCGAGTGGATCACCAACTTTGGTTCCGGTGCCGTGGGCCTCTACAAAGCCTGTCAAGGACGGGTCTATCCGTGCCTCTTTATAGACTTGACGAATCAATGCCTCCTGTGCTTTGCCATTTGGCATTGCGATACCTCTGGTCCGTCCATCTTGATTGAGGCCACTGTTTATAATTACAGATCGGATGGCGTCTCCAGCAGCCTCGGCGTCCTCGAGGGATTTCAATATAATACATCCAGCACCTTCCCCCCGACCAAAACCAGTGCCCCGGTGATCAAATGAATATGAGCGACCAGTGTCGGAAAGTAGTCTTTGAGGCAGATCAATTAGCTAATGAATTTCATGAGCACTGCAAACCACACTTACCTGGAACGCGTCATCGAGACGAAAGCTTCGGGAATTACGTTCAAGTGGCATCCTCCCACAATTGCCATGGAGCATTCGCCGCTCCGAAGACTCTGAGAAGCGAGATGAAGTGCAGACAAGCTAGAAGAACAAGCTGTGTCGACTGTAACACTAGGACCATTTAAGTCAAAATGATATGAAATGCGATTCGCCTGCAATGCCATAGCTGTTCCAGTGGCAGCATACATGGGGATAGCAGAGATATCTCTGGTATTGTTGATTTCGTAGTCGGGATATGAGCCGCCTGCAAAGACTCCCACCTTTTGGCCCGCAATCTCATGGCTCGGGATACCTGCGTTCTCGAGCGCTTCATACACACACTCAAGGAATATGCGCTGTTGCGGATCCATTGATTGTGCCTCTTGAAGTGTAATATTGAAAAAGGGCGCATCGAACAGCGCGATGTCTTCTTTCAAAAAATGGGCTCCTACCGGGTTGAAAGAGCCTGGTCGATCGGGATCAGGGTGATAGAAGGACTCAGGGTTGAAGCGGCTCTTCGGGATTGGCGACCAGGCACTTCGGCCTCTAGAACAGAGGTCCCAAAACTCTTCAGCCGTCGAAACGTCTCCTGGAAGACGACAGGACATGCCGATGATGGCCATTCGCTTCGGAACATTGCCAGTGGTATTATCGGGGACATCAATCGGCATTTCGTGCAAAGTGACATTTGTGATCCCGGTAACTGGTGTTCCAGTCCCACAGGGTTGTTGAAGGCGCATCTTTGATCAATTCAGTACCTGGTTTCAAGATGTCGAATTATGTACCTGGCGGTATGATCACCACCAACGTCCAGCAAGTGTCCAAAGAAACAAAGATCGATATGCAAGAAAAATCAAACTTATGGAATAGTACAATGATGGAGTGTGCAAAACAGGCAATCAATTCAACCAAGTACTTCCTGAAAGGCGGATGGTAAACAATAAGGGGCGTCAAGATGGTGTGTAGTAGAAGACAGACCACCCTTGCATGATAATCCAAGCGTGTGCGTGCCGATCTCTATCGAGTGGCTTCCCAATTGGATCAGGGGATCCAACCTTGAATCGAGTAACGATAGGTCCAGAGAACTTGGAAAAGCCCATACTTGCTTTCCTTAATGACGAATCGAGAAAATCGTGGTCACATAAATGGGATCATGGATCCTCTCTGCATCAAGTCACCACTTATTTCTCATTTGGGGTTTCCCAATGAGGATCAGTAGATCTGATCTTGCCCTTCTGGGCCATGTCATTGCGCTGGGTGGGATGGTGTTTTGTTCCGATGCCCTTGCTAAGGCGAGGGTGCGTACTTCGTGCATTCCAAACATAGGGGCAAACCCCCCGGGGCCCAGGCAGATTCCCAACGGCATAATTTGTCGGTGCCTCCTCGCGTAGAACAGCGTCTTTATAGAACACCCCGGGTGACATTCCACCTCACGTTTTTCTCCGAAGATATTCCCCAGCTGATAATCGCGATGAAATTTCTATGCCTTCCAGGAGGCTACTGCAGTGCCAAGGTAAGCCGACCCTTTTTGTTGCGTGGAGCAAAATCATTTGGTTGACAACGATTTAGGCTCTCAAAACACAGCTAGGTAAGTTGACAGTTGATGCGATGAATGTTCAAAGAGAACGTTGGAGAACTAATGGTGAGTCCCAGGCCCATTTGCTGATGCCCTCGCGTCCAATGGAAACGCCAGCTTCCACTATACGCAGGGAACGACGGAGGTGCATGTTCCCCCCGAATTTGCTGGGTTCTTCGGTCCGCCGCCCAACTACACTTTTCTCAAAGTCGATGGGCCTGCACTGATTCACACGAACATGAGTGATTTCCCGAAACGCGACACCCCGGAAGAGGCAATGAAAGCCGCCGCAGAGGCGGCAGGTGATCCCACATTCTCGTGCATTATCGAGGTCGTGGACAATCTGGTTGGCATTCTTGATACTGAAGACGACATTGATGGGGTGATTGGATTCTCTGAGGGGGCCCAAATTGCTTCGTCACTTATTCTTGAAGAGCAAAGGAGAGAGAGAGAACTTGGTCGGACACCTCGATTGAAATGCGCGATCTTTTTTGGCGGATGGCCACCATTTCACCCAGTGACTGGAAAGCTTCTTACAGCCGATGACTACAGCAAAGAGCCGATCACTATTCCCACCTGCCATGTTGTTGGTGCATCGGATCCGTTCCTTGATGGATCCATGGCACTATACAACATGTGCGATCCAGACAGAGCTGATCTGTTTGATCATGGTGCGGGCCATTTAATTCCAAGAAAGAAGCAGACTGCCGAGGAGATTGCTCTGGTTGTACGCGAGATGATCAACTGTGTGGCTTGATTTGTATAGCAACGCACCAAAAAAAAACAATCCTCCATGCACATCATGTTCAGCTATATAGATAAATTCTGCATCTCCTCACATTTGAATCTACTCCAACAGTGGTCTTGTCTCCGCTTCTTCTTCCTCCTCCTCTACTTCAGTCTGACACTCTGTCCGCCTCCATTGAGGACAGAGACTAACCAACGATGCAAGCCTCCAATCCCAACCTCGCCACTTAGATGAACCCTGCCCTTCCTCGTCGGGTTGATCATACTCTACCTCCTTCAAACGCCATCGAGTCCAGCGCACAAGCCACACCAATCCAACCCCTAACGCGCCCAACGCTACCGTCCCAAACACAGCACCAAACACCGACAGGACAGTCACGGTACTAGCGTGGCACCCAAATGGGGTAGCTCTCAGTTCCCATCTCTCTTTGGAGCCAAGGGGACAGATGTTCTCCGAGCCAAAAGGCGCAAATATCGGAACACGCGATGGGTTAGGAACACAGGTCGAGGACTACGGGCGTAGCAATCAATAGTCAGCTTCTTCCAGCACGGAGCAGAAGATCATGGACTATTTTGTGCTGATCCAGTCATAGCAAAAAGCAATAATTGGAGGTCCGGCGCAGCTGTGGGCTTGAAATCCCTTTGCCCATTCTGGGGGGCTAGTGACGCAAGGGAGTAGGTTGTGAAATGAATGCGATGGGAAGCTTGCACATATCGAATGCAACTGATCGGGAAGAGAGAGAAGGGGAGAATCCAACTTGACTTCAACGAGAAGCTAGTTATTGATGGATGTGACTTACTATAGCACACCAGCTGCAGTCGACATCACCAATCAGGCAACTTGAACATGAATGACGACCCCAGCAAACATGAAAGAGTGGGTCACTGAGATCAGGCTCGGTCAGGGAGAAGCTGGAGTTTCCCTCGAAGTCGTTCATCACTATCTACTCCGTAAGGAAGAATACCATGCAAGGTGCTCGTGATATCGGATATCGGGGTATCGGGACCTTGTTCCTATCCGCAACAGTCAGACTTTCTCTCCCTTGCATTCAGAGAACAGTAGATGTACTTTGCATCTGCTAGGTTGGGTTATGGAATACTTGACACGGGGAAATTAAAGGATTGTGAGAAATCCCGGTAAATTGTCGAGGGCTTAAATTTTTTCTAATTTTTTTTTGCAGCCCAAACATGCGAAATCAATTGGATTGAAATTCGCGCGGTGTCTCCGCATTTTTTTGGGCTGCGGTACTTTTACCACGGCATCCTTAGGACAACATCTACAACACTAGACAGGTTTACAACTCCCACATGATGGTCATATGGGTCACTGTGGTGGTACAGATTCATGGTATACAACATAGAGAATTGATGATCGCACGACACCGCGGTGTCAAAACGTGATTAATTTATCCTGGCAAATCGCGCTGAAACTTGTCCTGAAATACTAGAATTCACAATTTGCCGCTTCTCGGTGAATTAAACTGTGAAAAGGAGACGTTGTGGATCAAGGATAAGTGGTTCATGTGGTTTAAACCACACGCTTGACCTGTTCATCGAGCGTTAGTATTTTCATCTTCCGGGGGGTGTCCATTAAAGCAGCCCACATACCTCGAAGAATCTCTTCAGCCACCACACCTGGAACACACCCTCGCCAATAACTACCACAAGCTGGAACATACTCCACCATTTCACGCGGCCATTGGTGCTCTCTGCGGTATTGCGGTGTACTCGCTCGCGCATGACAATGTACGACTGTTCATCCTTTACCTGCGCCAAAGCCTCACTAAGTCTGCGAACTAGAGAGCACCAGAAAATTAGCCTCCATGTTTATCTCCGTCGATTTGTTGCGCTTACCTTCGAATTCGAGGGGATCCTGTGCCATCTCGTGTTCGGGCACGTAGACAATTCCATGCACATTGAAGGAGACCTCCTTGGAATTGGAGGTCCAGCCCTCATTACTGAAGCAGTAGTTGTATTTTCCGTCCGCCTGTGCGGTGAAGGAGTAATCGTCAGAGGCAACGGCCTGCTTGAAGTACTGGCGGTTTCTCAGGGGATCCTCAACCTGGGGCGACCGAGCATTAGCATTTACGTTCTGCAGTTGGACTGTCCCTCTTTCCCGGTGTAGCAGCTGGACTAATGCGAGAGGATGTCGACCTCTCGATTAATAGATCCGATGTTCCATGCCAGTGCCAACCATCGGCGCAGAAGAGGACTCCCGAGCGATACCCCAAAACACCAAATGCCAGGGGCCAGGACCGGGAAACTGCATACCCAGAAATCAACGTCAATATTTCCACTTCCTCCAAACTCCCGATCTCCGACTTGGAAGGTGACGGTCATGACATCGTCGCGGTGCAGTGACTCGTGGAAGCATTCTCGTGAGTGAGCCTTGAGCTGGATGGTGTGTGCGGTCGCAGCGGTTATCCACCCCAGCGCGGTGACCAGGATGGTGCTTGTTGAGAATCGCATTGTAGAAGGGTTGGGCTTGACTCCGGTGAGTCTAGGATAATTGACAAGTTGAGTGGTGGTGATGATGTTGGTGTCAATCGTCAACGCGCAAGGTGTCAATTGGCGGCGCTTGGGCCACTTTCAACAACACGGCTCCGCCTTGAGACTCGGTCTTGGCTCAGTATACTCCGTAATAGGGAGAGAGGTTAAATGAAGACTTTGTGAAAAAAGATTGCTGATCTCTCTGGTATTTTCTTGTTGGATCCATATAGTCCCCTATGAAATTGACAGTGACTTGAATTACCAATGAACATTTAGCAAATTGCATCGCATGATATATCGTTTTCCTGTGCATCGACCAAAGTCCCACAGCCATAAACATGCTGAAGTGGCAACGAGAATATTCTATCCGACCAATTGCAGCACCAAGGAAGAAAATCCCATACGACATATCCAATGACCAACCGGTTACCCACAGAAGAAGACAGGAAGTTCGAGCTTGGCCAAACTCAACTTTGTCAGGAAGCCATCGACCTCGCTAGATGAGATGCTCGATATTTGCAACACAGGGAAGGTTGGCACTTAAAAGATAATTGAAGTCAAGTAGGAAAGTGGTAAGGCGTCAAAAAATTGATTTGGAAATAGTAAACACATGAACAGTAAGTAGTAAGCTACAAGAAACGCAACGAAAGCGTGTATCAACACGCTACATCCAACAAGGACATCACAAAAAAGGGGGGCGTGGATGGATAGTATAGAACAATCAAACAGTAAGGAATGACACAGATTGACTATTAGTATGCATAGAATGGGAAAAAATGTGAAGTAAAATGTTCAATGTACAAGCTCTTGTGGAAGATGGGAGGTAGAAAAGCAAGCGAAATAATGGTGTGGTATCAAATCCGAAAACGCAAACATCATCAACGGCCACAAAGCCGGAAGATAGGTATGTATGCCGAAAGGGGGAGTGTGGATGTAACGAAAGGAGACAAATCTGCGAAAATGTCGCAGGTACCAAACACAGAGATAGCAGTAAACGATCAGGACAAAGACAACACAAATCAATGGTTCTTTCTGTGGTCCATTTTTCTTTCTGGCTGAAGAAAAGAAAAGAAAAGCAAGGAAATACCGAGATCAGATGGGAAGTTCAAGATAGTCCGTGGGCAATGATCAAGAGCAGTGGAGTCACTCTTCCTCAGTGGAGGGCTCGTCAGAGGACGAGATGTCAGCGTCAGCGTTGGCCTGAATATCGCTTTCTTCGGCATCAAAACCGTTGATCTGAGGCCCAAACGGGCCCTCATTGTCTCTTCCCTTCGGTGAAGCCGAAATCATCCCATCCACGGTACTCTCGTTTTCATCCGCGAAGCTTCCATCTTCGTAGTTCGCTGGCTCAGCGTCGTGATCATAACTCGAGCGACGGAGAAGAGGCGGCGTCCGAGGCGGTTCCATGACAGGTGCCTGGCTGCGGACCGAGCCGCGTCTTGGAGCTGACTTGAATCCTCTCAAGGGGCGAGTTTGCGCAAACCGCGCGGCAGCACTTGTCTGCGAGCCAGTGCTATTCTCTCGAGAGCTGGAGCTCGGGGGCGTCAGCAGACCTGACAGGAAGGTGCTAGCATTGCTGGGTTTTGATGGGGTCTGGTCGGAGGTGTTGGCGGCAGATTCGCGGCCTTTACGCCAGTTTCCCCAGGCGGCGGCTGCGGCTAGGGGGAGAGAACGGGGTGACGCGGCAAGGTCGGCGAAGGAGGCTAGGCGACCGGTTGTTAAGCGTTCCTTTTCTTGCTGCTGCATTTGAAGGTTGGCTTTCAAACGGATGGCTGCGTCGCGGACGGCTTGCTGATTGAATGAGGGCTTGGACACGGTCTGGATGATGTCTTGCAGGTCGTCAATGCGAACGCCTAGGAGCTCACGCAGCCAGGTGATCTCGGTGTCCTTCTCCTTGATCTTGTTTGGCGCGTCTTTATCTATTGTGGAAACTTCTTGCTCGAGTTCTTCAATGCGTGTCTCGCGCTGCTGGAGCTGGTCCTGGAGAACGAAAATTGACTCGCGCAGGGCTTGAGGAGAGATCCGTTCAGGCTCTGCAGAGCCCTTGTTGTAGGACATGGAAGGTGTCGCCCTCGAGTGCGAGGGTGTGGTATCCGGCACTGAACTAGGGCTTGCCTTGGCGTTGTGGGCTGCCTTAGCAGCAGCACGGGCAGCAGCTTGGGCGATCTCAAGCTTTTCTTCAAGGAGCTTCACGCGCTCTTGCAGGTGTTTAGCCTTGTCCTCGGACAGAGCCATGCGCTCCATGCTATGACTCTCGCCGCGTGCACGATCCTCTGAAGAATTATGCAAAGCACGAGCATGACGTTCACGGAGGTCATTAAGAACGCGCTCATGGATCTTGCGGTTTTCTTCAATGACAAGGTCCTTGGCAGCCAGGGCGGCGGCCTTTGAGTCCCTAGCTTCCTCGAGGAGAAGCTCGTAGCGCTCGCGAGAGGTATTGGTGCTCTGGCGGTCATTCTCAAGTTGAGTTTGCAGACAAATTATCTGAGCCTCCAGCTCGGCACGCACAATGTTGACCTGGCTGTTGGAAGCTTCAAGGTCTGCCTCCATCGAGGAGCGAATGCGCTGAATCTCGGCGCGGCTACTCTCACGGGTTTCGATGAGCTCTCGTTCGAACCGGGCAGACTTGATTTGCAGGTCATGGTTCTCCGCCCGGAGACTGGTGACTAGGTCCTCCAGTTTAGCGTTATGTTGCTGAGATTGTTCGTGGAGGAATCTCAGCTTCGTGGCCTCCCGCTCGTTCTTTTCGAACTCACGGACATCCTCCTCGAGCTTCTGGCGCAATCGGAGCTCGCGAGAGTGCGACGCGCGCAGCTCATTATACCTAGCAGACTGCTTTTCCTCCTTTCTCCGCCAGGCAGCTTGATCGCGAGTAATCTCGGTAGTGACGTTGAGCATGTCATCTTGAAGGCGATCGAACTTTTCAGTGAGGTTTTGGCGTGAGATCATGCTATCTTCTATGCGAGTTCTCAGGTGGTCAATAGTCTCATGGAGAGACTTGTTCTCACCCTTGGCGGTTTCTAGTTGACGACGGAAGCTATCGCTAGAAAGTCGGAACTCGTCGAGGGTACCCTCAAGCGCGATGTTCTTCGTGGACAACTCGGCGATAGTAACCTTGAGAGTCTCACTCTCTTCCGAAAGAGAGTCAGTGCGGAACTGCATCTTCTCAAAGTAAGGAATCTTCTCTTCCTTGAACTGGAGAAGACGAGACTCAGCGTCCTCTGCAGCAGCACTGTGACGAGCTGCATCTTCCTCGGCAAGCTTCAACAATCGCTGGAGCTCAGTCACGGCATCCTGCGCATCGCGGCGATCCTTGTACTCCTGCTCGGCACGCTCATCGGCAACTCGCAACATGCCCTTGAGGCCTTCGATCTGGAGCATAAGGCTGTCAGCTCCAATCTCCTCGGCCTCTGACAGGCGCGGGCTCGGGGGTTTCTGCAAGGCGATCTGTTGAGCCAATTGCTTGGCCATGGCTTCCTCGATAATCTCGCGCATATCACCAACAGGGTCCTGAGCGAGCTTCTTGATCGTCAGAGCCTGCAGTTCAGCAATGCTTTCCTTGAGCTGCGATAACTCGCCGTGGCTGGAGTGTGGAGAAGCGCGTTGAGGGATATCATGCGTAACCAAAGCTTCCATTACGACATTCTTGAGCATCTCCAGCTTACGTTCCCTCATGTTGTGGGGCGAGCGATCGCGAACCGAAGCTTCCTCGCCATCATCTTCCTCATCATCGGCATCACTGTCTTCCATTTCGGCTGATGTGCTGCGGAAGACCCTTCTGCTTGCAGTGCCAGTGGCAATAGACGCCACCGACTGCTGAATTACAGCCAAGGCACGTTCCATAGGGCCCAAATGCTCGTCAATGGCGGAGCCAACAAGATCATTGATGCGACGGTCGAAGAAGCGGTTACGGTTCATAAACTTCTCGTCTTCCCCGGCGGAGATCATATCATCCCAGTCACTGACGTGGTCATTCTCAGTAACAAGGTGGCGCACAGGGGACTGCAGACGAGAGATAAGGCTCTTCTGCGGAGAGAAGGTAGCATTGCTGTTGGCATCGACGTCAGAGCCAAGTTTAGGAACGCTGAGCTTGTAGGTCTTGGGGGCTCCACCAGGGCTCGGGCTGGGGGCTTCGCTTCGGGCCTCTGCAGAACCAAACCGCTGTTCCTTCGTAGGGCCGCCCATCGACTCCGTGAGGTGGTGGTGTCGCGATTGGAAGGGGGTCGCGTGAATGGTGTTGTAAGAAATCGCTTGCCGTTCGATGCCGATATCTGCGTCGTCGTCGTTTAGTTGTTCCATGATAGCATTCAGCTCCTCATCGTCAGGCGAGTCGTCCTCGGAGTCCCATGGGCTGTCGTAGTGCTTAGATTGGCGAGTAATGAGTTCTGTCTCCACGCGGGTTGCAGTCTTGCCCTCTGGCTCAGTTGGTAAGACTGCCTTCTCGGGTGGGCTTGTGGCGGCGAAGCGAGAAGCCATGAGTCCAGCTTGCTTGAGTTTATCTTCGGCGAGACTCTTGGCAGGCTCCTTAGTGTGGTTTGCTTCGACCGGCTTTTTCTCAGCAAAGCTAGATGGCTGAATAGTCGCGGGAACAAATACAGAAACAGCAGGCTTGAACTCAAAAGGCTGGGCATTAGGCGACAGCACGGTTCTCTTGACTGAGCTCTTGGATGCATGCGGAGTGTGGTCGACACCATTCGAGACAGTGACAGACGTACTGTCTCCCGCAGCACGCTCCCTTGGTTTACGTTCTTTGACAACAAGATCTTTAGATGACTCTGCCTGGGCCGGCGATCCAGTTTGAGATCGGTTCTCGGCCTCCCGCTTCGCATCGAACAGAGTCCAAGTGTCGGCTTCGCTGACAGGGGTGCCTGTCCGCTCTAGTGGATTGTTCTCTGTGGGAATGGCATTCTCCTTGCCCTCGGCGACAGCATGGGGCGCACTCGAAGCTTGAGCGTTGCCTGCCTCGCCCAGAGGGTGGGTCGATGTACTATATTCAGCCTCATCTTCAGCATGACCGATACCGCGACGCGCACGCTTGTGGCGGTCAGTAGGCTGCATAGGACGACCATTGGTGTCATCTTCAACTACCCGCTCTTTCTCATTAATCTCCTGTTTAACCTCATCGGGTCGCACAATAGGAATAGCCTTGGACTTCTTGTCAGGAGTGGCGATCTTGTTGATGCCAATGTCACCGAAGATCTTGGTGCGACCAACGGGAGGCTGCTCGGAGTTGGCATTCGACTTGAGACTTATTGAGGGATTGGGGTTGAAGACAGGTGCGTCAACATTGAACGATGCGGCGGAAAACTTGAATCCGCCACTACCACTGGCATTTTGTTTCAGCTTAGAATCGATTGGGCCATTCATACTGCTACCAGGCGTGAATGAGGGAGGCGGGACAAAACCGAGTCCTTGCTCGCTTCTGTCACCAAACTGGAATGGGTCATTGCCGAATGGCACAGCCTGGGAATTGAACGATGCGGTTGGATCGAATTCTTTGGCTTTAACGTTGAGTGATGAAATCGAGAGCTGCGATTGGTGGCCTCCGCGGTATGAGTGGCCGCTGGGTTGGTTCTCCTGCCACGGCCCTTGGCGAGTCTGCGGCGTACCCGCAACACTGGGGTTTGTGTCGAGATCAGAAGCATCAAGACCATTGTGTTGTTGATAATGGTCTCCATATAATTGGTTAGGGAGCTGGTGCTGGACGAAAGGATGAGGTGCATGATGAGAAGGGTTCGGTGCGAGGTGTTCGTTTTCTGGCAATCCCCAGCGCGCCTTAAGGGCGTTCGCATTCAGGCCTGCACGGTCGCCCACATCACGGTAATCATCCTCCATTTGCCGTTCGATCGAGTTTTCCAGATGGTAATCGGTATGTGCCATCTGGTCCAGTCCTCTTTGCAGAGTTTCGCTTAAATTATGACCATGGCCTCGAGGTGTCGGCTGGGCAATTTCGACGTTTGATGCGTGGAAATGATCTGAGTGTCCATTGACCGGCGTCTGTGGAGCCTGATATGGCAGGCCTTCCTGATGCATACCATGGCCAAATTGACCATCAAATACACCCTTATCGTTGAACCCGGGGTGGAACGACCCTTGGTCATGTAGCGGAGAAACTGTTGGTAGTATGGAGGCAAAGTTGCTCATTGCCCCTGGGCCAGCTGATGAGGTTGCCTGCCGAACGTTTATAAAGCCTTGGGGGGTCAATGCTCCCTGAGTAGGAGGCGTGGGCTGGAATTGGAAGGGGAATCCACCCATCATGCTTTGCTCCGCGCCTATGAAAGGCGTCTGCATACCGAATGGTGAAGGTGATGCCAGGGATCCCATCGCACCAGATGGAGGCATTGATGATTGGTTGAAGTGAGGCGAGAATGGGTGAATATGGCCGAGAGCGTTGCTTGCTGCAGACGCAGTAGGAATCGGCGGGGATGCAACAAGGCCCGGGAAGGGTGTACCACTGGGGTTGAGTGAGTAATCGGGCATAATGGGTTGCTCAGGCTCATCGTTGCCGCATGACACTCCTAGGGCGCGTAGCTTTTCTTCCTGGAGCTCGGTGATGTAAGCCTCCCACTTGGCCCTGTCTGGGAATTTGACAACGAGCGGTTGGCCCTTGGAAAATTCATGGAGGTTGTATGGGTCGGGATATAGAGGTCTGCTGAGACCTCCTAGAGTTGTCATTGATGAGGGGTCCTCGGAATCGCCAATGGTGAATCCACGAACATCGTACCCTTCGTTCTCCCATTGTTGCATTCGCTGTTGAACGTCGGTCGGTGTTAGAAGACGATACCCAGGTTTTAAACCTCTCTTATCATTGTGTGGCAGCTCTATTATGCAGGCTTTCCCGCGCCAGTTCAACTTCTTTCTCCGCTGTGGTGTCTGGATGGCTGATTTGCCGATAATAGAAACCTGTGTTTTTAGTGGACCCGGGTTGAGTGGATCTTCCATTTTTGCAACGTCCTCCGTCTCGTTTGGGGGCGGAGGAGGTAACGGCTTGTCTACGGACAAGTTTACCTCGACGGTAGGTGTATTTGAGTCTGACATGTTGTTTTGTGGTGGATCTTTATCGTAAGCAAATCCCCAAAAGTCCTCCTGTCGCAAGGTGTCTGCGCGTTTGTGCAAGGTTTTGTTGGCTTTTGCACGCGCAGCGGCTTTTTTCCCAACAAAATCAGAAAGGGTTGGAGTTTTCAAGAGGTCGTTGGAGCGGAAGTCGTCTTCCAGACCAAGCCAGTCGTCCGAAGCGTCGTCGGCAAAATGGTTCCTCGCAGTGAAAAACGAAGGCGCTTCACTTCCTGAATCGTCGCTGAGCCAATTGCTGCGCTCCGTTCTTGGTTGACCGGTAAGGTACTGATTGATCCAATCCTGCGTAAAGTCCCGTGTGGATTTATCTCCGTTATTGGCGGGGGTGTCGTGGCCCACAGGTTCAAGTGTAACGTCTTTGACGATACTAGATCTCCGCAACTCGGTGTAATTGGCCACTGACGAGACAGGCGAGCTAGGACCAGATCCGTGGTCGAGCCCAACGAATTCGATTTGACTATTGGTCACTGACAGTCTCCGAGTGCTAGGTGCTGCATAAGGGGATCCCCACGCAGTGGTGTAGTAGATGCTACTTTCCGCCTTGCGAATGACTGGCGAAGAGGGCCGAGATTCTTCGGTTGCACGATGTGAGGATAGAAATGGGAGAGGCGGGGGCTCGAGGGTGATACTCTGCGGTGAGGTTCGTTGAACGGAGGAGCTAACGGTTGATAGGCTCAGGTCTTCTGATGGCGGAGAAGACAAGAGTAACAAGGGAGCTAGACGTGATTCACGGATAAGGCGCGTGTCTCGCGAGTGAGACTGTGCAGAAGGCGCCGAGATGGCGGAAGAGACGGAGGGATCTAGATCTGTAGTCATCCAGCGTGGTTAGAGTGGCATACTTGGAGGTGTCAAGAGTGAAGTAGCAATTGTATCCAAGGAGTTGAAAAATAAAGTCCAAATAGCGTACTAGCGCGGAAGAGGACCCCAATTCCACCACCCCGAGAGGGATTTGAAGAGAAACAACATCAATGCATACACACACACACACCTTCCGTGTCGACTCCTGCAGCAAGCACTTGCTTGCCGCTCCGCTTATCGTCCAGAATGTTGAAGCATGGAAATCAACCCGGAATTGAAGACCACCGCTGGCAAGAGAACCTGGGACGAGATGGTGTACAGGTTATCGTTTTAATTTTATTTTTGAATAGGCGCACTGCACAAGGAAAATATAAAAGAATGGAGAGATCAGAAGCACGCGCGAGTCTGAAGCATCAAAGACTTGGATGGGGCACTAAGGGGAAAAAAGGTCGGACGGGTATTGGATCGTGGTACTGGGTACCTGCTAGAGTGTGGATATTGTAAGCTAATGCGGTGTACAGGATACGATAAGGCCCATTCAACGCTTATTTTTTGGTTAGCGCAGACCGAGGCCATTGATTTAGCTTGTCTCGTTGGCCTTTGACCGAACTGCTATGCTACAAAATGTAAACTATACGTACCGGATTTTCCCTGGCGGGTGGGGCCTGCCTATTTGAGCTGCCGCCGCTTTTATGAGGGTGCTCAGGCTCAGGCTCACTGAGTAGATGTCAGCACGGGCTCAGATCATTGATCATGCTCAGATCAGTCACGTGTGGAATGACTGATACTCAATGAGTGCTCAGTGAGTGCTCATTGGATGCTCTCTGATTACTCGGTGATGCTCAGTGTCCAATCAGTGAGTAACACTAATGCATTTAGCCCCGGGTTCCAGTTGGGGATGGGTACTGTTTTGCCAAGCACAGGTACCCACATCAAAAGTGGCCACGGTGGCCACCGCCAGGTACTGTTTTTAGGGGTAGCCACGGTAGCCACATTGATTATATAATTCTATTCTTTAATCCACTTTTTTATATTGCCAAGGTAACTTCAGCCTTTGAAGTTATAACTCACTACACTAAACTACACCCCAATATCTATATATCCCTACTAATATAGTTTTTCTAACTCCCAGTTTATATTTAATATAAACAGTTAATCTAAATTCAGTAGCTTAAGTCGTAGTTACAAATGTACTGACGATCTTCGAGAATCTAGAGTGTGTATCTGAAAAATCTACACTCAGACATGTTGTACAAACACAACAGGTACTCCTTCCTTGCACTATTACTCCCTTAATATAGTCAAAGCGCCTTCTCTACTAGTCCAACTACTACTGTAGGAGTCATTTGCAGCATCACAACCAAAATATAGATGCGGTGAACGAGTGCTAATGGTGAAAATATAATTAAACTCATTAAATCAACCGAATGCAAAATGGTACCAAAAAGCATTGCACCCGTTTAAACACCCACTCCACCAGCAAAAGAGGAACAGTGTTTAGTTTCTCAAATGTGATTGGTTTTGAGCTCACCACCAGGCCTTAGGCCCGTGCGTTTCCTAGTAATCCCCAAGTCATTCTCTAAATCTCTTTCCGTCCTGCTTCAGATCTGATGCTCTAGGCTTAGAGTCCAATGATGGAACCAATGATGGAACCAATTATGGAACCAATTATGGAACCAATAATGGAACCAATAATGTGTCTAAAAGCACAGATGTGATAAGCCAGTGTCATTATATCTCCACTATGGTAAAGACCGAGAAAGTCGCATAATGTGGTTACAATCGCAGCGCCCCATAGCAGATCGAAAAAGCGAAAAGGCAGGAGCCACAAGGGGGGGTTTCATGAATATCTTACAAAAGAGCCAAGCTGGGCGAGAAACGCGGTGCTGTTCGGCCATGGCCAGTGCACACTTCGTACTCTCATGGTTGATGGTGAGCTCGCCACAGTTGCTGGGCAATTACAATCATTGTTGGTCCGATTGAGTCCTTCCGCAGCTATAGCAGTATTGTTCACTATGTGCACACATGATCCTATTTACAACTGCGTCCTGGGAAGGCCTTCCCACCTTTTCTTGGCGATGGCCGATGCGGACCCCCTCTATATACCCCATCACGATCCGCTAGGCTTCGCAACACGCCCCCATCCGTGGTCGCAACCGAGACGGACACCGCCTAACTATTAGCATAGCTAGTAGAGAGCCGTGCACTCTCCTACAAATTTTTAAAAATTGTAAATAAGGAGAAATGTGCTGCTTGAAGCCTAGTATGCTATCGATAGGATAGATGTGATGACCCATCATTGCCAGTTAATATGTGTTTTCCCAGGATCCGAGAGAGTTTTATACAGTAGGTGACACCTCATGAGTGCAGATAATTGGGATAAGGCTCATTGTGAGTGAATTGCACCTTGTCATGTCTAATATTGATTCTAGAGTGGGGAAGGAGGACAATGTTGTACCATGTGATGAAAAGTCCTGCGGCAGTCGATTTCTACCCCCTCCCCCCCGAAAATTGTTGAAAATTCAAGTTAATCCTTCATTATTAACATGCAATCGAGTCTCATTCAACGCTAAGCCCTAATTGATTTTTTTTTGCATACGTCACTCCATGCATACGCCAAATCCTACATACAGAACTCCTACGGAATCGGGATCAGCGGCATCGACGCAGTTTGACTCTATCACATATTCGGCCATACAATGTCAAGTATCCCGCATCTTAGGATGGCATTTCAATTCAGGCTACATTGAGTCATTGGGCTCTGAAAGAATTCAGTACTCAGTACTGATACCGCTGTCTGAACTTCTTCTTCTTGATTCCATCTCTCATCTCTCGTTATAAACGCATACTAGTCAGTGAGGAAGATAGATCTAGAGGGGTGGAATTGAAGCCATAAACTAGGCCTCATCCCTAGGAATAAAGAGATTAGACAGACAGTTTTCATAATTCCAACTCATACCCTTGTGAAAGATTCTATGGTATTACATGCTGCTTAGGATACTGATCTTCAAAGTTGTATAGTATTCGACAAAAAAGCATCTCTACATGCAACTTCATATTTCACATTCACACTACCAAGATGGTAAATGAATTTTTTTTTTGTTTTGTTGATGAAAATGGTAGGTCAGTTGAATAGCCCTACTGTGAGGATTTTACTTGGATAGAATCGAGACCGCTAGAACGAACGGTATGTTGGCTCCGCCAATCTTTTTTGATGGGCGATCTAACTGGGAAGCCGTTGCACGTGATGGGATTAGCGTGTCGCATTTAATTGATGTACCTTTACTCAAGCCGCTCATCCCTACAGTCACTGAGCAAATCAGAGTGCTCAGATGATGATCAGTGAGTGGATCACGTTGATTATGTAACGACCCGTGATCAAGTCGGAATACTCAGGGACGTGCTCAGTTTTACTTAGTGGCCAAAATGCGGCAAGAGGTGAGCACTAAAATGGAAAGGCAAAGGCCTTGAGTGCCAGGCATTATCCGGTGCATTTATACTCATAACGCACATGTACCTGGCACTGAATGTGTTGCAAAAGATCCTGGCCTTGAGATCAAAAGTTAAGGATTGATTTAATACTGCATCCTTAGGGTCAGGTGCAATTGACCTTGCAGAAAAAAAAATAAACAAAGAAAATTGGAGATCTGAGAAATTCAGGGGTAGAAGGGCAGCTTTCCATGGATTCGACCACACCGTACCATCGGCCGTGCTAACTGCATGACTAATGAATGCCTCCATTTGGCCAATCAGCGTCTATCAGACAAACAATTGAGTTCATATCTTCATTCTGATTGGTTAGGATCTGTCCACGCCGTAATGCATCCTTCAGGCTAAACCTCTTCGGGACCTTCTCTTCTCTCTCCCTTTATGGGGCGTAGGGACGATGCGGCCGCAGACCAAGAGAGAAAATCAGGCTCTGGAGTCACCTTATTGGACATTGTTACCCCAAGGTGGAGAAATGAGTAACAGCTGGCCAATGAAATGATGAAATGGTAGCATGGGAATATAATTGGCTTGCAGTTACTCCTTTCTCCACCCTAAGCAACAAAGTCCTTCTGTAGTTTTCTTTCACTTCTACATTACAGCCGGTCGGTATTGGGGGCCCAAGAGAAGCTCGGCGGTTCGCCCATTTGGACAGAAAACAAAGGAGGCTTCCGGCCAATTCTATGAATCCCTGGACAGAGTCAGCTTCATGTCTTCCGTTACCAAGGCCATTTAATTGGCCTCCGTCGCAGTCTTCGCCTGAGTCTCAGCACTCAGCAACACTTGATTCATAGACGCTGAGACTATCATCATATTAATCTTTGACCGCACGGGCCTGGTGATTGTTGGACGCCATCCTTGCCCGTCTACCCTTCACTCTTCTTTCTGCTGGCTATCTTTTCTATTTCCCGAAGGGCGATCTATTTCCCTTCAAGCCAATCAATGCAAATGAGTTCACTCAGAAATTTCATATTGCGCGTCTCGCCGTGCAATGCAACCTGTGGAGGGAAGATTCACCTACAATACATTGCATTGCATATGCGCGCCAATCAGGATCAACTATGCTATGTAAAGCGAGACGCGCACACATAACGTGACATTTCCATGGAGTTGACGTCCGATCTGTTTTGTTGGATGCGAAAGCTTAGTCGAAGTAACTGGTATTATTCTATTTTATCTACTTTTATTATCATTTTGCGTTAGTACAATACGCGCCGGACGGCTTAAATGACCGAGAGCGCTCCAAGCCATTAGCTATTAATTGCTGAACAAACCTTTTCTCTTGGCGTATCGCTTGGTTGATGCTTACAGTGCTTGGCCCAGAGGGATGGATCAGTAAAAGTGCTCTTGGCCATTTGCGGGATCAGTGAAACCGTGAGGGATAAGGTCTATAAATTGAAGGTGAAATTCCCCCTACCATTGTCTTTAATCTCACCCACCCAGAATAAGCTGATTGTGCAATCCTTTATCTCATACCAAAAGTCCCGTCCTCAGCTTTCTTGGCACCATGGCTACTGATACGACGGCCTACAACGTCTACCGAGTCTATTTCAAACAAAGCGACAAGCCCGATCATCAAGGCATTGCTCTTGTTCCCGCGCAGATAGTGAATAAGGCTGTGGAAGATTCTACCACGTCACGGTGACCTGGGCCTGGGCATGGATTATGACCCGCGTCCCGGGTACAATTTTCAGGGAACGAACAGCTATAAAGACTCAGCATTTCAATTTCAGATCCCGAGAGCGAAGCTCTCCGACTTCGAAGGAATTGCTGCGAAGCAGAAGGTTCCTCACGATCCACGTGTACTCACGGAAAAGAATCCTTCCCCACCACCTCGAAATTGTGCTGATTGGGTCGACGATGTTTTGAAGGAGGCGAAGAACAAGCTAGTGGGATGAGGCTTCGATTATAAAGGAATAAATGTGGAACCGAGGGGATAGCACCAGGAGTTGTTGAGGGTAGATTAGATTTTCAAATACCTATTGTATGTAGTGACCAGACCTTGATACACATACACGCTAAATCAATAGCTTTTCCATCAAAAAAGAGTGTATGAAGAATTCAGCGTGATACGGTTAGAGAATTTGCATCAGGTAGTCTGTCCAATCACTCTGCCAGCCCCATACAAGTAGTGCCTTTGCGAATTCCCAGTATTCTGGATACCAACCACTTCGCTCCCAGTCTATAATGGCGACCACATGTCCATCTTTCACCATAACATTCTGAGGCCGGATATCACCATGCGTAAATAAGATGCGGTGGGATTGAGAAAGCATTCCACTAAGAAAACTTTTGATGTGGCGTTTCGGCACATTCTTTTGATAGGCGTTAAGGAGAGCCCTGTTTAAGTCCCGCTCCGAATCGAATGGGCCTTTTCAAAGAAATAATCAGTCCAGATCAAGCGGTCCCTGCGTGTTCCATTCCCACGAGGCGGGCTCTGCAATCTTCATAGGCAAGGCTGGGGTTTGTATCGGGTCAATGATTGGCTTCCAAGGAGATGACTAAATCTGTTAATCGCAACAAAAGGGCGTCGCAGGCAGACATCAGCTGAACAAGACTTGCTGCTTGATTATTGTGTTCTCCTTCAACACAATGATTCAGAACATACTGTCGTGCTTAGAAAAAAAGCAAGTCTCGTGATGCTGCAGCAAGGATGGACGCAAGGCTTCCTCTTTTCCGATGCGAGTAACTGCAGTCTCCAGTGAGAAGATACTGTCGCATGTTGTTGGAGTTCCACTGCACTTAAAGTCGGTCGTCTCGAAACATTCCATTGTGATATATGCGAAGGTTGCACAATCGTGAGAATCCGCCAATGAATCTACATGAGCAAGTATTATCAAGAGGAACTTTAAAGCACTGCGTGATGTTGCCCTCGAACGGTCAGGCAACACAAAAGAATGTATCTGTACTGTCCAGTCGTATCGAAGAGTATCCAGGATGCTGAAGATAACAATCAAGATTTCTGCTCGAATGCCTGGGCTTAGACCACCGAGCCAGGCCTGAACCTCCTTTGGTCGAATATTTCCATCGTTCAGTTTCGCTTCGAGAGTATTAGGATAAAATAACGTTCCAGCAGAAAAATGCGGTATCAAGTCTGCGATCAGCCTCCTTTATCGAACTCTTTTAGCTACTCCGGTGCAGTAGCTCACTTGAACTCCCCAGTAAAAATCTAGGTATTGAATGAGTACTTGGGGCGGATATGCGAGCGCTCGGTCTTTCATCGGGATTCCTGTCTGTTTATTCCAAGTTTCCGTAGCTTGGCAAACAAAAATCCTGCCCCCCCCCCTGGGCTGCAAATTGTCGCTGTGACTTTTTCCAGTAGGATCGGCTTGTTTCCAATTCTTCCAAGACATTTGCTGATCTGGTGCGGGACTCGGTTTCGACGAGAGGTTGCAAGCCGCGTTTACTGAGACCAATGAGACTTTCCATTTTCACAAGCAAAAATGAAACCATCTCCGATTTTTATGGCGACAGGAGAGCAACCCTCATCTTCTTGAATTACCAGGTATCCAGTGTATCTTCGGCATGTCCCAAGATGTCATGACTTTGCGTGAGTGTTTGAAATTGTGCCTCCAAGGGTTGACCCGCCAATGAAACTTCGCTGGAACGGAATAATAAGACCTGCCCACGGGTCATACTACCCAGACAAGCGAGATTGACAAGTTCGGCTACCAAAAATGGATACGACTCGTTCTTTTGAAGACCCATTAATCTCACCTGCTGTGCGAAGAAATCCAAGAAAAAAGGACCGTGAATAACCTCTCATGTTCGTGCTCCTTCCAGGAGGGATGGAAGTTCTTTTCTACCCCGAACGCCAGGAATGGGGAAGGGAGAGCTTCATAGAAGGCCATAGTTACTACGTAACCCCACTCGACCCGATTGCCTTACCATCATTCCGTAATATTTATCTTTGAACGCCATCAGAATGCAAGTTACCGTTCGTAGCCATTCAAAGTGAACGACAGTCTGGAACTAGTATCCCTGCTAAGCCAGAAATGCTTCCGAGATAAGGTCTACAATCAATCTATTGAACTGCATCCAAATATACGAACTAAAAGAATCATCCGCAAGGCCACAAATGACTGGGCTCGTAATCGCTTTGACCGACGTGGCATATATCTAATGCTAGACGCTTTCGATTTGCCTGGCCGTCCTTTACCCTTCTGCTGCCCCCCAGGCTGCTCTTCTGGGCGCCGAATTTTTCGAGACGAGCGCGTCGCATGCTGTGATGAAGATTCCAGCTTAGGACCAGGTTCTATATTTGCTGCCTTTGCTGTTCCCCTCGTCACTCGGCGTGCAGAAAATCTCCGCCGATTTGAGTCAGTGGTCGTCACTGGGCATCCAGAAGAGGAGGCGGAAATGTCGGTTTTAGACGGGCAGGCTGATGGCTTCACGACGGTGATAGGGCCGGGTCTCATCAATCGAGGATCAATATTTGTCATATCGAAATCGACAGAGGAGGCGGGATTTTCAGTGCCTTGCCGACCCACTAATTCCATAGATGTTTCTCTGGAAGAACCGTCACCGTGGCTAACCCGTGGCCTTTCGGTGAGATGACATAGTTTAATTTTGATATCATATTTGTGTTCTTTATTAGCATAGGCTAAAAATTCGGTGATTTTGGCAAACTTGGGAAGAGTGCGACATGCTTCCCAGTTGCAACTGATCCCGTCGTGTGCATGAAGCAGATGAGAGTCCGGGATAGGGAGCTCCCAGTCTTCTTCAGCGGAACTATCAGCATCGCGTTCCTCAACATCAGATTCGCCGAGAAGCATTTGCTTGATCTGCCTGTCAACTTCAAGCACGGGGGCATTATTAAAATAGTCCTTTCTGGCTGTCTCGCGAGTTTCGATCGCCGATGTTTTTCGAAGTTTGCCCAGGTCTTTTTTGACGGTCTCATGCCTTTGGAAGAGGTGTGGAAAGGTGTCACGGGCGTTCTTGATTGTGCCAGCCACGGACCGCATCTCCGCCATGAGCTCTCTTTTCTCGCGTCTAAGTTGCAGAATTCCAGGGTTTTGGAAAATAGCACGTTTATGCGCTTCGGTAAGATCAGATGGTGCCGATAGATCTCTCTTCCTAAGCATGCTCCCAGCGAAACGTACCAGACCATCTTGGGAGGGTCGAAGAAGAACGACATGCTGAAGGTCGCGCGCAATAAATTGCGATTGGTAATGATTTTCAAAAACTGCGTCGCCAGACTGACCGAGCACCCTTTGTCGCTCCTGGCTGATAAAATTTTCTGCGAGTAGATAGTCAGCCCCGTTGTGAGATATCCCATCTATCATAGCGAAGATGAATCCATCATATCGCGTTCACCAAATAACATACTGTTGACTTCATTTGCCGTCCAGCGGCGGAAATTATAATGCCCTGTATCGTCTTCAAATCTAGCATCTCGACCCAACTCCTTGAGCGCCTGCCGACTTAAATCATAGGTCATTGGCAAAGACCCATCGAGTCCGTAGCCGTAGGGAGTGCGTTCAAGACGTCGAAGGAAGGGTACATTAAGAACTTCGGGCTTCCACCGGAGGGGAAGAAATGGACTGCCTCTTGGAACTCGTAGCCGCCAAATGAGCTCTGGTGTGAGGTCGGTATTAGCAAAAGACCCATCGCGGAAAGCGAAGGCAATGATTTGAGCTATCGGGCAATATGCCAGTTGATAATCGCTGTGCATGAAGAATTTGGTTCTGTTAGCAAGGATCAGTATCGAAGTTGCTTCATGAGAAATTCAAATCAAAAATTTCAGCTTACCCATCAGCACCTTCCGGTCGACCTTTGAGATTGCGAAACTCGATGATGGCACAGAGGACATCACGTTTACTTTGAGGGTCTTTCAGGTAGAGAAGTTCAATATCGCGATAGCACACCGAGTCCGGAAGATCTTTCAAGGTAATGTGCTTTGGAAGATCACTCTGGAAGGTATCATCCCGTTTGCGTTTGCCCAAAGCTGGAGTGCCAGGTGATGAGGTGTCTTGAGGAAGCAAGACGCCAGGTCGCGTGCCTGTGATGGCGGACCAGAGCTGGACTGTAGCAAACTGAACAATCATGCTCCTATGACGAAAGAATCTCGAATGGACCCAGTGATGCCGGTAAATCACACCAAATACATCTATATCTAGAGTGTTTTTGTCCTTCGTTCATCGGGGGATTCTGCACTCAGCTGGAAACAGACCTACGAGAAACTTTTCAAGATTAGCATACTCTTTTAGGGACGTAAGGGACATTACTTACTCGTCGCATCTGTTGACGGGCATCCTCACCGACGCGGCGACGGGCGAATAGCTCGAAGTATTGACAAAGGCGTCGCCAGTATTCATCATACGACTGAAGCAGTTTCTTTCGTGATGTTTTGAACATCCAGTCAAAAAAGTTCATGTAGATCGTCTGATCCTCCAAAAGAAGAAAGTCCACATAATCCTCGTTCGATTGAATGCAAAATCTATTCTCGTGTTATTCCCAGTCACAAGACTTTTCCCGACCAAGTGAGAACTTACTTTCGCCAATAACGTTCGATGACAGCGATGCCTTCTAAGGTCTTTGGCTTAAAGTTTGAAGGGAGCCATCCAAGACTGCGAAAATGTTCCAGTCTGGCTCGAGTTTCCTAGCAATGAATGGGATCGGTCCAGTATTGGTGCTCATTGGTGTTCAGGCGTAGGTGCCATGAAGGAGATCAAATACAAAGACCAGGGTGGAAATGTTGTGCTGTGGGAAACGACAACGTCAAGGTCGGCTTGAGGCGTGGGCAACGAGGATGAGAGAATGGGAGGTGCAAGGACACAGGAGGGGATGGAAGGCGAAGCATCTTATAGGCGCTCAAATGGACCGGGCGAAAAGGTAGGGGACACGAATTCAGCTGAAAGGGAGCCATTTTCGGCGTCTTTTTGGTCGCCAGTGGAAACGAGGGGAACAAGTGTGCAAGTCGAGCGTCAACATCAGGACTGGAGGATGACTAAAAGTGCTGGGCGGGTGCAGAATAGAGGTGTTACAGGGCAGTGGGCGGTCAAGGGGCGGCTGGACGTCCAAAGTTACGGGTGGAAAGGCAGCCGTTTCTGGCCTCAAAAGCGGTCATTTTCGGCGCCAATCCCACTGGTCCTCATATTCTAGTTGTAAACTATAAGGTATGTTTTATATTGTAACTGCCATTCGAATTCAGCGCAACGATGCAGCAATTTCCATGTTATTATTCGCTTATGCAGTAAGAGGCAATTAAACCATATTTTCATTTGAGTAGGAGATTAGAATCCCCGGAATAAATCAATACAATCTGAAAAAGAAACCGCTAGTCGCGGACAAGCCATCAAAGCAAAGACACTTGGATGAAGCGAGCAAATAGTCACACATTGTCTATTCGGGGCAAGAGGTGTCGAACTTGACCTTGCGGTCCGCGGTGAACAGACCCCAGTGCTTCTCATCCTTCATTTGGCCGTTGTCACCCTTGGTATCGGGCTTCCAGGACTCATCGAAGGCCTCGAAGTAAAAGAGATCAACACCCCAATCGAGCATGCCACAGATACCAGTCTTCCAGAATTTCTCAGCATTCTTGGTACCGGCCTTGGCAGCCTGGTAGTCGGAACCGCCATCGGTGGGCCAGCCGGTCTCACCTGTGACAATGTTGATTTGGTCGGCCTTGTCACCGGCAATCTTCTGAATGTGCTCCATAGCGCCGGCCATATCGTCGAAGTAGGTCTGGTAGGCCTGGTCGGCGGCAGTACCCTGCCAGTAAGCAAAAGCATTGGCCAAGCTGTGCAGTGGGGTCAGTATTGTTGCGCAAAGTTCCCATTGTTGTTCTTTGTTTTCCCACTTACACATATTTTACAACGGGCTCCTGGGTGAATAGTGCGTCACCGGTGCCATCAGCGAGCTTGTTCCAGCTCTCGGCGGTGCCGACAAGGACACCCTCGGGCACGTTATCCATGACGTGGCTGATGTAAGAGTGGAGCTGGGGTCCAGTCAAGTCACCACGATAGAGAGTCTCTGATCCGACGGTGATGGCGTGAATGACGTCCTCGTAACCGGGGATGGCCTTCTGGATGGCGGCCCAATCTCCCTTGAAGGAAGGCTCCTCCAACAGATTATTGGGATCGGTAGGCTTGCCAAGCCTAAATACAATGAGCTTGGTTAAATATAGTTCCAATTAGGGGGTGGGGGAAATAGTTCAAAAAAAGACTTACCAAATGCCGAGAACGACCTTGAAGCCCTTGTTTTTGGCAGCAGGTAGGATGTTTTGAGGAGTCGTACACTCAGTGCCGGAGTAGGTACGGACGAGAGTAGACAGGCCCTTCAGGGCATCGAAATCAGCCTCATAGTCGCTGGTGGACTTGCAGGTCCCATCGGGGTTCTTATCACCGAGCGAGAAACCGAGAGTACCCTTAGCAGAGACCAGGGCCGGGGCAGCGGCCAGCAGGAGGGAAACAAGACCAGAGGTTCGCATTGTGAAAGATAGGGGAAAAGAGAGAATGAGAGACTTCAAGAGAGAAAAGAATGTAAGGGTTTAAAAAGAAAAAGAAGGTACGTCAGGGTCCAAGAAGAAAGACCCTGATCGGAGATTCGGGGGGTTTAGGCCCTGACACTGGCACTTCTCCAGTTCCCCACTGGAGTTTATAGGGGTGCAGCTTAAACCAATCAAACTAAAGGAAGCTATTCTTGGACCCGTGGATGAAACAACTCCCCTTTTGAGGTCTGAACTGTGTAGATGTATGACTGGGGTGAACCATTTTTACCATTTTTACAGTGATGTTCTTTAACCGGATCAGAATTCCCTCACAATCTCATTGAAAGATTCTAATAAGTGTAGTATTTAAGACCCATCTTTGATCTCCTTCTCTTAGATACAGCTGTAGAGTCGTGATGTCACCTTGACAATGCCCAGATACCTAGATGCCCCGATTCAGATTGATTTCTGGAATAGCGCCCCCATGTGGAGAGACTTGGGGGAAATCGATCGGATGGCAATGACCCCCATTCTGTTTTGTCCACACCGCCCACAGCCTGCCGATCCCACTCGGGGAAGAGAACCATAGAGAGATATGTCTTTGGAACGGAATTGCCTGTGGTTCACTACAATCTGGCCAGGTCGGCTTCTCTTTGCACAATTACTTTGTCGCCTTGGGACACAATACAGTGAGGACCTGGCTCGTGCATCCCCGATTTTGTCCCTTGCTGCCAAAATGAGCTTGGGAGATCTCAAACCACCTGCGGGGTTCACAATTAGCGAATCACTCTGGTCAACCAGGTAACATTCACACAGGATCCATTGTGTAATGTTAGAGAATTGCCTCTCGTTGTGGATTGGTTAGTGGCAATCAAGAGTGCCCCATATCACTGTTGGCCATCCTGAACCGTATCGAGCCACCCCGACGTCACTAGGAAGAAGACCTATAAGATCCGTACAATAGAGATTCGGCTCAGTTGAGGTTCTGTCAGTTCTGTCCCTATAGGCCATATATCGTGAGTTCACATCTGGCTTTCTTTGTAGTCTACCCGAGTCTGGAAACATTCAAGAGTCCACTAACCCTTCTCATACAGACACGCGCAAGAAGGCATGTTGACAGATATAGACACATCTCATAGACATTGCCCTTCCTCTGCCCAAAAATCAAAGTCAACCGTCGGCATTTCCCAGCCCCGCCCAGCTGCAGCTCCATCTCTGGATGGATGCCCAGGCTCTATTGAGTAGTAGCATTGATAGTCTGATCAAGCTACACTAGTGGAAATATCATTCGAAAATGTGGACAGGTGGCCAGTGAATGAGATGCCTAAAGCCAGTAGGCACCGAATGGCAGGGGTGGGATGAGTAAGGGGTGGATTTGGTGCATGTTATTCCCGAGGTCTTCAGAGAGGATTGAGAATGGGGAGATGAAGGAGGCACTCGAAAATACGGGCTTTTAGTTCTGCGGGGGTTAGGATTAAAATTGATGTGCTAGTTGGGCACTAAGCCACGAAGCATGTGAGTGGGGGCTTGTCAGAGTCTTCGATGCGTTGGCAGTGGCTCTGTGGCTTGGGAGTTCCTGGGGTTAGCCGAGACCGCGTGGAATGCCAATGTAACATTGTGGCCAGACTCACCCGCTTGGTTATTATAGTATGCTGGCATTGATTGTAAGATTTCAGCTATTGTTAACAAGCTCTATCATACAAAGTGTTTCAGACATGATCCATGGAGGGTATGATAATATCCGGCGATAGATGATGAACAGAACGCCTTGTGGTTTCTATTACCTCCAGCCAGTCTTTGCTGGGGCTACTTGTGTGATCCTAAATTTTTGAACCCCTTCCCAAACCGAACGCCCGCCAGCCCAAATCACAGCGCAAAATTCTTCTCCTTGAGGTAGAGCTCCTTGAGGGTGCTCAGTTGGGTCACAGCCATGGTCTCCCGCCCGAGCTTGCGGGGAAGGTCGACGATGACGTAGTGCATCATGGCGAGCCCGTACTGCCCAAAGAATCCAATAATACGATCGCCAGATGATCGGAGGAGGGCTGCCAGGAGAGCAATTTGCGTCTCCTGCAACTCTGACGGTGAAATGGCCAGAATCTTGTGAATAGATGCCCAGAACATGGTGTTCGGGAATGGGTTACGACGGGGTGACTTCGCGAAGTTGCGAAGGGTCATAGCAGCATATCCCGCACCAAGGGCGGTCATGCGATCCATGTGAACCTGTTCAGTAATCCAAGAACCAGTGTCTGCAGAACGCCACCAACCTAGAACACGACGTCCGCCCTCGGTCTTGTCATTGCCTGTGAATCCCCACAGAGCGGGACAGACAACACGGTATTTGGCCCACATAATATCGGACATGTGTACTCCTTTGTATGTGAACATATCGAAGGAGAAGATTTGAGCAGCAATGATGCCGATCGGTTCGGCGTGGGATTGTTTGATGGAGGCTTCAGCCAAGAGAGAGGAAATCAAGCTCTTTGCAAGAATGTTTAATCCATAAATGAGCATTGCCGGTACCCTATTCTCTGACTTTGCAATCTCTTCAGGTGGGAAAGCGATGAAATTCCGAATATCCACTGTTGGCTCCGGGTAGGCAAGAGCTTTCTCAAGTTCGGATTTAAGTTGAGTGATCTGAGATTCGTTCAGATAGTCAGTATCCAGACACAGACATCCGATAGTGAGGAAGGGGTTTTGTACCTGTTGCTTATTCGCACCGGTTCCAGCTCGAAGCTGGCCAACGGATTTTTTGATGGAGCGCCGTAAGTTGCCCATGGTCGCCTTGAGGTCAGGCTGGGCTTGGCCAATGTCCTTGAGCCATTTGCGCATTCCTTTGAGAGTCTTGTGTAGTTCAACGTAACGTTGCTGCTCTTGGATTTCCCCTGCCGAAAGATTCCCAGCACCAAGTTTCTGCTGCTGTTGGCTGCGGGCCTTTTGGTCGGCCTCTTCCTGCAACTTTCGAGCCTCTTCATCCTGTTTACGTTTCTGGGCGTCGGCCTGCTCGCGTTCTTTGCGGAGCTTCTCCTCAATCGCGGCTTTGCGTGCGGTTTCAAGGGCAGCAGCTTTCTTAGCCGCCTCCTCCTGGGCTTTCTTCTCGGCCTGCTCTTTGGCTTGGCGTTCAGCCTCAACGCGTGCGGCTGCTTCTCGTTCGCGGCGTGCTTTTTCAGTCTTTTCGCGTTCAAGTCGTTCTTGTTCCTTGCGGATCGCTTCTTCCTTCCGCAGGCGCTCTTCCTCTTCGGCGAGGAGATGATCTTTTAAGGTTGTCTCCGCTTCCTCGCGGACGCGGTCGTGGAAGGCGGCAGCCTGGTCAAGAGCAGCCGTGTGGACTGCTTCACGCTCACGGTCGATCCGGTCAAGATTCTCGTAAAATTGTATTCGCTCATACTGGTGTACCTTCTTCAGATCAGCGTCAAAAATTTTGACCTGCTCGAGATCGCGGACGAGGTCAAGCATTAGCTGCTTAGACGGACTGTCCAAAGGTGGGACATGGGTTCTGAACCGAGTCATTGTGGGTGTCGACATTTGAGTAATTATTTCTTTGTTCCCAAGGTCGCCGGCGAGGAGTGGTTGAGTGGTGAATGTTTGAGGAAAGAGAGTGGAGGTTCGGAGGAGTAGTGAGGGGAAAGGGTAGTCAAGTAGATATGTAGAACTCAAGTGACTGAGACCATGTCCGTGGCCAGAGTAGTTCAGAAGTGTCTTGAGTATAGAACAATATCTCAAAGCGAAGTGAGGTTCACAACTGATGTACCATCAATCTGAATTTGACGGTAGGAGGAAGGAGGAACGGCACAGCGTAAGAGTAATTGCACCTAGTCTTTGAAGGGACGGAGGAAGAACGTAAATTGCGCGTGCAGATAGTGAATAATTGGACGTTGTCGCGTCAAAACTGGTAGAAGGGAGGGTCCATGGAGATTGAAGCTATCGGAAGGTTGGGATTAGCATAGATGTAGCTTTCGAGGGGCACAAACAAAATCAAGCGTTTGGCTGCATTGCGTAACCATCCAATAGTAAGCAACTTGAGGTTTCAACGTACATCAATGTACCTTTGACCTTCAATTTGTCCTCAATGTTTCAGAGCCCTTATCTTGAAGCCAAAGAAAATAAATTACCTGTAAAGTTCAATCTTACCTCTCACGTCTCACCGCTTTCACCGCCTTACTGTTTTAGCCACTAATTTCGGTCTCAGGCTGTTGACCACCCTTGTCCCAGTGCTGAAAGAAGATTGATGTACATACGGGATACCGCAATTAGTGATTTTAAACTTGATGTTGACAGTAACTTATATCAACCGAATTTTTAGTATTTGACTGTCAAAGAGGGTCTTCTAGAGCCCCCCTCCCTTTGCAAGGGCCCCAAAGATGAATGAGTAAGCAAGACCCGCGAGCCGGTTCGGTTCCCTGGCGCGCTCCCGCTTGGAAGCGTTAACGTTTACATCATTGTGAGCATCATCCATTTTTGACCTACACTATATAATTGGATAACAAAATACATGTTAGTCAAATTTATCCGATCATACCGGACTTGTGCTTGCCAACAAGCACTTATTTAGGGTTGCTGTAATTGAGCAGCTCGGATACCGTTCCTCGAGCTTTAAAAGACCCTAAGCTAGCCAAACCCACCACTAGCTGTTCTATATTTGAACTTGTGCACAGAGTCCTAAGGGAGAGTCCGTGTTTCCGAGTATGCAGACTTCACGCTGGCTCCCATCTACGAGTAGACCCCAATGATCTTACTAGATACTTTAAGTGGGGGCTCACAGGAGTTCAACGGATGCATCAGGATGATGATGAAGTGGTAGCAACGGCGATCATCCACGGCTCCTCATGGAAAAGAGTATGATGGATAACTGTTAGGGTATTTACATGATCCACTCCAGGATTATTGCGCTAAAAGTTGTATTAAAACCTTGTTCGGTCATTTCCGAACGCACCCTCTTCTTTCCGTACCAATGGCCCTCTCCCCACACCTCTTTGTATCTCCAGCATCACCTTTCTTCTTCTCCTTTCCCCCCCTCCTCTCTGTTCTTATCCCATCCCTCTCTTCTTCACCCCCCATATCGCTCCTTCGAGTGGAATTAGTCGATGGTTTCATTGTCTATTCTATCCTTCCCTCTTATTTCAGTATTTGCTGTCATTCTCTTCGGGGATCAACTCTGAATCCCCGTTTTAGAACTTTGGATTCATCCTGAAGGCAAGCTCGTTTCAACGGCTTTCTTCGCTTAAAGCCCACCCTGGTCCTCCATCGAGGTGCTTTTTGTCGAATTCCCTTTTTTGTCGGCTGCAGTCGTGCTTTCCAGCACAGCTCCATTTCCTCGGTCCTTCCAACTCCTGTTCGAAGCTTCATCCTGCAGCTACGGTATTACTCAATCCAAGCTTGCCTCGAACGTGCAATTGCCTCGACTTTTACTTGTCACCATCCAGTTGCCCCTCATCACCTCTTGGACTTGTAACAAAAAAAAGGGCGATCATCCCACATTGAACTCTGCAGACGTCATTTTTGGAATGCTAGGGTTCGGAGGTCGTCGTTAGTTCCATCTTGCAGGTAAGAGGATCGTGACATTCTCCATGCAGTTGCTTTTGGAAGTTTCACCCGGCCTTGATTGCCCCTGCCACTTTTTGATTGTCATTTTTGAGGTCATTGTCAAGTTTGCTTCTTTCCCCCTGAGATCGAAGCCGCCGTTGAGTCCGCCCTTCCCTCGGGACTTATACGCTCTGACATTGCCTTGTTCCCCTCTTCTTGCCTTGTCTCATTCCTTCTGCTATCCTACGCCCTTACTGATTCACTCTTTGTCACGCTTCTAGGATTAATCACGTATTGAAAAACACAATCCGCACATACAGACCCCTTTTGGTCGGCCTGCGATCCATCTCACTTGGCTCATCTGCCTTTTGGCGCAGTACCAGTCTCTCCTGTCGCCGGATTCACCCCGCCCTACACACATATTACATTCTACAGTAATTGCCAGCTTCTGTCATCTGGGATCATGGATCAACAGAGTCAATCTGGGCCTCAAGGCCCCGGTGGCCGCAAGTTCCATATTGCTCATCGGAGAAGTCCATCTGAGCTCACCCCGTTGATGAGTATGTGATTGCCTTCGTGACCGCCCTCTAGAACACCAAAATCCCATCATCGCAGCTAACTTGAACTTGTCTACAGTGGAACAACTGGCCATCCAACAACAGATCGAGTTGCTCCAGCAGCAGCAACAACAAATTGCCGCAACACACCAACAGTACGTTAGCATGGGGCTGTTGCAGCCCCAGCAACTGGGCCAGGTGCCCTCGTTTCAACCCGGTGCCTCCATGGGCGGTGTCTCCCCACAGCAAGTGAATGCGTTCCAGTTCCCGCAGGGCGGACAGCAGCAGCAGCTTGGAGCAACAATGAACACCCCGAACCAGCATTCGCACCGTCGCAACCAGTCTGCTCTCCCTGTTCTTCCTTTTGGTCCTCCCCCTGCCCCGTCTTCCGGGACATCGGGATACGCCGAATTTAATCAGCAGGGCCAAACCAACAATAACCACAAGAATGAGAACGCCGGCCGGGGTCGTGGAGGTCCTTCTAGCGGTAGTCACCAGCGCCGCCACTCGCTTGCTCTTCCTGAGGCCAAGAAAGCCGCCGAGCTGGCCCAGCAGAAGAGAACAGCTTCGGGATTCCAATTCCCAGCTCCTGCTCCTGGCGCAAGTGGCTCTGATATCCAGTCTTCATCGGATGACAAGCCTGCATCCAGCACTTCTCCGGCACCTCAAGGACCCGCTTTCCAGCGGGCCGGAAACATGCGAGCTGGTGGCCACGGCCGCAGCCAATCGATGGCCATCGGTGGTAACCGGGCTTCCATCTCCGGTCGCGGTGCTGGCGGCTTCCAATTCCCCCAAGCCAGTGAGCCAGCACCCAACCAATCTGATAATCAACGGCGATCCAGCCAGCCTGGCCATGCTCGGTCATCCTCGCGAAACTTTGAGGGCAACTGGCGCCAGCCCAACAACCAAAACCAGAGCCAGGATCAGCAGAGGCCCGTCGGTCAGCAGGGTGGATTCCAGCCCGGCCACCGCTCGCGCGGCTCCTTGAACCAGTCCATGGGCTCTATTGGTCAATTCCAGTATAGCGGTCAGCCTCAGCTTATCCAACTTCCCCAAGGCCAAGTTATGATGGCCCCTCAAATGTTCAGTAGTCAGCAACTGAACCCCCTCCAGCTGGCTCAGCTCCAAGCGCTTCAGCAGCAGAACGCCCAGGGTATGGGTGGTCTTCAGGCGAGCCAGCATGCCCCGCCCCAAATGTCTGTTCAACAGCAGCAACAGCAGCGGAAGACCCTTTTCACTCCCTACCTTCCCCAGGCAAATCTGCCCGCACTCCTTAGCAATGGACAGTTGGTCGCTGGTGTTTTGCGTGTCAACAAAAAGAACCGTTCCGATGCTTATGTGACCACTGATGATCTGGATGCCGACATCTTCATTTGCGGTAGCAAAGATCGGAACCGCGCCCTTGAGGGTGACTATGTGGCAATTGAGCTTCTTGATGTCGACGAAGTGTGGGGTCAGAAGAAAGAAAAGGAGGAAAAGAAGAAACGCAAGGATATCACTGATGCCCGCTCTAACAGTAATGCTGGAAATGACAAGCTTGGTCGCTCCGATTCCACTGGTGATAGACAGGAAGTTGGCCCGGATGGAAGCATCCGTCGACGTGGTAGTCTTCGCCAGCGCCCTACGCAGAAGAAGAACGACGATGTCGAGGTCGAGGGCCAGAGCCTTCTTCTGTGCGAGGAGGACGAGATCAGCGACGAGCAGAAGCCTTTGTACGCCGGCCATGTTGTGGCGGTCATTGAGCGTGTTGCGGGTCAGATGTTTTCAGGAACCCTGGGTCTCTTGCGTCCCAGCAGTCAGGCCACGAAGGAAAAGCAGGAGGCCGAGCGGCAAGCCAGAGATGGCGCCCACGGCCGTTCGCAGAATGACCGTCACCAGGACAAGCCGAAAATTGTCTGGTTCAAGCCTACTGATAAGCGTGTTCCACTTATTGCCATCCCCACAGAGCAGGCACCTCGGGACTTCGTTGAGAAGCACCAAGACTACGCCAACCGAATCTTTGTTGCTTCTATCAAAAGGTGGCCTATCACCTCTCTGCACCCCTTTGGCACTCTCGTTGAGCAGCTTGGAGAGATGGGTGATTTGCGGGTTGAGACAGATGCCCTGCTCCGCGACAACAACTTCGGTTCGGATGACTTCTCAGATGCTGTGCTGAAGAGCATCGGCTGGGAGGATTGGTCCATCTCTAGCGAGGGAGATGCCCTGACTTCACGACGTGACTTCCGTGAAGAGACCATCTTTACGATTGACCCCGCCGACAGCAAGTCCCTCGAGGATGCGTTCCATGTGAAGAGGCTTGCCGATGGCAAGGTTGAGATCGGTGTTCACGTGGCCGATATTGCTCACTTCGTCAAGGGTAACTCTCTAGTAGATCGTGAGGCCAAGAAGCGTGGTACTGCAGTCTACTTGGTCGATCGAATCATGAACATGTTGCCCACCCGTGTTTCCACGGAGCTTTGTTCCCTCGTTCCTGGCGAAGATCGCCTCACAGTCAGTGTAGTCTTCAAGGCCAACCCCACCACTGGTGTGGTGGATGAAGATGTCTGGATTGGCAAAGGTGTCATCAAGAGCGCTGGCCGTCTTGACTACGACCAGGTCAACGCACTTGTTGAGGGCAAGCCCGATGTTAACACCAGTGGCATCTCTGCCGACAGCATCCACTTGTTGCACGTAAGTTTATTCTGATCCTACCACTCGGGGTTTTCCCCCATGCTAACAAAAACAATCAGAATACTGCTGGCAAATTCCGTGAAGCCCGTTTCGGTAACCGCGTGTCAAACGTACCTGTGCAGCGTCTGCTTCAGCAGCTTGATGACGAGAATGTGCCAGTTGAATACAACATCTTTGAGTCAACCCCGGCACATGAACTTGTTGAGGAGCTTAGCCACCAGGCCAATTTCTTCGTTGCTCGCAAGCTTGTGAGCGCTATGCCGGACAGAGCTTTCTTACGTCGTCAGTTTTCGCCCAACTCTCGTCGTCTTACTTCGTTTGTTGAGCGCATGAACCGCCTTGGCTTTGAAATGGACTCAAGCAGCAGTGGCAGCCTCCAAAGCTCTCTCTGCAAAGTTCAAGATGTGGATCTCCGCAAGGTAAGTGTCTTTCCTGTTCTCGCTAGTGTAATTGATTGTATTAACGCAAGATGTAGGGTATGGAGACTCTCATTGCCAAGGCCATGCAGCGTGCCAAGTACTATGTCAGCAGTGGTGCTCCCGATGAGATGCGCCAGCACTACATGCTCAATGTGCCAGTTTACACGCATTTCACTAACCCCTCTCGGCGCTATGCCGACATCCTTGTGCACCGTCAACTCGAGGCTGTGCTCTCCGAGGGTGCCGTGGAGTTCAATGATGATATCGAGTCGCTGAACAAGACTGCCGATCTTTGCAACAACAAAAAGGACTCAGCTCTCAACGCCCAAGAGCAAAGTGTGCACATTGAGGCGTGCCGTAAAATGGACCGAAAGAGTCGCGAGATTGGCGGTGATCTCATCAGCGAGGGCATTGTACTCTGCGTCTACGAGTCCGCGTTTGATGTCCTCATTCCGGAATTCGGCTTTGAGAAGCGTGTGCACTGTGACCAGCTGCCGCTCAAGAAGGCTGAATACCGCAAGGACAGTCGTGTACTTGAGCTGTACTGGGAGAAGGGTGTTCCCTCATCCGCTTACATCCCTGAAGACGAGCGTCCTAAGCCCGGTAACTCCCGTGCTGCTCAAGCCGCTGCTGCTGCCCGTGAGGCCGAAGCTGCCAGAGAGCGTGCCAGAGAGCGTGACGAAGCCATGCGTAAACAAACTGAGACCGGCACAATGTCTGCCGACGATGTTGATGCTCTTTTCGACGATGATGAAGATGTGGATGATGTCACTGAAATGGCAGCTGGTGTGTCGCTCAACGCCACCGACCGCTCGACTCAGAGCATGCCGCCCTCGCCTACACGCAACGGTCACCACCAGCAGGGGCCTCACCGTACTCGTTCGGATCCCAAGATTGCCTCCAGCACTGCCGATGCACCTGAGAACAAATTGACCAACAAGGAGAAGTACTTGAACCTGTTCAAGTTGCGTGAGGTGGATGGAGAGTTCATCCAAGATGTCACAGAGATGACCCGTGTTCCCATCATCCTGAAGACTGACCTGAGCAAGAGTCCTCCGTATGTATTCCCAGTCAGCTTTCTTTTTTAGCATGAGAGTTCCCAAACTAACTGCAATTTCCGTTCCAGATGCCTCACTGTTCGGTCTGTCAACCCCTACGCGCTGTAGTGGTCTGAAACGCAGCTATGTTTTTTTCATGGGATATATTTTCTTGCCTGTCGCCCTACAGATCCTTCGCTCAAGCGGAGCATGCTGTGTCTCGTGCACGCCTACGGACATAATCCAATCCCGACGTGGGTCGAACATATCGTTATCGGCATTTTTCCTTGGTTACGCTTTTTCTCGGTGGCTTGATTCTATCCCAAATTCTACCCATCATGTTTCCAACGTGTCCAGGGATCACTATACTTATCCTGTTATATGTGTAAAGCGGTTGTATGTCTTTTTTTTTTGAGCATTTTAGTTGAAACCTGGGCAAATCTCTTAGTGTCCGAGTTTGCCTGGTTTTCTTTGTTCTCGTTCTCTGAGAATGATTGGAAACTTGGCGGGAAGGACATTGCAGCTCGATAGCCCCAGAAATCCTTCCATTAATCTATGGTGTTACAAACTTACACACATCTTCCAGTGCTTCAGCATGTGTACAACTAGTCTATTTGGTCATAAGATCAAGAGGGCATCATGAGATTGCTACAGTGCAAGTTGGACATAGAATGTAGAAGTCATGAGGTTGCACTATATTGTTGACATTATCGACTCCGTCACCTCGGTGTTGCTCAACTCTTTTTCTAGGGGTTGAAGCCGATCACAGTGCTCGTGGAGAAGATGACTGAGGAGCACAGCTCATGACTGCTTCCTTTGAGGGTTGAAGGAAGTCATGACTTTCAAGAACTTTATGTAATTTGTTATGAATTCTTAAACTCCTGAACCAAAAGATCAAACAATAATAGTGTCCAAGCCAATGCAAATTGCAGCCCCAGGGTCACCTTGCTCGGCCTGGTCATGTTGCCAATGCAATGTGATAGAACTAGCTCCATAATTTCTCCTCGCTCCTCGCTCCATGCAGTTTGTAAGTCCGGTTGAATTTAACAGGGTATCAAGAAATGTCGCTAACGGGGGTAGGGGAAGTGAAATAGGAGTAGATAGACGGAGAGCAAAAGCCAAACGAAGAAACCAGCTCGAACCAAATCAAAAGGGAGGTTGTTCCCAACTGTTGAGTTAGATCTGTAAACGCTCAAAATCACGTCAAAAGTTCTAGATGAATGGGCAGATTTCTCATAGCCGGCGAATACCGATGCGCGGCTTTGCTCGGACGGCAAGGCGCTTGTGCAGGCCATTCATGGCTTTCTTCTTGGGAATTCTAGAATCGGAAGAGCCTGAGAGAGATGGCGTAGGTAGTGACGGAGTGGGCAGTTGAGCATGCGCTGGAGAAAGGGGAGTAGAGCCATTGAGCGTCTTCATGGGGTGGTATTCGTGCTTCTCTTTCAAGCCACGTGCGGTTGCAGATCTGCAGTTCTCTTTGCCATCTCCGCTCAGCCGACGAAGGGGTTCTGTCGTGGCCAGCTGGGGCGAGTCTTCGAATATTGGCATCTCATCGCGAAGACGGCCGGAGGCATTGATTCCACCGCATAGTAGGGAGAGCTTGGGCGTTTTCCGTAGTGGCGATGATGTACGAGAACGTAAGTTTGCGGTGATATTTCGCTCGTTGGAGGTTATGGCAGGGGTATCGTTGTCGTTGTCGGAGTCGATGAGCATCATGTCTGCTTCGCTGTCTTCCGAGTAAGGTATTGAGAGGACGGAAAGGGGGCGTTTCCCCAAGGCAGTCTTCCGGGGACTTGGGGGCGCGAGGTGAACAGGGGGTGGGGAAAGAGTCGGATTGTTTTCTTTGCTTGCGCTAGCGGGGTCGTCGCTTTCGCTGTCATCATCGTCTGCCATGGGCGGGGAAGGTTGGGTGAAAGGATTTGAAGAGGACTGTAAAGGATAAGGGGACTGTGATGGGATTTCAATTGCAGTGGTGCTGCGGGTGGTTTTCTTAGTAGTTGCGGCGCGGGTGCGGGCTTGTTTCCGCGGGCGTTGAACGACTGCGTCTTCTTCTTTATCCTCGAGGGTGGTCCCTGCATCCTCGCCACGGAGCTTTGCTTCGGTGACTGCATCTTTAAGGTTTGGCGGTATCGGCGCGTGAATTGAGGTCATGAGCTTGGCTTGGTGGGCGAAAGCGGCATAGTTCTCTTGCATGAGAGCGCCTGCGGAAGCGTTGAGGGCAGAGTCAGGGTTGGGGTAGATGAGCAGGCATGAGATTGTCTGAACAGAAACAAGTGATCTTGTTAGTTGTCTGTTGATGCTCAATCTGCTAGTACGATCCAACCTACCACCAATACATCGCGGAGGGTTAGATTGGGCTGCCAATCCCGCTTGAGTGTGTCCACACAGACAGCTCCGGTGAGTTCCTCCATATTCGGATGCCATATCTTCGTCTTGAAAGTAGCCTTCGGGGGGCTCTTAGGATAGTCATCAGGCATCTTAAGATGAAGCTCCCATAATCCTTGTGAGAAAGGTGTGCCCGCCGGGCCCGTGAGGAGGATTGTCAGCTGTGACAAGTCGTCGCCATCCGACGGCTGCAAGTAATACGGCGGAAGATCGCGGTGTAAGGCAGCGTGGTCGGCAGCTAGCCGGCGCAAATTGGACGGCTAGATATCCATGTCAGATATAGAGCACGAGCATATACTGGTTGCTGGGGAACCAGTGTATGTCAATGGCTGGAACAGGGATGACTTACCATGCTGAAGTTTTGGCTGATATGTAGGGTAGGGTATTTAAAAATTTGATACAAGGTAAACCAAGTTCGAGAACAATGCAAATTCAGAAAGAGATTCTGGACCAGTCAAAGCAAATCACAATCACAATCACAATCACAATCACAATGATAAGAGATGGTTACTTCGTCGACGGTTTGTTTGGGGTGGAGGTCACCCTAACCTTTTTGGTAGCGCGTCAGTCACGTGCTTCTCGACGCGTCATGTGCGCGTAACTAATCTTGCCTCTTTGGGATTGCCCCACGTTTCACCACGTCCTTGCTAGAACCCTTGCTACCCGATGAGACATATATCACAATAAGCTAGCGATGAGGAGAGGGCTAATGGAATGAATTCTCCTCGTTTGGAGAAAAAGAAACCCCCGACCACCTATCTTTTACCATTCATATGTCAGGCTTACGGGAAGAAGAAGAAGGTCCAGATGTCTTCATAGACAGCGAAAGGAAAGCAAGGGAAACGGAACGCCGAAAGATCAGGCGCTAATGGGGCTATCCATGCTATTCAAAGAACCTTCACTGGGCACAATATGATCTACAAGGGATCTCAATCCAAAAATTGGCTCCATTGGACATCTTTCTGTCTATCAAAGTAAAACACCACCAATCAACTCACTGGAGTACGGAGTATATATAGATAATGCGCTACAGTTTCTGGCTTCCTTTCAAGTACTCCCACAACAGCCCACATGCTGTACTGCCATTTACAGCCACATAAGCTCGGCTGGCAGATTTGGCGCAAAGCAATGGGTATCTCAAATCCAAACAGGCAATCAAGCAAAACAGGTTGGTCAACGTCCCTCCAACTGCAATGATAAAATACATAGGGCCCATGCCCCCAGAAATGCCTGCCCCACCAAGCAACGCCACCATCACTAGTGAGAGAATCGACAACGTGAGAATGTGGTGCCATGAGAATTGGCCAACCTAAAGTTAGGCCGAGAAACACACTGCGGAAAGTCGGTGAACCGTTTGCAGAACGGATAAATGCCAGCCAGCAGCATGATGATCCTCGCATCAACAAGTGGCTCTGGTAGCAGAGAGAACAGCAGGCTCCATTTGACCAAGAGCAGCGCAGCTGTAAGCAAGCATCCCTGGGTGGTTGTCACAGTACCTCGAGCTATTGGTCTCTGTTGGCATCTTGCGACCTGCCGGTCGAGATCCTGATCGACAATATCATTCCAAACGCATCCAACGCTGCGCGAGACAACGCTGCTTATAGTGAAAAGCGATACGCGAAACAGAAGCGCCGAGGCTGGCAGTTGTCTAGGCGAGAGGGAGGCAGCATAGGCGACGCCGACAGGGCAAGGAAGGACAATATACGATGGACAATCCGGTTGGTTTATGGAGCCGCATCAGCTGGGCATATGGTATCCGGGAGGCAGGCAAACAAGAGATAACACCGTGTTTTGGGAGGTTGTAGGTGAGAGGTTGCCTCATATCACCCTTGTCCGTTGGATCAGTGTTGATGACAGGAGTAGCGCTCATTTTTCAATATTATTGAATGGAAGATTCAGGGATGACTCGGATGGGAGTGGCTACCTGAACACCTTTCCAGTGCACAGTGTCGCCACAAAAGAACCTCAGGAGGTACGGCCCTACTGTCTGGTTTGAGCTAGGGCGAGAACTTTCGCCTTAGAAACCGCCTCTCCTTTTCTACTCGTCATCGGACGGGCCTCAAGCGGCCTCGAGAAGGTCGGTGGCTACATCGTGGTAGCTGAGGATGGGTATCCATGAGCTCTATAAACCCCAACAAGGCGAGTCCTGATGAAGCCGACTCCTAGGACACTCTGAACAGCTTCGTTGCATTAGTCCGATGGCTAATCTCTTCGCTGTATTCATTCCGATCATCAGATGGGACCTTCCATCCAATTCAAAAGCCAGGTCACTCGAGCGACGGTGGATCGACGACTGCGGGCCTCTTCATGCACTCCTAACAGGTCATTTACATTTCGAGATGGCGACAGGAAACTCAGACAAGTTGCTAGAGCCGCAGCATATCCCACGGAGGTTGCAGCACCGTGGGCCACATGGGGCGTCGAATGCGCCGAGTCACCACGCAGAACCAGAAATGTCATTCGTATAGGCCCCTCACTGCATCGAGGGGACGACTATACAGTTTCCACGCAGAAAATCCTCAATGATGTCCATGAGTACCTGTTTTCCGAAGCTTGGCGCGCGAAAAGGCCTCGGTATACGCTGTCGTCCGTTGGGGTTGAGTTTATCATATCCTGGGAGACACCATCTTTGAGCTGGCTTCACATCTCATCGGTTGCGACAATAAGGTCTCCGCTGCGTGTACGATCATCCTGAAGAAAGGAATGGTTCTGCCCATGCACATATTCATAAGCCGTTACTTCAAATTTCACGATCACTCGAATGTCGAGCTTGATGGCGCAATTAATTGCATACGTTGCATGACAGCGCCGTGGATCAGGTAATACTTTGAGCCATGGGTATTCAGCATAGAATCGATCTTGTTGAGGGCCGCTTCGGATGGAGCTGGCTATCCTGCCATCGTCATGAGATCTTCGGTTAGTCTAGAGCTGGCAGCCCAAAGCCTCGAGCTTGGGCCAAGTCCATATTTCGTCATTGGTCGTAAAGAATTCAGTGTGATTTGAAGTTCAGCTCTAACATCTTGTATTTGCATGGCTACTTCGAAAACTAGCCACAGTGTGTCCATTGAGAGCGAGAGCAGTAGCAGCTGCCAGGCTAAGATCATATTGAAACTAGAACGGAAACCCCGTGCCCGTTACTTCCTCTTTCAGCCGCAACAATTTGCAAAGGTCATTGCGTATCATTGCAGGAATCTGGGGACTGGGGACTGGGTACGGGGGAGGTGTGGTGCAATGTGCGGAGTAGACCAGATCCAAATTCACCCACTGATCAACGTGACTGACTGTGGATGTACTACATATGTACGTACTACTATTGCAGGATATGCATCATAACCCATGCCAACCGCCCCCTTGCAAGACTTGGGATATAATTTTTTTTTCTGTAAATTAGAGCCAGCAAGCCGTTATCGATCAGAAATATTAAAATATCCCTACGGTATTGCAGAAAGGTTACGATTTTAAGCTCGATACAAAGCATTGAATGGAAACTCATATTTACCCAGCGAAGGATCAAGGTAAGAATAAAGATAGAAGAGAAGAAGTTGGAAACAGGTGCGCCGTGGCTATGCGCCTCCGGGTACAACGCAGTGAAGCACGAGTCCTGCCCAATGAAGTATTACAAATTCCATAAAAGCCCAGGGGGAAAAATAACAAATCCCCTTAAAAAAAAACCTCGACGTTCGCATGTTCATGTTCCTTCATTTGCGTTGATCCAGATACTGGATCAACGTAACCGATCAACCATAACCAACCCCTTGCCGCTGAAATGAGACCAAAGTGGACATCATAGCACAATTAAATGCAGTGAATGGTCAATGACCGATCGGCGACGCACATTTTAGCTTACAGGAAAGCAACGAGAGCAGCACCGGCAACCATGCCGAGACCGACGGGGCCAGCAGTGGCGATAGCAGCACCACCCTTGGAGGTGGAGCTGGAAGCAGAAGTAGACGCGCTGGATCCAGAGCCAGAGCTGGACGAAGAGTTTGAAAAGTCCGAAGCGGAACTGGTGCTAGTGGAGGAGCCAGTGACAGTGCTGCTAGAGGAGTCCGAGGTCTCGGTACTAGTAGCAGAGGAGCTGGCGTCGGTACTGGCGCCAGTGTCAGTGCCAGTGCCAGTGCCAGTGCCAGTGCCAGTGAGGCTAGAGGCAGTGGAAAAAGTGGTGTGAGTGGCACCGGGGCCGGCGACGGGCGAGGTCAGACCAGCGGGGATGGAGGCGGCAGGCTGCTGCGAGGTCACGGCAGCTGCCTGGCTCGTGACAACAGTGGGCTGGGTAGTGACGGCTACAGGTTGGCCAGTCACGACGCCGAGGGAGTTTGTCTGGGTCAGGTACTGCGTAGCAGGGTTGTCAACGGTCTGTTGGATAGGTCAGCTTATGTGATTCTTGTGACATTGTGTGATGTTTTGGCTCTGGCTACCTCGATGGAGACGCTGCTCTGGGCATTGGCCAGGGCGATGGCCGAGAGAGTGAAGACAATAGAGAAACGCATGTTGAGTGAAGATTATTGGTGGTTGGATCGTTGTGGGAAATATGGAGAGTAGAGAGAGAAATAAAAAGTACTCTGAGCAAATGGCTGGGGTGGGTGGGATGGGTGGGATTATAAGGCTGTGGTTGTCCAGGGAAACAAGTCTCATGTTGTCTATTATTTACAAAGTACTTCGTACACAACGTTCGACCGAGTGGCTTTGCCAATAGATACCTGTTCCAGTCAGCGATCAGAGTCTGGATCTAACGCAATGTGGGATCTGCAAGGTCTTGCAGTTCTATTTTGGTCGATTTCTGGGGTCACACCAACCCTCTAAGCCCCATGGATTTGATGTTATTCGCATAGATTCACCTCTTCAATACTCCATGGCAGATACGTTTACTCCGTACTGACTCACGAAATACCCTAACGTATCCCTCCTTCCAAATCCGAGAGAAAGTTGGAATAGTTGGCAGGCTCAACATGGTGGCAATAAATGCCAGACACTAGCTAATTTAGCCGCATCTGACCACCCGGTAAGCAATCACAAATCTGGCACTTTTTTTCTCTTGGAACAACTCCGTACGATTTCTCTCAATCCCCGAGATGATTCACTTGAAAGTTCACCTACCCTGGTTTGGTGGGACATGGACCGCGTGGCGGCATACGAATCCCTTTTGATACCATCCAGTTCTCTGTACGGAGTATTTTCTCCCGACTCGGTCCACACGTAATCAACGCTTTTCCCGGGGCCTCAGATGGCGCGATCTTACGTGTGGGACTCGGAAAGTTGAACTATCAAGTGAGACATCAGTTTGTTCGGTCCTCAAATCCAGGTTTACTGAGATCAACTTCGACCTCTTCTCTTCGACTACAGTACTTTGCATTATATAGCTTCCGTTGTACTCCGTATAAATATGATGTAAGGATAGAGCCAATTGAACCCCATACAACATAACCAATGTTATAGAGTCAACCCTACGGCATACTCCACAAATTGCCTTTGGGCGCTTTGGGCACCATAACCCCAACCCGTACGGAGTAGACTCCGATCAGATGGGTCGATTTGAGACAACGGTTAACTTCAGTAGGGACCTCTATTTTTATCTTTCCTGTTTCCAGTGTCGCTACTTCCAATGAAAAATAAAATCAACCAAAACCACAATCAACCAAAATCAACCACAATCAACCACAATCAACCACAATCAACCACAATCAACCACAATCAACCACAATCAACCACAATCAACCAAAATCAACCACAACTTATTTCAAAGCGGGCAAAGAGGGTCACCATACGGAGTGCTCATTCCGTGCACCTTGGGGTTTTAAGCTTGATCTCAGAACACTGCAGACGGTTACTTGTGACCAGCTGGGTCATACTAGTGACGTGCATTTGGTGTAATAAGGTCATATAGCCACATGATAGATGCCATACAACAGGACTACATGTACCTGCTATTCATCTGGGTCTTGACTTGCCTTCTCCGCATCATCAGATACAAAATTACGATGCCAATGTGTGATTCCCTGTGAGCACTCTCCGACTCTAGAATCGGCTTGCCGTTTGCTACCAGGCGACAAATAATCCCCCCTTGCGTATTGCCCTAGTCACAATAATTGGGCGTCATGCTTTCACTGGCCTAGACTATCCGCCGTCCTGCAGCGGTGTGGCGCAGGAATGCAAATTGCGCCTAAAAGTGTCAATATCTGGCTGTGATTCCGCTTCTTCAGGTCACAAGCAGGCGGGCAGATGTACTAGTAGGATGTCTGTGCAACCTCTCGGTCGCCCCAAGAGTACAGCTCAAGATGGGAGTTTGCCACCCCTGCATCACCGGCACATCCCGTAAGTTATACTCTTAAGAACAGGACCAGGCTATGAGTTTCGGTCAGGTAGACATCGTAATCAGTAATGAACGAAGAATCTCAATTGCACACTAAACTCCCTCACCGCAATGCACATTAGATTATACAGCCCCCCCCCCTATACTGCAGCATATATTCTCAAAATTCAACATTCGACCGTCACTTCTTGATCGTCACATCTTGACCACGGACCCAGTTGGCAAATTCCTTTCGCTTGGCCTGTATTTGCCAAATGTTAGCTTCGAAATTCCTAACCCAAAACAGTGCCTGATATTCAGCAATAAGTGCAGATCTTTGATAAATCCATATTCAAATGTAATTTCCGCAAGACAGGCATCAAAGGAGATACACGACTAAAAACTCACCCGGATATCCCAGAATCCATAACGCTCCTCCAGACTCAGGTACGGGTTGCGTGCTCCACCGTCCCGTTCAATCTCGCCCGCCCATTCACGCCAGCTAATCGGCTTCAACTTCTGCGCGCTCAAGACCAGTCCGATTGAAACAATGAATACAGAAACAAGGGTTTCGATGATAATGTCTTGTGGAAGGGCGGTGGATGAGAGGTTGCTGTAAAGGACAGTGTGTTCGTGGGCCGAGTAGCCTCTGTAGAACAGGTCGTTAGCTTTGTAAAAAAAAACCCCAAAAACAAGAGCAGAGAAATTTAGGGAGCGGATAGGGTTGGAGAACTTACGCGTGAACTATCAGGACGAGACCGAAGAAAGTGACCACTCGGGAAAGGAAGCTCATGATGGGTGCTGAGGGTTGCGGGTTAGGGTTCGATGGTTGGATCCGGTCGCTGCGGGGTATTCTTATCAATGAGGAATTTCTCAATGAGTCCCACTGGGTTATTTTGGGGTCGAGGTGAAGCCTGGAGTCCTTGGTTGTAGACGGCGCTGTGATGCCACTTGATGCATTGGCGGGAAATTCGTGGAAGCATCCCGCGGTTTACCTAATCAACTTTTGACTGGCTCGGATTTCACAACATCTCTTGCAGTTGTGCATACTGAGATTGAAGTTGATACCTGGTTCTGTCTTTGCGGGGTATTCTCTAAATTTTAAAGGGGGCATCCCCCCTGTCTACTTATACAGTGAGCCTTTTGTCTTCATTCCTTGCCACCTCAACCCCGACCCTGGGCCTAGGTACACACCTACAAACCCATCATCAAGTCAATTGATGAAATAGCACGGTGTATTTGGCTGAATGCCAGGGCTGTTTCATCCGTATACTTCATTTCGGTGAATTCTGCGACGCCAAGGGGCAACCCACAATAGATCGCCCCCTGCGCGAGGGTAACACTGTTCGACTCTGCTGTCTAACCCCGATCTTCGTCAACAACCTCCACTATAGCCAACAACTTTGCTTTTTCTGCAAGCGCCATCAACTTCGGCGGATACAGATGCATGGATAGCTTGTGGCAGTCACACCGATGGAAAATATAGTTCAAGAAAGAGAGGGGAAACACATAGTTTGATAGGATTTGCTAGCCGATCTGGAACGAGGAAGATCAAGATCGAAGCACTCTGAATTACCCGGTCTATGCTATATACGGGGTCTTAATCCATGGAATGAGCCGTGAGACAGAAACATAAAGAGCAGGCTCCCGCGGACATTTGCGGTAATTTCTTTCCTGACAGCAATCAAATTCCGGCACTGACACTTCTCGAAGTCATCTTATACCATAATCATGTCCCTTGGGCCTCTCGACATGGCGCAATCGCAAAGCGACACATATCTACCTTCTTCTCATTTTTTCGACGGTCAAGCCACAGAGCCTAGACCTCGATACAAAGACCCTCCTAATACCCCAAACCCTCTGGTTATACAGTCGATCACACCCGATGCTGATCAGCTAGAGCGACTTCTTATCAAGCTTATCAGCATACATCCTTTCGGTCCCTCTTTTTCTCTACGGTCGACACCAAAAAACACATCCGATGACCAGGTTCCTTGGACCAAAGAATGATTTTCTGATATTCTGGCTGACAATTGGTAAAATAGGGCAAGGGAGGGTCGAGAACTAGGTTAAAATCAAAAACATTTCAATGCCAAAACTACGTACGAACTCTGAACATTATCAAGGGATTCTGTTCCGCAGGCATTTCCAAAATCTATTCGGAATATATCGTGGGAGGGATAGAAAATTTAATTTCTAGCGATTGCCCGCACAGCAGGGTAGCCTACATTTGTTCAAATGGGCCTTCAATGACTTGACCATAGAAATTCACATTGGTCGATGCAGAATATAAAACTCATTATACATGCACATACATGGAGGTGGAACTGGATCTGGAGTATCGGGGGTTGATGAGCCATTTCCGTAAAGTGACCAAATCGCAGTCATCCACAAGAAATAATGACGAGACAGCGACGTCAACAGAAACAAAGATTCAGCAACTCGCCCAGGTAAGATTGATTGCCTACAAACATGGATTGCCCAGATGCCGACATCTGCCTTGAAAACCAAGCTAAGCAACTCTGTTGCACCACCCCTAAATTGAGTGGTCGGTCGATGGCCTAGAGAGGGACACAGATCGCTTAATCAGAACATTGAACAATTGCCCGACACATGGACAATTTACAGTGGAGATGCAAATGGTCATGAATTTTTTTTAATTTTCATCAATGACCGGTCACTACTGGACCAGCTTTCTAGTTGGACTAGGTTCGTAAAGGATTCCTTTGACATCACGCATTTCCATCACACAATTCCGGCTTCATAAATGGGCATCGCAAATTTACAGCTTCTGCATGGCAGCGATATCAGTGGACTGGACGTGGTCCTCATCCTCCTCGATCTTCTGCTGGAGCTCATCGGTGGAGACCTTCTCGTCCTCAACGACGAGGTTGATCTGGAGCTTCTTGATACCGAAGCCGACGGGAACCCACTTGGAGGCACCCCAGACGAGACCTTCCCACTCAATGGCACGGACGTTGGCCTCGAGCTCCTCAAGGACAGTCTCATCATCTGGAAATATTAATTAGCATTTGAAATGAAAGAGAAACCGAGAGATACATACCCCAAGGCTTAACCTCCAGGGTGACAAGGGACTTGGCAGCGGGCTTGACCTTGCCAGCCTTCTTAGCCTTGTACTCTTCGAGACGCTTGTTGCGCTCAGCAACGACCTCGGGGTCCTCCTCCTCAGAGTCGGAACCGAAGAGGTCCTCCTCATCCTCATCCTCCTCGGGCTTGTCCTTAGGGTTGGAGGGAAGCTCGACGGTCTCGGGACCGTAGGCGGTGAAAGCCGCGGAAGAGTCACCGGGGAGAGCAGAGAATTCGCTCTCGTGAGAAGCGATGTGCTTGTACCAGCGGGCAACGTGGGGGTACTTGGCAGCGTCAAAGGCGGCGCTGAAGGCCTTGAAGGTCACGACATCGGCCTGGCTGGGCGAGTGGCTGTTGAACAGAGTCAGCAATAATGTTAAAATCAGACCAAGTGATTCAACAAAATGATATAGTGAAGCAAAGTCAGAGGTGCGATTGCTCGCGATTGGTTGTAGTCATCCAGCGGGGTCTTAATCCGCCTCCTAAACACGGACCAATGTTTCTCATCATAAAAGCATTCAAAAAGGGAAAGAGAATAGAGGAAAGGCAATTAGACAAGGGGAGGATTCATACCCAACAATGTAGGACCGAGTGGAGAGGAAGTGGTCGGCCACTGAGGGGCACAGTCAGTCACCAATTGATTCGAAATAACAAAATCTCAGGGGCGCCTACGAGTCAGGCCGGCATCAGAGACAAAGTCGGTGAAACCCATTGTGAAAGAGAGGTGTGTTGGTATCTGGAAGGAGAAGAAAAAAAGGAGAAGAAAGTAGATGAAAGAGGGGTTAAAAAGGGAGGATTTTTTTTGTTGCGGAAAATCTCAATGAAGTCACGGAAAAACGTGGAACCTAGCTTGGTCATGTGACTGACTGGTGACGGAGCTTCAGCTCTCTCCACCACTCAGCGTTCGCTATGTGGATCTTTCGAGAAGCCTCCCGAGGGTCCTTGGTTGCCAGTATTTAAGCTATACCAGTGACATCTCAGATCTCGAGCTATTCCAAGGCATTCTTCTCCTCCAGGGTCGGAAGACATTATACACACAATGGCGGCGAGATTATCCCTCAATGCCCGCAGTCGGCTTCTGCGAACGCCTCACGTATTCCCGACCCGTCTTCTATTCCCGACACTGAGATCAAGCACACTGCCCTGCGCCTCTATCATTCAACTGCCCGTCAACCCTAACCCGGTATCTGTCCGCCACTATGCCAAGGGGGGTCGTCCACACCCCCCAGGCGGTACCCACCGCATGGATATGAGTGGAGAGGACGAGAAACCAGCACTCGAAAAGTATGGTGTCGAGCTTACGGAGAAAGCTAAAGCTGGGAAGCTAGATCCAGTCATTGGGCGAGATGCTGAGATTCATCGGACCATTCAAATTCTATCCCGGCGAACTAAGAACAATCCCGTGCTGATCGGTGCTGCTGGAACCGGCAAGACCGCCGTTCTCGAAGGTCTGGCTCAGCGTATCGTACAAGGAGATGTCCCGGAGAGCATTAAAGACAAACGGGTTGTTTCGTTGGACCTGGGCTCTTTGATTGCGGGAGCCAAGTTCCGGGGTGACTTCGAGGAGCGTCTGAAAGCTGTCCTAAAGGAAGTGGAGGATGCGCAAGGCGGGGTGATCCTCTTCATTGACGAGCTCCACACTTTGCTAGGACTCGGCAAGGCTGAGGGAAGTATTGATGCTAGCAATCTGCTCAAGCCTGCCTTGTCACGAGGCGAGCTTCAATGCTGTGGTGCTACTACTCTCAACGAATATCGATTAATTGAAAAAGATGTGGCTCTTGCCCGACGGTTCCAACCTATTCTAGTAAGTGAGCCATCGGTCGCCTCGACTATATCAATTTTGCGGGGCATCAAGAACAAATACGAAGTACACCATGGTGTCAGAATTACAGATGGCGCTTTAGTAGCTGCAGCCACTTACAGCAATCGCTATATCACCGATCGATTCCTGCCCGACAAAGCGATTGATCTTGTCGATGAAGCTGCATCGGCTCTTCGATTGCAGCAGGAATCAAAGCCTGACTCAATTCGGGAACTAGAGCGTGACATCACTACCATCCAGATTGAGCTTGAGTCTCTTCGCAAGGAAACGGATGTTGCAAGCCGCGAACGGCGAGAGAAGCTTCAGGAAGACCTGAAGATCAAGCAAACGGAGGCTGGTAAATTGACCGAGGCCTGGGAGAAGGAGAAGGCTGAAATTGATACTATAAAACGCACCAAGGAGGATCTGGAACGCGCTCGATTTGAACTTGAACACGCTCAACGCGAAGGAAACTTTGCCAAGGCTGGAGAGTTGAGATACTCTACTATCCCGGACCTTGAATCCAAATTACCCAAAGAAGGCGTTGAACAGGATCCTCAAAATCAAGCTTTGATTCACGACTCAGTTACTGCAGATGACATTGGAAACGTTGTTTCTCGGACCACAGGCATCCCCGTCAACAAGCTCATGGCTGGAGACGTGGAGAAACTGATTCGAATGGAGGACACTCTCCGAAAATCAGTCCGTGGGCAAGACGAAGCACTTTCTGCTGTGGCAAACGCTGTGCGGATGCAGAGAGCCGGTCTTAGTGGAGAAAATCGCCCTATGGCCTCTTTCATGTTCCTTGGCCCCACCGGTGTTGGAAAGACCGAGCTCTGCAAGAAGATGGCTGAGTTCCTTTTCTCCACTGAAAGTGCTGTTTTACGGTTTGACATGAGTGAATTCCAAGAGAAACACACAATCAGTCGTCTCATCGGTTCCCCTGCCGGGTATGTCGGATATGATGATGCTGGCCAACTCACCGAGGCTGTCAGACGGAAGCCTTACGCTGTTCTGTTGTTTGATGAATTTGAGAAGGCGCATCGTGACATTTCAGCGCTACTGTTGCAGGTCCTCGATGAGGGCTTCCTGACAGATGCACAAGGCCACAAGGTCGATTTTAGAAACACCCTGATTGTTTTGACCTCCAATCTTGGAGCTAGTATCCTGGTCGGAGCAGACCCCTTGCACCCAATCAAAGACTCCGGTGATGCTGAGCTCCCAGAAAAAGTCAAAGCGGCTGTTATGGATGTGGTTCAGAGCGCATACCCACCTGAGTTCATGAACCGAATCGATGAATTTATTATCTTCAGGCGCCTTTCAAAGGATGCTCTACGAGATATCGTCGACATCAGAATCCAAGAGCTTCAGTCCAGACTCGACGACCGCCGTATGATCCTGCAGGTTGACAGTGAAACCAAAGACTGGCTATGCGAGAAAGGCTACGACCCGAGATTTGGTGCCCGGCCTTTGAACCGTCTCATTGCCAAGGAGATTGGAAACCGCTTGGCTGATAAGATCATCCGAGGTGAACTTGTCTCTGGTCAGAGAGTTCAAGTTTCCCTTGATAAGGCTCAATCTGGTCTGGTGTTAACCACGCAAGAGTAAACGAAAACCTGAAATTTAGCGTCCTTATGTGGTGTGGTACATGTGATGTTCTTTGTCTCCTTTTTGGAATTTTTCAATTGCATGTCGGGTCGTCTCTGACATATCACGACAGTATGATTTGTATACTACCTCCACTCTCATTGTACAAAAATCTAGTTCTAATTACATTGATCAAATTGTTTGTTTTTGGTTAGCCTTGAAGAACGACCCGTGGACAGGTGACTAGGCGGACGGACTGCACATACAATGGGAACTCACCACTTCATACTTACCCATCCCTTTTCCCTCTCTCATCTCATCTCTAGGTATCCCAATTCCATTAGCCTCGGCGATATGTCTTCTTTAAAAAGAAAGAGAGCACCTGCTTCCCGCCCTCCGATCACACCTGGTACCTCTGGGCCACGACTGGGCTACAGGGCGCCATCAAGCCAAGCCCTCAGCATTTCAAGTGGTCCTCCTCAAGTCCCTATCATTTCGTCGGAAATTCAATTACGGACTCCGTTCCCTACAGACACCAAGATTGTAACAGATCGGTCGGTGAGGGCCACTGATGATGACTTTGATGACTGTGTCGTTGCAGCCATCGATATGAAGGATCATGGCACTGTCGGATGTTCATACTACTCAACCGAAGAGGAAAAGATGTATCTGCTCGGTGACAGTCGCTTGGGGGATATGGAGACCGTTGACGCCCGTGCGTTGAATATTTGTTTAGGTCTTGATTCGAAGTGCTAATCCGGCGATCCTCAGTGCTTCTCCAAATCAAACCTACAGTTGTTTTGACATCACCACGGGTCGATCTTAATTCGCAGAATCAAGATCAAAATCTCGCACAAGAAGATGGTATACTTGCTTTTCTCTGGAGCTCTCTTGGCCCTTTCCAGTGCAAGCAAATGCTGATAATTTCTGTACAGTTTCTTCTGCCTACCTTCCTTACCAGATAGACATTCGTCCAACGTCGGAATTCAGCTACTCCAATGCAGAAAGCAAAATCCTTGCTTTGGAAATTTCAGCTACCCACGAACAGCGCATTCGATTTTTCGTACCCCAAAATGGCCTTGCTGGACCGGAAGAAGTGGACCCAGAGGAGATGGGCTTCACACTCCAAGAAGGAAGACTGTTACACATCTCAAGCTCCGTCGACATGGAAAACCCTGTGACAATTGGTTGCGCAGGAGCTATACTCACCTACCTACAGCGACGAAGAGCTGCAGCGCCTAGCTCATTTGAAGACGGAAATGAGTATCGCGTTCGAGCACTGCAGATGTTCAATCTACGGGATATGATGTGGATCAACAGCAATACCTTCACCTCTCTACAGATCATCCAGTCGGAGTCACACCCGAGTATGTTTAATCAGGGCCCAGGGAAAAAGTCAGCTACGGGCAAAGAGGGTCTTTCGGTCTATGGGCTCTTCCGGCACTTTGCATACACCCCTCAGGGTAGGGCAAGACTCAAGCAAATCTTTTTCCGTCCAAGCGTTGATCTAGATACGATTCGCGAACGGCATGACTTTATAGGGGTTTTTTCCCGCCCTGAAAATCTTGCTGCATTGGACAAGATTATCAAAGCATTGAAACACGTCAAAAATCTCAGGCCTGTCATGGTCAATCTTCGCAAGGGAATTAGCACTGGCAGTGCAAAGATTACTGGGTTCAAAACTACGGTTTGGGCTAGTCTTCTTGCTGTATGTTTGATTTGCTATCATCGATCCATGTTATAGTGATGCTTTTTGCATTACGGTGCTAATGAGGTAACGGGCCAGTTTGCGTTTTACTCTATTGACATCAATGATGCCCTGCGGGAGGTCTCCGGCGCACACATCCTCACTCTCCGAAGCAAGGTCGAAATCCAATAGTTTTGTTAGTCCTTCACATACTGACACCTTACAGGCTGTGAAAGTCTTTGAAGCAGCACAGCTGTACAGAGTTGGTCGCATGATACAAGAAATTGTAAGTTCTTTGTTACTAGGAATTAAAAATGCAACTGACATTTTAGGTCGATATCGATAACTCCGAAGAACAAGGAAGAACAGTGGTTAAGCAAGGAGTTGATAGAGATCTTGACAAAATTAAAGACAGATACGATGGTCTCAACAGCCTTCTCAAGCACGTTGCCCTCGACATTGCCGCAACAATCCCGGTGACTCTCGAAGTTGACGTCAACGTCATTTACTTTCCTCAGCTTGGGTTCAATATTGCTATTCCACTCAAAAACCATGGCGCCGCGGCATATGCGGGCTCCGATGATGAGTGGGATTTGATGTTCGTCACGGAGAATCGGGCATATTTCAAAGACTTCCGCATGAGAGAGATGGATGAGAAGCTGGGGGATCTATACAGTTTCATATGCGGTAAGACTTTTGGGTCAATGAGAAGCCATGGAGATAGAGAACTAAAAACTGTGTCTTAACAGAGAAAGAAATTGAGATAGTGTACGACTTGGCGCAGAGGGTCCTTCGATATGAGAATGTGCTTGTCGATGCCTCTGATCTTTGTGGGGATATCGATAGGTTAGTTCTTGTCGGACATGTTGCAAGGTCTGCTGATACAAAGTCCACAGTCTTCTTGCTCTCACACAGGCAGCCAGCTTCTACAAGTTGACTAGGCCACGAATGGTTGAACAAAATGTGATCAGAATCAAGGGTGGTCGGTAAGAGCTCGTTACCAATCATCCCTCAGTATCTCTGACAAATGGCAGGCACATTCTTCAAGAGCTAACAGTTTCATCCTATGTACCAAATGACACATTGCTCGTCGGTGGAAACGAATCCGAAACCTGTGATGCTTCTTCCTTCATAGATTCCTATCCCAGCATGTTGCTCTTAACTGGACCGAACTACTCAGGAAAAAGTGTCTACATCAAGCAGGTTAGCTTTATTATGACTTTGATAGACTCATTTTCTAACTTTGAACCAGATTGCTCTGATTGTCTATCTAGCGCAGATTGGGAGGTATGTTTCTTTCCATTAAGATGATATACAGATGCTAACTACTACAGCTTCGTCCCTGCACACAGCGCGGAATTGGGGGTCACAGATAAGATATTGACAAAAATCAACACCCAAGAGAGTGTTTCCAAGGTATTTCAGGATCTCTGCATGAAGTTTCGGATTTGGCAGCCTGACAATATCTTTAGGTCCAAAGCACATTCATGAGCGATTTGCAGCAAATTTCTCTCTGCCTACGACAAGTCACAAATCGAAGCTTGGTCATCATCGATGAGTTTGGGAAGGGTACCAATGAAAGCGGTATGTTCCTATCTACATGTACTAACTCTTTACTCGGACTCATTAAAGCATTCAGATGGCATTGGACTTGCCTGTGGCATACTAGATTACCTTCTGTGCTTCAAGTATCCCGCTAAAGCCATTGCAGCAACTCATTTCCATGAGATTTTCGAAAACAATTTTCTCTCTCTGCAGCCTCGACTCCAACTTGGCCATATGGAAGTTCAAGTCTGCGAAGAAACCCAGGTCGAGGACCAGATCACATATCTCTATAAGTATCTAAAGAGACGCAGGCTCTTGGATGATTAGTACACAAGTGATGCTTACAGTTCAAACAGCTTTCGTCCGGGCCGAAGTAACAAGAGCTTTGGTACCATGTACGTCCTGCTCCTAATCATTCCGACACTCTACTAGTTTGAAGTTGATTGACTTGTGGTATAGCTGTGCGGCAATCAACGGTATCGATCCAGCCATTGTATCTCGCGCAAACGAGATTGCGTCTCTTTTGGCGCGAGGGGAAAACATCGTCGCGGCCTGTGCAGTTTTATCTCTAGAGGAGATGAAGGACTTAAAAGAAGCGGTACCAGTTTTTTTTTCTCTAAAAGAAACGTAATCTGACTAACAGCGTTGTTACAAGAACTCTCTAGCAAGAGGCTTTCTGGAAGTTGATTTCTCACGAGGTGGCCCAGACCGTGTCAGGACAGTTTTCGAGGGCTTGTTCGAGTGAAATGGGGTTTTAATTGTGGTAACACGCTCATGGAGGCAATTATACTTACGGAGCAAAGCATACCTTTACGCCCCATGTCATCATCGATTGGCCGAATTCGCTATGCCAATTCTATCCCATTAGGAAAATGAAGTCCTGCCCACATCCACTGCATCCGTAGCAGCCTGGGCCCAAAATCATAAATGAATTCATTCCGACTTTTACCGCGGTCATGTTAAGTTTAGCATTTCGAACCTTGGAAAGAAGAAGGCTTCCGACTTAAATGCTGACAGCATCTTTTGCTTCCCCAATTCTACCAGACGCACCAAGCCAAGTATCTCATACATCACTCACATTCTTTAGGTCGACGTTATGAAAGCTTTACACTACTAGCTATCCTCCAAGTCCGGGGTTTCTCTGTGCCTCGTACATCGCAGGTCTCCGATCTTGTCAAAGACTCGAAGCTCCGCATCAAGCTCGACGCAGAGCTTACAACACACTTTTCTCGAACTTACATTAGTAATCGGTCGATGCGGAAGGCGCTGTGAGAGCGACGAAGTTTGGAAGAAAAATTGTAACTTTGATTGACATCAGCATCTTCAGTACTGTGTGGTTGGAAGTATGTGTCAGTCCAGGAAAGCTCCGAGCTGTAAAGGAAGTGCGCAGATCAGCCCCGGGATCGAGTTTTATGGTATCGATGCGAGCTAGAAGTCCATTGCTCGTTACTTGCAGCGAAAGAAAGGTACATATTTGGTATTCTTACATTAAATTCCATTGTCTTCCCGTCAGAATCACTAACCTATCCTCATACAACCGCCGAAGATCCTACGCAGCTCCAAGTCCCAATCTCCGAGGTCTCGCATGTAACAACTACCTGAGCACAAGTATCAGAAGTGGCTCAGACCGGTTTTCAGAAAAGATTAGATGGGCCTCTCGCAGTGTAGTGCCGAAGCCATATCGACGCTCACGGAATCGTGCACCAACTTCGCCCATTTCTCCCAATCCAAGGTATCAACACTTTGCACATATGTGCGCTTGACCTCTTCTAACTTGCTGGGTAGCTCAAGTGCGAGAGGTTAAGAAATCGCAGCACATGTCCGGGGCTGATCATATCGGGGACAAGAGTCTAAGTGGGGGCCATAGTAGCTAGAGCCCCCATCAAACGCATCATAACGATTACTAGGGGAAGAAGGATTCAGATGAATAAAACATTTTTTGAAACTTCGGATAAACCAAAAGATGGAATCGGGGTTATATACACATCGAATGCCAGAAACTGCCCGCAGTGAACGCCATGAAAACATACACACAAGACCTTGAAGTTTATGATCAAGCACACATTCACAGTTTAACACTCTTGACCAGGTTCTTCTTGATACCCGTAAGCTCACCACCGTATCCACCACGGCCCTCGCCGCCCTTGTACAGCTGCTTAGTACTACCAAGCTTCTTCTTCTTCTCCTCGTACTTCTTTCTCTTCTTGACACGCGGGTTACGCGAGTCCTTGCTGCGTTTCGCGTGCAGACCCTTATTCTTCTGGATCTGGTACGTGATAGCACGCTTGCCATCCGGACCAATCTCCTCTTGCTCATAGACCTTTCCGCCAAGGCGCTCAGCCTCAGCGTGGGCTTCTGCACGAGCCTGCTTGTCGTCCTTGCGCTTCTTGGAGCGGGATGCCACCATGTCGTAGTATTCGTCGTCATCGGTGCCCTCCTTGGCACCCTCGCCACGGCGGAGCTCCTTGGCGACGCGACGATCCTCGTCGTCACTATCACCGCCCAGCTGCTGGTCGGGATTGAGTTCTTTGCGACCACGCTTCTCGGCTTCCGCGTTGAGACGGGCTTGACGGTCACGCAAACGTTCGCGGTATGGAAGATCAGCGTCTCCACCGGCATCCCGGCCTGCTGCGTTGCGCTTGTTGGCTTTCTGGGCCAGTTGCGAGGTGTAGAAACGAAGCGAGCGCTTCTGCTTGGCCTTCTCCTCTGCTTCGTAAGCCGTGAGGGCATCCTCGTCACCGAAGTCAGAATCATCATCCTTGAGGGGTGCCTTGATCTTTGGTGTCTTGCGCTTCCGTGAAGGCTGAGTGGCCAAGTTCTCAAGATCGGCGAGACCGGCTTCTGTTTGACGGAGACGCTCAGCGCGGAGAGCTTCGGCTTCTGCCTGTGCAACCTCGGCCTTGCTGAGCTTCTTCTGTTTCGGCTTTTTAGTCTCTTGAGTCTTTGGTGCCTTGGTTGTCTCGGTCGTAGTCTCCTTAGTAGGCTCCTCAGCGGGTTCCTCAAGCTCTTCGAGATCCTTCACGGTATTCCAAAGCTTCCTGAACTTGACAAGCGATCCCATGACAGGGTGTTGTCGGAGTTCGGCGGGGGTCATCGGAACATGTTCGCTAGTTGCATCGGGAGAGGGGGAGGAGAGGAGCATGAAGTACATGCTGATCGTGCCAAGGTATGCAGACAAAGCACGGAACTTCACCACGGGCACTGGTGAAGGCTGTGGCTCTTCTGAGTCGTCGTCTGTAGAGGAAGCCTTTGAGGCTGCTTGTCGAAGATCCTCGAAGGTGCTTTGAAGGTCCACGAAGTCCTTCGCGAGGGGTTCAAACTCGGGGTATCTCGACGTCAAAATCTTCAGCTTCTCATCGGTATCCATATCCTCAGTGATCTCCAATTGCGGAAGCACTTCAGTCACCACACCAGCATCGGCGCCATCCTCTGTACCCTTGCCGGACTCCACCCATTCAGACTCGTCAAACCCGAAATCGGCCTCATTCATAGCCTGCAACTGCTTCAGTTGTAGTCGCTTGGCCTCCTGCTCTTCCTCTAATGCGTCAACCTCAGTCTCAATCTGATCTGCGTTGTAAAGATCTTTCTTCGATGAGCCCCAGGCAGCAATGCCTTCATCTTCTTCCTCGGATTCGGCGCCACCTTTTGGCTGGCCCATGTCATCGTATTCGTCTTCTTCTTCTGAGTCTTCAAGGTCGTCATCCTCGTCTGCGGATTCATAGCCAAGGATTTCTTCGTCGGAGGGCTGGATCAATTCCTCTGCGGCGATCAGTGAGACACTGTTTACACCAGATTTGGTTATTGTTAGAGGTACATACCTTCCTCGGCAACCCTCCGCCGTCTCTTGGCCTCTGGGCCTTCCTCAAGTAGGATCTGGTCACGGCCGCTTTGGAAGTCATCTTCCGAGTCTTCGAATCGCTCCTCGATGTCGAACTTGGAGGGCTCAGGGACTATTTTCGATTGCGCTGGGCGACCGGCTTTTCTCTTTTTGCTGCCCATTTTTGCGTGTAGAAATCAAACGACAGTCAACCAACTCAGCCCGGCCGATAAACTGTGATAAAATTATTTTTTGGTCTCTCACCGCCTTGGGTACGCTAACCTCGAGTGGGGGCTTTTGCTCTGTTTGCACCCTTGGGAATCCAAATACCGGTAATTTTACAATCTCACAATTTGAAACGTCAAAAACAGAACGATCTCGGGTATTTCTGTGTCATTGATTTACTGCCCTGTGTGTGCCTTCCATTTCGAGGACAACCCGACAGACACAGCTGCCATTCATCCACGATGGATCCTCGCGAGTTATTTGCCCGTTCGCATCTCCCTCGACTTCTCCTATCCTTGAAATTCTCATATAGCAATACCTCAACCCCGATATTGGGCGTTTCCGCACTCCTTTGCACTATTATCCTTTACACTATGGCTAAGATGTTTGGTTTCGGATCCCGAAACGAGTTCAATGTCGAGGGGCAGGTATGTGCAAGTTAACATGATCAGTTTGGTACGTGCTAACTAGGTCTTACAGACTGTGGTAATCACCGGTGGTTCCGATGGCATGGGCAAAGCTGTCGCACTCGAGCTATCCGCGAAAGGCGCAAACGTCGTCGTGGTTGCGCGCACTGTCTCCAAGCTGTTGACTGCAGTCGATGAGATGAAGGTTGGATATCCCTCAAAAACAATTGATCAATATTGCTCACCTATCATCCAGACGAAGGCAGCGAATATCTTTAAGCAGAAATTCCACTATATCAGCGCTGATCTCACTGATCCCGTCGAGTGCGAAAGAGTCATCGCAGAAGTCACAACGTGGAATTCTGGAGCTGCTCCTGACGTTGTTTGGTGCTGCGCGGGCTTCTCCCGCCCTGGATACTTCGTCGATGTGCCCATCCAAGATCACCGGCAGCAAATGGACACAATCTATTGGACTGCGGCCAACACGGCTCACGCAACCTTGCGCAATTGGCTGAACCCCGTTGCTCCGAGTGGCCAGATGAAAACACCCCGGAGACACCTCATATTTACCTGCTCTACTCTTGCGTTTGTTCCCATCGCTGGCTATTCACCGTATTCGCCTGCCAAGGCAGCCATTCGTTCTCTATCCGACACTTTGAGCCAGGAAATCGAAATGTACAACGGAGCCTATACTCAACGGCACCGCAGTGACGCCCCGGCTGCGGATGTCAAGATCCACACCATTTTCCCCATGGGAATCCTCTCGCCCGGCTTCGACAACGAGCAAAAGACTAAGCCTGAATTGACCAAGAAACTTGAAGAAGCCGATAAGCCCCAGACGCCATCGGAAGTTGCGCAAATCTCTATCCGTGCCCTAGAACGTGGGGAGTACCTGATCACTACCAATCTTGTTGGTGCCATTATGAAAGGAACTGCCCTTGGGCCCAGCCCGAAAAACAGCATTGTCGGTGACACTCTGCTCAGCTGGCTTAGCAACCTGGTATTCCTCCAGGTTATTCCAGACCTTCGCAGCAAGACGTTCACTTGGGGAAAGCAGAACGGGCTTCCGAGCAATACTACCAGTTCTCTGGCTTCTTAACAATTGGGCATACTCTTATTTTCTCCAAATGGTCTGTCGACTGCTTCATGCATGATGATACCCTGAGCGCTGTCTGTATTGCGCCTCCTTCAGCTGCCCCTCGCAACACCTAAATTCTTCAATTCTTTTTGGGCATATTTATACGCTCTTTTTTTACAGTAAATAAATTATAGCATGTCTGTGTTCGTGTTTTTTTTTCTAGCAATTCCAACCTTTCAACTGCATTCACGCAGTAGTATTCCGCATTCCGCGGAGGATGACGTACGGTAAAAGATAAGCTGCTTATCTTTTACCCTGCCACCCCATTTTCGACCTCGCAATTTCTTTGTCACCAATTGCTCTGCCCAGACTGGATTTTCAAAGAGTTTTTGTCTCAAATCTGAATGGCAACTGATTGCAGGTTACTATTTTCGGCACAAAGAGGAATTGCCGGGAAAAGAGAAACAGAACTCTCGCTCCGCCGCCGAAAGACTCGATGATCGCAAGATACAACTAAATTCACTTTCGAGTCCTTCAACCCCATTTACAGCAATCGCTACACAAACTTGTTAAAGAATGGAGGCCCTATTCTCAATACCAGTTTTGTCTGTTTTCCTCATTCCAGTCCTGTCATCCTACAGCACCAGCCTGAACCTCCTTTTCTTCTACATGACTTGGTCAACGCTGGTACTGTCGCACTCCCGACTCCGCGTGGAACTGTGGGGAACAATCGCCGTGCGCGTAATCTTCTACGCACTGCCGTCCATTGTCTTCTTCCTCTTCGACATCCTGACCCCGTCGGCGGCAGTTCTCATCAAGGCGCATGGCGCGACCGGCTTGCCAGGTGGGAAGAGACGACGTTGGATCCACGCAAAGGAACTCAAGATCGCCGGGTGGGGGCTGTTCAATTTGTTCTTGGGTATCGCTGTGCAGGGCATACTTGAGATGTTACTTGTTAAGACGCTTGGCAAGCGCAGTGCGCTAAAGGTATCGCTGAAGCTTCCTATGCCATTTGAGATATGTAGGGATTTGAGCCTAGCGATGCTGGGGCGAGAAGTAAGTCCAGTTGAATCTCAGAGATACATTGCTGTGGTGCGCTTTCCTTGCTAGTCCAATTTGCTAACATTCCGATTTTTTTCTTTCTAGTTCCTCTCATATGTCCTTCACCGCTACGCTCTCCACTCTAAACTATCTCCCACACTTGCCAAGTGGCACCGGTCTTGGTATCATTCGTTGTCTGCTCCGTTCCCATTGACCGCGCACTACGACCACCCGATTTCTTACCTGGTCACCAAATTCATCCCTACCTATGCGCCGGCCGTCGTCTTCCGTTTCCATATGCTTACCTATCTTTTGTATCTACTGATTATCTCTGTTGAGGAGACCTTCGCATATTCTGGATATACTGTCATGCCGACAAACTTCTTTTTGGGTGGCATTGCCCGTCGCACGGATATGCACCTGCTGATGGGCGCAAGGGGGAACTTCGGCCCATGGGGTGTTGTTGATTGGATTCTGGGAACTGTTGTTGGAGATGATTCCGACGATGATGTGAGTGCTGAGGCAGATGAGCGGGATTTGCGGAAAGCGTATGAGGCGGCGAAGCGAAAGGCTGTTGGGTCTGGAAAGTCAAAGCGACGATGAGACGACCATTGACGAGTGCATGATGAATCATTGGGATTATAGCCATGTGAGTTTTGTCTGTGTTTTGCCGTTTATTTTTGGAGTGTGAGCTGAGATGTTGCTCACTATATATATCGTCCGAATCTACAGCATATAAGAGAAGATTAGGATTTGGGAATTGTGACAGAGGCAAATTTATCATTATTAAAGCCAACTCTTTTTTTCAAGCCTAATTTTGAAAACTTCGAGTGTCGTGTAATTAGTAGTCATGAGGGTATAGGTGGCTGGTACTTGATCCTGGAATTGAATGGTGGCTAGCACTAGATCAACATGGGGGGTTAGATACAGAAGATCTGTGACTTGTCGCACAACCTCAATGAATGCCAAGGCATTACAACCGAGCAGCCATAGTACTATATATGTATCCATTGAGCACCGCCGTCAAGTTGTCAAGACGAAATTTGTTTTATGGATCGTAATTCACGCCTAGATCTTAAGATCTAATACTTTAATTCCAGACATTGGGGATATCCACTTAATGAGAAGGTCCAGCAACCTTATATCCTAGCGTCTTACAGATGCTACATGGCCGTAGAGATGAATCGAAGGAATTGCCCAATTTTGGATTGCCGCCTGAACCTCGAAATGGGAGTAGGTCATACTGAACATAAAAGAGAATCCAGCCCGCCTGCTGGAACGAGGTGATTTTAAATCTTTTTTTTTTGCTTGAAGTCTCTTTCTTCATAACGCAGCTTCATGCAAAATCAGCCACGCGCAAAGGGAACGGGTTTTTTGAAACATGAAACATGAGAACGACATCCGGAAGTCCGAATTAACCGCAAATCATAAGAAAAGTGAAAAACGTGTTTTGACGGATCCCGTAGGAATTACATGACATGGTTCATGAAACCGGCCCCAGAAAGTCGCGAAAGGATGCCGATCTGCAATCGAGCCGCCCCTCGTTGGAAAAATGGTCCTCCCCAACTATCTACCGAACCCGCGGCTACCACACATTTACCACTTCATCTCGTGGGGCTTGTCGCCGTTTCGGAGGCTGAAGGTGGTAGCGAGGTAGCTGCCGAGGAAATCCTCCTTCTTGATGGAGGCAAGGATAGCCTGGTCGACAGCCTTCTGGTCGCTGGCGCGAGCGCTGGCAACAACCTTCTTCTGTAAAGACAAAAAAAGCAGTTAGCATGTGATCACTGCAAATGTGAAGCGCACAAGATGCATACCTCGGCTTTCTCGCCCTGCTTGAAGAAAGCCTCCTCGGTCTTCTGCTCAGCCTTCTTATCCTTGGTGAAGTATCCGGGAGCGGAGATCTTCTCAATGGCCTTGGCGTCAACACCGGTGATGTCGACACGCTTGGAGGTGGCGATCACGTAACGGGAGTTCACGCGACGGAGAGGAACACCGTTGATCTTGAAAGGTCCGGTGACAAGGAGGACACCCTGGTCGAGGGACTTGAGGAGGATGACACGCTTGCCACGGAAACGGCCAGCGAGGAGGATCAGGATGGTGCCGGGAACGAGGGTCTCGCGGACCTTGGCGGGACGCAGGGTCTTGCGAACCTGTAAACACACAAAGTAGTTAGTCTCACATGTCACACAAATTCCCAGCGATTCCCGTGAATCCCAAGTATCTCCATTGTCGTAGCCGCATCTTCCCCAGATGATATGCGATTTGCACAAGAACACAAGATTTAATGAACTTTTTTGTGCCGTCGATTGACACCGGTGTCTGGCTGGATGTCGCCCCGTAATTCACAAAGGCTCTTCCGCAGAATACCGGTGCTATCGTCGCAATCATTGGGGCAGATGTGTGCCAGTCGTATGTCCTCCTCTTTAATGTGGCGTCCCATTTTCTTAGGGTGTACTGACTTTCTTGGGCTGCGACTGATCGTCCACGGGGTACCACTTCTGGGCCTTGTCGGCGGGCACGACCCTCTGGCTCTTCCCGAACTGCTTCGTCTGGCCGTCCGACATGATGGCTGCTGGCGAAGGATGAATGGTTGTCGGGGTGGTTGTTGGAGATTTGGGTGAGGACTTGGACTGGCTAAGCGGAGTCGGCTCCAGTGCGGGAATTCGTCGAGGGTTGTGTGTACGAAGCCCTATCACGTGTTTAACCGACAGCCCTAGCCAATTTTGGAAAGCGGTAGCTCAGCATATGGCTGCCATATCTGTAAGGCCAGAATGTACGGGCGACTGTAAAACCACTTACGCAGAAGCACTGCCCGACACAAACAACTGACGTATACTGCTCGCAGCCTCTCTCTCTTTCTATACACTCTATCTCTTACATCCCCCACATCACTTTTTTCTTATCTACCTGGAGGTTGCCAATTCAGCTCATCTTCTATTGGACCCCTGTTCAGAATCCATTTCCCAAAATGTCGATAGCTCCGATCATTACCTTCAAAGCAGGTATCTGCGATCTGGATGTACGTGAGCTTAGCTTTCCGGACCCGAATGGTTCAGCCCGACAATCAGCCCCATTATCCGGATATGCACTCATATCAACATTGCAACTTTGCTGACCGTTTCAATTCAGCAATCTAGCACCCCTGCCGCCGTAAAGCCAAAGACCACCCCGGGCTATGTCTATCTTTATTCCGAAGATGACCTTATCCACTTCTGCTGGCGCTCGCGCAGCGCCTTACTAGATGAGCCCGAGCTTGATCTGGTGATGATTCCTTCAGATGGCAGCTTTACTCCCTACAAGCCATCCGGCGGTGATGCTACAAATGGCCGTATCTTTGTCCTGAAGTTCTCCTCTAGCTCTCAGCGGTACCTCTTCTGGATGCAGTCTCAGTCCCAGCACGAGGACGGTGACCCTAGCTGGTTCAGCCCTCGTGACCTGAAGCTTGGAGAAATTGTGGATGTTCTGCTGCAGGGCGAGGATGTTGATGTAGAACATGAGATCGCTAATCTTCCCCGCCGGCCCTCGGGCGGTGATGACGACGAGACCATGGAAGACGTGGAAGGCACCGACCATGACCGCGGCCGATACCACAGCACAGGCAGCGGTGGTGCTGGCCCCGATGCGACCGGCGGCGATGTGCGTGAGGAGGGACAAGAGTCGCGAGAGGGTGGTGCGGACGGTGGACGAGCGTAGGTACATATCTCTGACAGCCTTAACCTGGGGCATCCAAGCTAATTTGCCGTTCGTGCAGAGCAACTACCGAGGAAGATTCAGCGTCGGTTGTTCAGGACTTTTTAAAGTCCCTGAGCGGCCGCCCGAGCCCGGGCCAATCCCAAGATCCCGAACGACCATCTACGACACTCCAAGACCTCCTTCCACCTTCGACCACGTTGCAATTTATCGATTCTGCTGATACGACTACTGCCGATCATCTTCTGAGCTTCTTGCCGCCCGCACTACTTTTGCTGGCCCAGGGCAATGCTGAGGCTTCGGAAGCCGATACAGACCCAGAACTTGCCCAAGCTGCTCTCCTGTCCCTCGACCTCTCCCAGAAAAAAGGAATTCTCCGAAAAGTGCTTCGTTCTCCCCAATTCATGCAAAGCTTGGCCAGTCTTACTATCGCTCTCCGTGATGGTGGGCTTCCGAGTATCAGTGAGGCTTTGCAGATTCCCGTGGCTAATGGGGGATTTATGCGGAGAGGTGGAGTACCCCTAGGTGGCGGCGATGCGGTAGATGCGTTCCTGGATGGCGTTCGGCAACACGTTAAAGAAAAGGATTCTCAGATGGATACCGATTGAATCAATACAATTCTTCCGAGATCTTGATACTTTCAAGACATTCTAAGACTTTGTTAAATTTGTCGAACTATTTTTGGAAAAAGGGAGCCCCACTAGCAAACACTGTTTACTGCAAGGCTGCGTCAGTGTTTGGTAAAAACCATAGGGATTTTCACTATGGGAGCTGAAATAGTGTGTAGGGGAAGCAAGGCACCATGTAGGAAACAATCAAAATATCATGTACGGAGCACGATGAATGTACAGCCCTGCCGAAGTATGTCAGCCAGAACAACGTTGAACATCCATGAGGCGCATGCCGGGACTTGTCCTTTTTTAGTGCAATTGCGATCCGGACGCTCTTGGCTCAATTTCATCTTCGGAAGCTTAAGGCTTGTCACTTCTCTTGGTTTGTGTCTTATGTTCACGCTCTTTTCTTTCGCTGTATTATACATATTTTCTACCGCCAACACACGTGTCGCCACCGTGTCCGAGAACCCCCGGTTCAGCCTGCGATGTCTGCGATTCAATAAGATCTGATCCTGCCCGACGATGGCGCCAGATAGCCAGAACCTTGATAATGACGAAAACGCTCCGCCTAACCAAATCCCCCTTCAAGATCTCTCGAAACCGGGAGACACTTCCAATAAACGTGGGAGAAGCAGCGCGGGGACCGGTCTCTTCTCACGACAATCATTGATCGGGAGGGGTTCGCGGAGAAATTATGATAGTGTTGCGGAAGGGTCTCCCATTGATTCGGCTGGACCGAGCAGGCATCCATTGCAACCCTCACAAACGAGGTATACAGAGATTGCTTCCCCGCTTGATGATCTGGGTGGTTTCGCGCAAGCGATATCAACGATTGGCCTCAGCTTCAATGGGCCACAATCAACGGCGTCGGCCCCGGACCCATCAGAACGCCGAAGCTTTGACGATGCTGCTTCCGACCTCGACATCGTACCTCTAGACTCTTATGATTCCCACGACCCGCACGGCTACAATCTCCCAGCAGACGAAGACGACATGATACGCTTGACCGATCCTCGATATATACAACCGATGAGCGGTGCTGCCAGCGCAGAGGAGCGGTACAGCACTGATACTGGTCACTCTGTGCATTTTGGTGGCTCGAGACTGGGCGATGATCTTCCTCACCTGGAGGATGGGATGGGAAGCCGTCGTGGTAGCAGTGTCCGGGATCGATCACGTTCTTTGTCTCCATCGGCATCCAGTGGGGCTCTGAAACGCGCCAGCTCAATGGTCAAATCTATGTCGCAGCGAGTGGTCAACCTGAGCAATGAACCAGAAGTTGTACAGCAAACGATTGAG